AAAGGGATCTACAGAGAATCTCTGCCTCCCAGTTTCATATACCACAGGCCATGCAACACTTTCTTCTCAGTTGTGCAAACCCTGATGCCACCATACAATAGAAGAGGGAATCAAGGGCATGACCACAGTGCTTGAACCTCACAGTTGCAAAAAAATTAGGAATAAAGGTTAATTTATGTTTATTAGTCCTCTAGAAACAAATCACAGTTACTCATTCTGAATAAGGCCTGCTTTACATCTGAAAAGGAAACTTTACTAATAGTAACCAGACACAGAATCATGCTGTTATTGCTGTGTAGGTGTTTAGAATTAGCTGAAATGCAGCCATATTTTATGTGTGAAAACTGCAGAAGCAATCAGTCTGGCAGATATCTAGCCTATGTGAGCTAATATTTTTTTCCTATTCTTTCTGTGAATATACAGACCCAATGCAAAGGGCCAGCTTCTTAACAGCCAGTGGTAGTGTTGAGAACAAAAAGGAATCTTCCTTTCATCTAGATCAAAAGATGTCTGGGTTGATCTGAAACACCCTTTTGACAAGTCGAAGGGTGCAGATATCCTCTAGTTGACATAACTGCCCAGGGAACACACACAGACACACACTGTGAGCTACTGAAGCTAGTTATTGAGGGATCAAAACTGTCAGTTTCCTGCTGCCTTCTTAGAAATTGCATGCTACTCAGGCCCATTTGGAGTCTAAGAAATAGGATTAAGGACATCTATTTAAAAATAGGATGCAGAAAGAAAAGCCAAGGAGAGCTCCCAGCTGACAAGACAGGATCTAAATGGGTTTGGTACCTCAAGACTTGTGACATTTCCCCTTCCCAGTATCTGCTCTTCCCCTGAATCATGACCAGACTGAAGTTTTCTGCATGGCAACCAAGTAGAGAAATGGAAGTTCATGTTTTCCCACAGATTTCTGAGCTGCATTTCCGAAACTGCAGGAAGACCTGTAGCCCTCCACTACCACCATGGGGCCACCCAGAGCACATCAGGACTGTCCATGGCATGTTACAGACCCTACCAAATCCTTCCGGCCTGGATGTGCTTGTTCTCTAACTAGCTCTACTGGAGCCTTGGTCCCTGACCAGCCCTGAATCTTTCTCCTGAGGCTGCAGCAGCAAGTGGATGTTGCATAAAGATAGCTGTTTCACAGAGCACCAGGTTTCACAGATGTCCTGGTTGGGGCTGGACTAGAGTTCCCGTTGGTTTGGCAGCGGGAGGAGCTGCAGCACCCTGAGACCCCAGGGGCTCCCCAGGTCCCAGTGCCCTCACCTGTGTGCGGGGGCGGGGGGAGCACAGCTGGAGGGCTGGGCCCGGATTGGCCAATAGTCCATGTCATGTGACATCGCACTCACTATATAAAGGCAGGAGTGAGCTGGGATGGGCTCTCACTTCTGGGAATGTTGCTGTGGTGCCTTTGTGTTTGGGATCACCAGCTGGGAACAGGTGGGTGTTGGTTGGCGAGCAGCTGTATTATACGTTACCTGCTGATACTGCTGTCAGTGTATTATTCTGTCACTGCTATTAAACTGTTTTTATCTCAACCTGCGAGTCTCCCTTTGCCCCTCTGATTCCCTCCCCATTCCCAAGTTGGGGGAGGGTGGGTGAGCGTTTAGCTGCTGAGTAGGCTCAAAAGACAACAGTCCTTTTTGGCGCCCAACATGGGGCACGAAGGGTTGAGATAACCTGTGCAAGGCCAAAAAGTCATGGTAGCTATAAGGAATATACATAGTCCAATTTAAAAAACTCTTTTTTTTTTTTTTTTTTTTTTTTTAATTGGGGGAAGGTATGGGCAATGATCCTCACCTTCCTTCAAGCCTTGCAAAAGTTCTGGAAGAAATGCATATTTCATAAGTACCTGGAAGATAACAAGTTACAACAGCATCTGCTTCATGTAGCAGCAAGGACAAGTAGCCCATGTGGATTTGTCAAGAATAAATTGCGTTGAACTGATCTAATCTCTACTTTTAACAATGTAACAGGCTTTAAGAATAAAGGAAAAGTAGCTGTCACAAAGCTTACCATTACTAAGGTTTTTGAAATTGTTGCATGTGACATTCTCATAAGCAAGCTGCAGCAGCATGGTCTAGATGAGACAATGATCGATTGGGTGCAAAGCTGGTTTGATAACGTATCAGAAAGGTTATCAGTGGTGCTTTGTCAGAGTGGAAGGATATAGAAAGTGGAATTCAGCCAGGTCTGTTCTGGATACAGTCCTGGCATATGTTTTCATTAATGAATTAGACGATAGAAAAGAGAGTATGGTTATTAAATTTTCAGATGGCATAAAGCTCGGAGGCATTGTAAGCACAGGAGGACAGGATTTGAATTCAAAATTATTTTGAAGAATTGTATAACCTGTCTGGAGTGGGAGAGGGAAAGCTGAAATTCAGCAGGGACAAGTGCAAGGTTATAAACTTCAGCTTATACAAATACACCAATACCAAAATTTGTCAATAGCAGCTCTGTAGCAAAGTGTGGTAGCATAGTAGATGACAAACTGAATCGCTTGAGAAAGAAAATACCACCAAAGAAGAGTGAACAAACAGGGTTATAGCTTTCAAGATGTGCAGTAGTCCTTCCTTTGGCACTAGAAATATTTCAGTTGCCATTTTGTATTCAATTATGAATGTGTCTGCTCGGTAAATATGTGTAGCAATAGTCCAGAGGAGAAGAGCACTATCAGAGATGCGGAAAACATGGCCAGAGCAGAAAGACTGACAGGCTTGGTGCTTGTTAAACTTTAATGAGTGCCATAAGAATTTCTTCAACAAGTTTAATATACATAAAAGGCTTGTTGCAAACAAGAATATAATAATCTGTTTTCTAAGTCTCCGGGGAATGGAATGTAAAAACCCCAACTTGCATTACAGGATGACGTTTCAGTTTGAAATTTTCAACAGTGAGACTTACAAAGTACTGGAAAGATTTATTTTTAGACATGACTTTGGGCTAACAGCCTGCTGAACCAATGCCTTTGATGTGAGAGTCACTGCATTTTACTGAATGCAAGTCCTCATAGGGTTCATGCACCGAATGACTGAATGTGGGATAACTTTGGGAGTCTCAGAAGCAGTGAGCTCCAGGCTGGATCTTTCAGACACTTAAGTCTGGCAAAACCCAGTGAGTTTCAGTACAAAGATTCAGTGTGGGCTATTCCATCTGGGCTTTGCTTGTGGCATCAGTCTCTCCCCCTCTTGCTATTTTTGTACTGCCTGAACTGTTGAAGAAAAGTTTGTTTTCGTGGCAGTGAGAGTGACAACACATTTAAAAGTTTCCCTAGGGTTACAGAAAAATAAAAAGCATCTTGATGACCACTGAGATCTTTAAAAAATATAAGAAATCTATGGCTTTACTGTAGTATTTATTTAAGCACTATTTACTACCTGTCTCTTGGCTCATGGGCAGAACACTCTGGAGAGTTAAAACCTTTGTATGGCTTAGAGTGTTCTTCATTAGATATGCTACTTAGGTTTTCATTTTAATTTGATGTGCTGAACAAAATGGCACTTGTGCATGGTAGATTGCTTTGTTTCTCCTGCGATACCATTGCCCAAATATAGGAAAACATGTTTTGTTGAATCTGGTGCCTCTGACAGTGACTGATTGTATGCAATCAATGATAATTAAACCTTTTGCTCCCACAGATTCATGTCAGATCTGAGCCTCTTCACTGATTCAGTGCTGCATCACCAGAAAATTGTCATTTCTGAAGTTGGACTGTCAAGTTCTGAGATGAGGCTACAGAGCACAAAGGAAGACAGAAAGGTAGGTGACATTGGGGTCCATCCATCTAGCAGGAACAGTGGCCTCTCTCAGTGATGATGTCCTTTTGGATGTATACCCTCCTGGACTAAGGAACCCATAGAAAACCTCTGGTGGCACATCCGCAACAACTGCACTTTCACAAGCTGGCACTCTCCTTTCAGATATCAAATATGTTTGTATTGTATGTAGGACACTATCTACAGTGTCTTGTGTTTTCTGGGGGTCTACAAAGTTTTGTTTCCTTTGATGTCTGCTAATATGCAATATATTTGATCAACCAGAAGCCTTTTCAAAGACTTGGAAAACTTGTTGGTGCTAAACTTCACTCAAAGTGAATTCAGGACCAGTCTTCCATTTGTGAGCCTGGAAATCTGATGCTGACTCCAAAAGTTATGAGGAGAACAGCAACTGCCACTTCATTTTTGTTTTGCCAACTCCGAGACACCACCACTGAACAAAAGAGCCCTCTGATCAGTGCTCCTGGCTTACTGACCTTCAATTCTTTAAGCATTGCCCGTAGCCATTGAAAATTAAAAAGCTGAAGTTTATGTAGAGGCAAATTGAGGGAGAAGTACGTAAGTGCTGGGATCTAATCTTTTAGATTTATGGAAGCTATAGACTGTAGCCATATACTTTAAAGACAGAAGGAGCCTTTGTAACTCTCACTTTGCATAAAACAAGGTGGAATGTTACAGTCATACCTTTGGGTGAGCTAGACTGTGGGTTTTACAGACTTCAGGTGGAGGAGAATCTGCCATATCCTCAGGTGAACTCTCCAGCATTAAAAATATGCAGCTTATCTGTAGTCAGGACTTGTCTGACTTGAGCTACCAGCCTGTGAAGTGTTATGCATTTGTATGTTAAATTAAAGAGTCCTCTGCCCTTATATATATTATTCTCCTGAATTTCTATTAGGAGCTTTTTTCATTCACTGTTTTTACATTTCATTACTGTTCTGCTGCAAGAGTTCAAAGTTTTCAAATTAAAGTCCTATGCAATTCCAGGGGACAATGCTCTTCTATACCAGTCTGAAGTACAGTATGGGGTGAAGGGAAATGCACGCACAGCTCTCATCAATGCTGAATGCCAGCTTTAATAATTACCTGCTCTCCCTCCTCACCCTTGCCCCCCAAGTATGGATTATATCCAGGTCTTTTTGCCAGGGGCCTATACTCTAGCAGTTTGCCATTCTCTGATACTAATGTTTGAAGTTTTAATGAGCACAGGCAAAGGAGGGTGCTTAGCAACAATACAGATAGTACAACAAATACAGGATAAGTAGTTTGAGATTGGATTTTAATGCCATCTTAATAACAACACCAAGATCTAGTTATTGCTCTGCGTAGCTATGCCACTAACACAGATACCAGAATACTGCAGTGCATATGCACTATTGGGGTTTCCATTTTGAGAAGTGGGATTTTTGGAAACAGCCATGACAAAGGGAGGGAAGAGGTGACAGACAGCATAGTGTCAGGACAGAATTTCTTCTAGGTGAATAACATATTCAGTCTGCTCAAGCTACTTGATGGTATGGTCAAAGTGCCCTCACTTGCATTCATTTCTCAGAACTTTTATTGATCCCAGAATTCTGGAGAATTACACCAAAGGTATTGACACTATTTATTAAAGATTACATTTTCTTGCAGGCTTTAACCCTCTTTTTAGCTCCATTCACTCACAGGAATGACAGGTATATTATAAGCAGTTAAAATCAGGCTTCAGAAATTATGTCTGTGTTTTTTTGAGAGAAGACTAATTAAACTAAGTGTGTGAAACCTAATCAGCCAAAACCAAAAGTGAAAGCTGCAAAATGCTATAAAATCCTCAAACAAGCTAAAGTCAGCTTTCCTTTTGGGAATCACTGGCCAAGAAGCAGAAGGGGAAGGTAGACAAAATTGAAAATGGATCCTCTCCAACCCCTGCACAATAGGGTTTGAAGAGTCTGACATGGGAAATGAGAAATTGTCCCTCTTACCATTTGTCTAAGATGATGCCCTGTAAGGATTCGGTGTGTTAGACACAAACCTCTAAAAAAGACCACAGTTACTAGAATTTAATTCCCGCACATGTCCCAAAACAGGAGAATAACATTTTCTTTACTTGTGCCTCACTGTTATTACTGCCTTTATAGTTATGTCCTGTATTCAACAGCTTTAGAAAGGCAGGATGACTGCACACATTGAATTGGGCAGAGGGAAAGGGGAAATAAGACAGCAGACCTGTTTAAGTCCAGAGAATGGATCAATGGCAGAAACAGGAAAAAAACCCCAGTCCTTCAACATCTTTAATGTTGTCACCTTGATACACTCTGTCTGACATAACACCAGCTTCAGGAGATACTTCACACACAGTCTCTTATCATACTGCAAATTTCTGAAAAACAACCAAGTGCAAAGGACTTGCAGTTCATTGTCCTGTTCCTTCATCTCCAATTCCCCATTCTGCCACAGAAATAGCTGAGTGAGCAAGGCACCACGGTCCTATCTTTCCTGTGTCACACATCTTATAAATAATTAGCTGCAGGAAAACCAAACAAACTGGTGTGATGTTATTGCATGCCAATTATTGCCATGCATTGATTTATCAGTGTGTGATATACTACTACTATACTGAACCTGGTTACAGTACCATTAAAAAGTGACAGCTGGTTTGAAAGTTTCACAGAGGTCAGGGGCAGAGCAGTGTAAAAATCAGTTCATGCTAAGAATATCTGGAGTTGTGCTGTTGTCACCCAATAAAATTTCAGCATAGATTTAGATCGCTTATTCTCCTTGTGCTGATCTTCACTACGAAGAGAAGAAAAAGACTGAACAAGAGACTTAATGGTCCATGTATCAATGTCTCAAGCCCTTTCTCTCTCCCTTTCTCTGCGTACCCTGGAAGAACATGTTCAGCTCCCAGCAGGACTGACTCAGCCCTTTTTCTTTCCAGGAAAGACACAAAGCTGCAGCTTTCTGTATGTTGGCCAAAGGAAAAATAAGAAAAAAAGGAGACAGAGGGCAAAGAAAAACGTTTATATGTGAATGAGAGGCTTTTGATGAGAAAATAATGAAATACAAAGATAATGTCAGAGGCAGTAGCCACAGAGAAAACACAAAGAGCAAAGCTAAGGAGAGGTGGAAGGAAAATGCTGATGAGTGGCTATGGGGAACAGAAAAATGAAACAGAAAGGAGTCTCAGCAAATTTCCATAATGTAACACTGATTAAGCCTTTTATGATTATAGACAGGAGTTCTGAGAAATGTTCCCTTGCAGGAAGTTTGCACACTCGTATTTTAATATCTGAACACTTTCTCAGCCTTGGTATAAGCGGAAACTTTTTTTGCTAGTGCTGCATGCTCTTAATCTGGGCTACGCCTGTGCATCACCAAGCTCCACAGAGCAGTATCACTGAGGATTGCTCTGGACAGACTGGCACATCAACTCCTGGTCTGTGCTGCCTTCAGAGAGTGTGACATCCCTGCACTGAAACTGCTCTTCAGGAGAAGGAGGGCAAGAACTATGCCATGTCTCACCAAAGCAATGGAGACATCAGTTGCACAATACCTTGTGGGACCTGGAGACAGGTTGCTTCTTATCTAGAGCCAGACAGAACCCTGAGATGATTCAACCTTTGTGTTGAATGCAAAATACCATGGAAAATAATGAGATTCTGGGCTACCTTAAGCAAAGCCAAATCCAAAAGTTCTCATGGCCTTAAACACTTCCAGAAATCTCAGCCTGCACTTATTTTAAGTCCAGACCCAAGCACCAACCCAGTGTGAACAGTACGGATTATTGCTATTTACATATTACCAGTTGTTTATCTAAGTCTATCCTCTCAGACTAGCTGTTGTTCATTTTCTCAGACTGGGTGTTTGGCTGCAACATTTCTTGAGATAGGTCTACAAAACTATAAATAACAAAAAGATTATAGTTGTCCCTGAATGAATTTTTGAAAGGTGTACACCACTGTTCAATACAAGCATCAAAAAGAAGACTGCCAGAGAAATCACCTTACAGCAGAGAGGAAACTTTGAGCTCCACATAGTGATTTCACCAGACTTTTCCATCTGAAACACATTTTGCTTGTGCAATTGATTTGCTGGGAATAAATCCATCTCAGTCACTTCAAGAGGACTGACACTAGTTGTCTACTATTTCTGAGTCCTATGAAACGACAAGAAATAGTCTCTGATCTCTTCAGGGCCCTTGCTACAGACTTCAGGGGGCGGACTTTGCAGTGGATTCCCCTCAAAATTGCATGAACAGGAGTTGTATCCCCAGTCCAGGTTCACTAGCTCCCCAAAGGTTGCTGGAAGACACCGTAGATGGTTGTTCCCCAACCAAAGCGTGTGCAGATTCCTTAAAAGACAAACATCCTCAGGCAGACTCTTCAGTGAGTTGAAGAGCAGTAGCAATGTTTCCAGTTTCTCCAGATGTCGAATGCTGGAGGGGATCGTGACTATTTTGTTGTCACTCACATCCAGAAATGTGAGGCTCCTCAGCTGGCAGAGGGGTGCAGGCAGCTCAGTGAGGCTGTTGTTGGCCAGGTGGAGGCTGTGCAGCCTTTGAAGTGTCCGCATTTCTGGGGGCAGTGAGCTCAGGCTATTGTTGCTCAGAGTGAGTCTCTCCAAGTGACTCAAAGTGCCAATTTCAGCAGGGATTTTCTTCAAGTTGTTGGAGTCCAAGTAGAGGCAGGTTAGGTTCCTCAAGCAGCTGATCTCTTGGGGCAGCAGCTCCATCTGGTACCTCAGGCAGCTCTCTCGTTCTGGGCTCATCTCCAGGACCTGCAGCTGGTCCAAGCCAAAGACCTGTGTGGGAACCGATGCCAGATCTCTGCCGGAGATCTTGAGTTTCTTCTTCCCTTCATACTTCGGATCGTGCTCTGTAAGGTACCTCCAGAGTGGATTGGGACCTGTAGAGGCACATCTGAAAGAGATGGCTGCATCCATTGTCCCACCAGAACTGTGTCTTGTTGAATCAAGGCAGCTATTGACAATTTGTTGCACACTCCACAGGCAAACTCTGAGGTTTTTGGTGGATTAAGGCCCTCCGTCAGAGTTCCTCTCTGCCACGCACGTTACCATCACATATGCAGCTTGTTTGCGTTGCTCAGATACATCCCACTAAGTAAACACTTGGCATTCTCACCTGATCCCTTCCAGCTCTGCAGTGTACACAAAACCCAGCTCCCAGGCTATGACGTTGCCTCTTGCAGTTGCAGCCAGTGAGCTGGTGGCAAATATCTATTGGTACTGAAAGTGAAACAGTATTGATGTGTCTCTGCTTTTCAGCAGATTTGTTCAAATCTTTGTGTGTAGCGCTCTCCTTCTGGGACCCCCTAGGGTGCTGTTGTCTGAGGAATTAACATCGGTCAGTCCCAAGGGATTGCAATAGAAGCATCAATGGTGGGTAGGTAAAACACATGGTAAATGGGACAAGAAGAAGACAGACTCATAGTTGGTGGCTTGGGAGCTGAGAACCATGAACAGGTCCTGCCCTCAGGTCAGTTTGTGCCTTTAACATTCAGCAAACACAGTAAAGAATCGATGTTGAAATCTGGAAGTCCTTCTCCCTCCTGCTGAGCATATGAACCTTCACACCACAGATACAGTCTTTCTTGTGCTACACTTGCTCTGGCATATTTAAAAGCAAATTTTTATTCCTCACTGTCATAGCTTTTGTAGGAGAGATAAAAAATGCCAGTTTTATCCCAAGCCATTCAGCATAGCATGCAATGTAGAGATCAGAGCATTTTCCTGGAAGGAAAAAAATGTGAGTTTGAAGTCTCAGGCTGAGAGAGCCTACCTCTTTTACTTCACCCTGTAATGCTTAAGGCTTTCTGTTGAAAAATGCTTAGGACAACTATTTCAAATGCTTTTCAATGAGATGTCTCCACAGCATCCCACAGTCTACTAAAGGTAGAAGACAATGTGTTAGAGGTATGGTCTAAGCAGGTCTACCAGGTCAGGTCTTATGAAGGAGGGGCATATCAGCTTTGCTATCCCACTCTGCTCAGTTCTGATCTCCTTATCCCAGGTTTGTGTCAAGTCTGCAGGGAGCCTGTGCCCCAGCACCAGGGGCATGTGTGATTGCACAAATGGGTGGTGAGTGCTTGGAGACCTCTATCCAGACCATGCTGACAAGAGGATTGTCAGCATCTGCACTTACACTTCAGGGTCTGCCGGTTTTTAATTGGATTTTACCCTGAAATATGGTTTTTCAGTTCTGTTACATACTGGCTGTTACCCTTGACTTGGATTGAGATGGTGAATACCATAACCCTGTTGAAATCAAGCCCTGAATTTCCTCCAGATTAATTTCCAGCATCTGTAAGAGAAAACTGTACCATTTCCCTAGTATACAGAAGTGCTGTGAGGCTTCTTTGGCCGTATGAAGTCCTGGGATGCTGGTGGCTGGAAACAGGCTTGCTGGTCTTCCTGATAGGGATGGCACAAGCTATTGAGCCGGGGCTATCACAGCTGTGTACACAACAGTGTGAGCAAATCCTGGGGACACTGAAAGTCCTGTTCTTTAGGGTCACCATTATTGCCAATGGGATCTGAAGGCTGTGCTAGCTTCATCAAGAAAGGGTGGACATTTTACATGAAAAAGATTCAGCAGAACTCCAGAAAGTCTAATAGTTGTTTGCAAGTAAGAATGGATACAATAACTTGGAAATATACATATATCAGAGATGAATACAGCAGCCAAGGAAAAGTGAGATTTTCACTTGCAAGAGAAAGCTGCTTACCAGAAATGACAGACCTCACAAATAACCATAAAAATAAGACTCAAAGCTCCCATCGAGAAAGTGATGAAGAAATTATTGCAATAAGAGTCATTTCAGACTTGGACAAAAGCCATCCCCCACATTACTAAAGGGAAAAATGTGTTTCTAAGAACACATTGTCAAATATGTCTGTCCTGTGAAATAAACTGAATTGCCATGTGTGCTGCCTTCTGCTTAAACATGCTGATCTCTTCAAATCAAAACCTGAGTCTTTCAGACAGCATGTCATGCAGAGACAAAGCCATGGTCAGAGAGAGGTTTTTGTGATGCTGGGTGCTGTTCTCTTGTTGAACTTTTCCATACCTGTAATTTGACCCTGGGTTTTCCTTTACCAAGGTGTTGGGTTCTTTTCTGCTCCATCTTGCAGGACATCCTTCTTCCTGATGCTGATCGCTGGCTCATCAGGAATGTCAGAGTATGATTAATGTCCCTCTGTCAAATTGTTCCCTTGTGCTTTCCACATAAGTTTCATGATCCAAAATGTAAAATAACATGAAAAAGCCTGTATTTTCAACACGTGATCCCCCTAGAGACTCAGCAGTATATTCTCATTCTCAGTTCATAAAAACTCCAATAAGAATATTGCCAGCATCAATATTCTTGAGTCAAGCAATGCAAGGTATTCAAAGTTAGCCCTTACAGCGAAAACCTGCTTTGTAAAGCAACTCTGAAAACCAGTCTTCTGTTCATCTGTCTTCATGCTTTTCTAATCAGTTTTTCCCATTTCACAAGTCAGAAGACAAAAATCTGTGTTTGTGATGTCCAGGTCTAATCCAGACCGATGAAGCTAAACAGGCTTCCTTTTCTTAATTCAACTTCACCATTTATAAAGGTGTTGAAAGGAAAGTCCAGACTCTGATGGACCCTTATTACCCCAAAGACCTCAATCAGGTGCTGAAATTGGGTCACAGGAGGCAATTGGGTGGTTAATGCAGAGACTCTTCTCCCAACAGCATTGGCTCTGCAGACGCAGCAGCAAGGAGGATTCCTCGTGGTCTCTGATGGATGCTCACCCTTATGCAGGGCTGCAGATCAGGGACAGAGCCTGCCTTCACCCCCAGGCTGGCTCTGTCCTTGTGCTGCTCTTCCTCCCCATGTTACAGAGCAGCAATCTTAACCCCCAGCAACACTGGTCTCCAGCTCACAGAGGCTGAACGAGGTGGTAGTTGATTTCTCTTTCAGTCTATGTTGTTACTGTTGAGTTAGTGCAGACATTTTAAGAAAATTTTCTTGTTATTCCCTGGCACAAGGACTGTACAGGTTTGTGCCTTAACCTTGTCCCTCTTCCTCTGAGTTGCCTAGCTGCTAGTCACATAACACCCAACATCTCATCATCTCTAACACAACTCAGTAGGAATGTTAGTCGGTAATGGTGGAAGATTCCCCAAATGATCTTTTTGTTTTGTTTTGTTTTGTTTTTTAATGTATTTATTTGACAGGCAAAAAATTGAATGCAATAATGGTCTGTTTGCTATAATTGCAATAATTTGTACACTTGATTTAAAAACAAAACAAAAAATAACCCACAGTGATGCCTTAAAACCCATGTGTCATTAGCACCTCTTTAATATGCAAGTAATGCATTGTCTGTCTCTCTAATACAATTTTAACAGTATATCCTCTCTTACCACAGGACCAGTCAAAAAAAAAAAAAAAAAAAAAAAAAAAAACACCAAACAAAACCACAAGAAAAATATCAGCATATTCCTGGGTTTAAAACTCAGACTCAGTGAACAGACTTTATGTGATGTACCAACCGCTTTGTTGCAGAGACAGGAACATTGAGATGCAAAAGCCACATCAATCCCTTACTCAAGAGGAGTTAGGGGACAAGCCATCAGCACTGTCTCTGCCCTACTTGTCACCTCCTGCCTGCATGGTCACCTTGCAAGATGCTGGACAGACAATACATGTCTGCTTGTCACCTTCCAGCACACACTGTCACCTGTGTTGACACGGAGGCATCTGCATTTTCTGGAGGGCAGCTTCTGACCATGCCCAGGGCTGTATTTGTAGCTTTACTGTCTGCCCAGATGGCAGACCTAATTTGGAAAGTAATGTCAGGCCACCTTTCCAAAGACTTCAAATACTCACAAACAGACTGAGGCAAAAATTGTTGCAGCTTTTGGTGTTTGAGTTTGCAGGGCAGAAATCCTTCAAATACACCCACCTTTTTTACCTTTTATTGCAGGTGATTTTTTAGGGACATTCATGTAGGGCTTGCTTCTGTAAGAGGTGGCAGCTACAGAAGCCTCCCTTTGATGACTATACACATAGAAACTGGGTGGCTATAAACACAGGTCTTGATCTGGGTCTGCAGCATGTCTCATACTGCTCTTACTAGTGACAAATTATTCTTTGTAAATGCCATTTAACTGGCTGGAGAGAAAACAAGATTTAAGAAAAAGCGGGGAAATAGCACCCACTGAATTCAGGGCACAGAGACAGTCTGGGGTGTCTCCAGGAACAGACTGAACAGACAACCATATGCTAGGGAATACGCTAGAGCAAAGGGAATTAGTATGCATCCCTTTTCTGGATGAAGTTGCAGAGCTGTAGTCTGTGCCTAACCCATGCGGTTCTTTTAATTGCTATTAAAGACACAGGTGTGTCACTCATGTTTCTAACACAGACTCTTGACAATGGCTCCATCAGACATTCAAATTAAAAGGGTTATCCAAAAAAAACCCTAGATTTCCTTCAAATAGATACCACTGCACCATCTCACCCATTGGGGGTTGTAATAGATAAGCTTTAAAAGTCCCTTCCAACCCAAACTACTCTATGATTCCATGATCTCACAGGGGTGAAAGACCCTGAAATTTGTTTAACAGAACATCATTATGTATCTACTCCTCACATGGTGCACTGGAGGGTATTGAAGTCTATGCCATGTGTGGCACATGCAGACACACATGATGAAGAGACAGTCTACAGAAGTTGAGGAGTCACTGTCATGACAGTAATTAAATGTCACTTTAACATGGCCCAGTTAATATGTCTGACCTCCATAAAACCTGCTCATTGCCATCACATTTATTCAAAACTATGTCTCATGCCATGTTGCCAGGTATCCATGTCTTGCATAGAAAATCTGTTCTGCCTTACCACTGGAGGGATGAAATCTCACTCAGCCTGGGCTAGAAAAAAATGGTGTTGTTAAATACAATGTTATCAACATGCTTGCTTAATACTGAAATATAGCAAGCTGACCTAAGATGCAGCACAGTAACAGATAAACCACTGAGAGTTACTTAAAAGTGGTAAGCTTTTCACTTCATGATACTTTCACTTGATTGGTCTTTCCATAGCAAGAAACACAGTAAAGTCAAATCAAAGAGTTTATTTGTACATGAAATAGCAAAAATAGCACCACTGAGAGCTACACAGTAAAAATTTTATTTAACCCTGGCATGTGAACATGTTACTTAATTTCATTTTTCAGTAAAGCAGAGTCAAATTTTATCTGCTACTGGGTAAGAAAAAAGACTCTAACACTGGCAAATGGTTATCTCTGCACTTTAGCAGTAGGGTCTGATTCTGGAGTGGTTAGAGACAGCTGTGGATTATGGTCAATTTAGCCAGCTTGGAAGCACCATGCCATATGGTGAACGTGCCAGCAGGGCAGGGTGTCTCTTTTCTGTCTACAAAAGACCTGATGAGATTTCCAAACACATTCAGCACTTAGTGCCTTGTGTCAGGTTCATTACCCCGATCTCTCAATATAAAATACTTTGTGCAGAAGAGTTTTGAAAATGCAGCTGCTTTGCTGGCTGGCTTATATAGCTGAGGCCTGATCACCTTTGAGATCAACACCTTTGTGGGTAGGATTGTCTTGGTGAGAGGGTTAAAATCCCACATGGCCTATTGTGAAGGTCTTTTCAGACTCCATCCCCTCTTTACTTTCTCTTTGCTGTCTCAAGTTAATTTTGGCAAATAGCCGATAGGGGGAAAGGGACAGTGTCTGACTTTTTGCTTTCACCCTCAAACAAAACTTCCTCTGGGTTTCTGAAGACTCTTTGTTCTGACCCTTTCATCAGAGACCTTCAACCTTCTCCTAGACCAGACTGCAACTTCTCACATACCCTCTAAAACACAACCATGCCAAGTTATAATCATAATGAATTATCCAAAACAGTGAAGTTGGGTCACACTTGACTTCCTGAGATTTTTAATGTCAGGTGATTTTCTATGCTGCTCTGGTTGATTTCTGGGTGAAGGAGTGGTAGAGAGCTGTGTGTGCGCTGACAATGAAAAGGGGATTTGGCATCCCTGAGCTGATGAAGGACAGCACTGTGGCTTTTTGCAGAGGCATCTCCCTGACAGAAGGAAGATAAGATCCATCTGGTAGGACCAAACCCTCTGAGTACTGAAGTTCTTGCACAGGGAGCAGTAAGGAGGTTTAGATCATCTCTGTAGTCTCTTCAGGACTTACTGTCAGATCTCACATGGTCCCATAAAAAGTAGCTCCTGTAGGGTACAGATTCACTCATGGGCAGAGAAACATTAAATTTAATATGGAATTTCTGGGAAACACGCTTTGGCTGTTCGTAACTGTCTGTCCATTGTGAGCTGAATGTACTGGAGACCTCTTCCCCAGCTTTGGCATGGCTTTGCCTTCCTCCCCCCTATGTGGATGGCAGATAGCACCAAAAATCCTGCAATCAGCCTGTGTCTCAGAGTTAATGCCCTGGGCTGCACAGTGCAGGATTTTATTTCAATTTCAAGGGTGAGGGGTAAAGCTTTGGAAAGAATTAACCAGGTAACAGGCAAAAATTTTGTCATCTGAATGGTTTTGCATAAACCACTACAAAATGCATTGATACTGTATGCTCTTCAAAAAAAAAGAAAAAAACACTTATTTTTAATGTTGTAATATGCCCTGATGTTAGAGAAAACAAAAACAAATTCACATATCACATCAAATATAATAATAATTATTATTATTATTATAATTCATAAAAATAATCTGACCGACCGGCAGCATTTGTTGGCTTTAGAAGGCCTCCCACAAAAGAAACACAGTTGAAGACATCTGAGAGCTCTTGGCAGGTATGATAAATTCAAGTTTTAAAAACAAGTCTGGGGATACTCCCTGCATGCTAGGGCCCTTTGACATTGGCAGGTCTGGCAGCCAGGCTTGCATAGTAAGCACACTGCGTCAGGTCACACTGCCCGTTGACTCCTGGAGGTCCCTGTGGACCCGTGAGACCAGGCACACCAGCTTCTCCTTGAGGGCCGGGTGGCCCTGGCATCCCATCTTTGGCATATCCAGGCTCCCCTGGGAGGCCTAAAATAAAAACAAAATATCCTTGGTGGGCGATACCCACAGGGTGCAGTATTCAGCAATGTAAGATCACAGAGATGGCTTTGTTGCCAAACTATGATGCAGACATCAGCTTCCACAGATTTTGGTCTGGTTAGCATATATCTACGAGAATGTGACACGTCTCCTCTGAAAGAAAGATTTCCGCCCACTATGGCATCCTTGGGCTGCACAACTCTGATATGGCTGCATTCCTCTATCACCATGTTGAAGTTGTGCAGCTGCATGAGCCAACTAATGGCGTAGAGTCCCCAGAGAGAGGAGGTGAGGTTGGGAAAGCTTGAGGTAAGAGCCAACTTTGGGATATAACTCATTCATGTACAAAGCATAGTGGGTACACTGTTATTTTAAGGCAGTGCAGAGCCAATATGACAAATGCAGACCATGAACTTATGACTGTGGAATTCCCAGTTTCCTCCCCCAACAAAACAGGGTGAAGGCAAAACTGATCAATGGTTCCAAATTTTAAATTAGAAACAGAATATATTTGCTGCTTCTTTGTCAGCAAAGGTAAAGCACAAGCTGTATGCCTGAAGCACAGGTGTTGGATATGACCTTTTGTAACATCTGAAGCTGCCTGGATCTCTGGGTTCAGCTTGGTCACAACAAGATTCTATCAAGGGCAGATGGGACACTTCACAATGTATCTAGTAATTAAAGCTTCTCTTCGGATTTGTCCCAAAGGTGAGTTAACCTAGCTGTTACTGAGATGGATCATTATACCTGTCAATCAGGCTGAGAAAACAAATGTGGCCAGATATGATGCTAACGATATCTTTCTTCCATTTGGGCCACTTTCTACAGAAATTGTGTATGCCATATTTATGTTATCCTGATCATCTATCTAACATGGCAGAAATCTGCATCCTTGTAGTGGTTCTGAGTGACATGTTTTGTAGGGTGTTCTGAATAAACACACCTGGAATTCCTGGAGGACCTATTTCCCCTCGTTGGCCAACGCCAGTGTCTCCTTTCTCACCCTTTGCTCCTCTCTCTCCTGTAGAGAGGGAAAGAAAAATAATGAGCTGATGAGCATGATCTACAGAACTAAAGAATACTACTGTAGGTCTTCCATCCACACTGAAGCCAATATATTTACTAAAAACAGTTATTAATTGTGGCCAATCCTCTGAGATGGGACGTTAAGTAGGAATTAAGACTTGCCCCACTCCAATTCTGGCCAGATGTGGAACACACCAGCAATTGCTACTGACATTCACCACCTCTGATTCGACAGACTGAGGCTGCTTCTAGCATTTTGAGGACCACTTAGATGATATTAACAAGAGAGGTGGATGCCAAAGTGTGGTGGACACATCCCTCTATGGGACTGCCCAAACACACCAAGTTTCACTCACCTTTAGGACCTATTGGTCCAGGTGGCCCTTCAGACCCAGTCTGGCCAGGCCGGCCAGGCTCTCCTGGAGGGCCAGTTCTTCCTGGGAGTCCTTCCTTCCCAGGGGGACCGGGAGGTCCTGGTCTGCCATGGGATGCTTTTACATGTGCAGGCTGTATCTGAGCCAGGAGATAGGCTAATTTTGCTGTGAAGAAAGGGAAATGGATTTTTTAAACTAGAAGGTCAGTACTCCAAGAGATGAAGAGACAGAGCCACTGGCCCAGTAAAATCCAAGTACTGTCACAGATCAGTTTTTCAGGGCCACACATTTGTTGTCCCCACAATCCTTCCCCATAAGCTGTGATGATGCCTCCCTGGCCCTCTCTGAATTATTTAAACCTCATTTTTCAGCAGCTTTAAACTTCTCCTAAATGTCATACTTAACCCTAAACACTTCTCTCATCCTCTGCCCCTTGTTCACCAAGGATCTGAAACACCCCTTCCTTTAGGTGAACAGCTGGTGGATTTCTGTCAAACTGGAATCATTGATACTCTGACAAGTAGAGCCTATTTCCACTGCTTCTGCTACACAGAACAAGATGCTACATGGCTTCTCTGTAGGGAGAAAGCTTATTTTTCTTGTTCTGAGCTGTTACACATGTGGAGTTAAAGCTAATGGACCCATCTCTGGCTGTGAAGTCAGAAACTGTAACTAAGGCAGCACCCTGCATCAGCATATTCTCCAGTTTCCAAGCAGGCACATTGCTTGACACTTCCATATTAAGACCCTGAACAGCCTAGAGAGCTCTTAAGACATACTCAGCATCACAGAAACATCCTACAGAATACAAGGAGAAGGTTTTTCTATCTTCTGTTCATTGATCCAAAAATCTTGAATGCTTTTAGATTGGCATGGCGTTTGAAGTCTGAGAGTGTGTAAATAAAATCCTTCAAATAAATCACTCTATTGAACCATGATCTTTAGCATGGAGGAAAATGCCTGCAGCTATGTGTCAGCTGCTCCAAGAGCTGTGTGAGAAGAAGCACTACAGCTCTTCATTTCACTGTAGATTGGGTCAGTAGTTACTGCAATTCATATACTTTGAGAGAAGCAGCAGCCCACATCCACTCCACCCCCTTCTCATACTGATGAGTATCAAATGTCACAGCCAGAAATCAGGAACATTTCTCCTCCACCTGGGACCTCAAAAGCAAGTTTACATCATACCTGATTACTTTCTCTTTCAGACCCCCAAATTAATCTGTTTGAATTTGTACCTTCTCTTATCCTACCATCTCAGCCCAGGCATCTGACAGAGCAAGTCTGCAACAAAGCTGTTTGGTAGCAAAAATCCATGAGGCACTTACCACAGGCAATGGCCTTGGGTTGAAATGGGAGAAATCCCCTGTGCTATTGCTGAGAATGTCAAGCCTGGGGAATGGTAAAGCTTGCTAATCATGTTTCATTTTACACATTCCCCCTTCCAGACAGGCTTGTTGCAACATTGCCTTCCATAATCAGGAAAGGTTCAGGTGCCATGACAACTATGGAAAGTATCTTTCATACTCTCAGATATATCTTCCTGCTTCCCAGAGCTGATTACTTACCATCTAGTTGCTTGGTTAACTCCTCTTGGATGAGCCTTCTCAAAGTCTCTAGAGATGGGGGCTCCCCCTGGGGAATAATAATCACAGCAATAACAAGACATAATAATCACAGCCAGGGGATGTGCCAATTATACCCTCCACAAAGGGTTTAGTGGGTTGCATTTCATCATGCACAGCATACACAGGGCTGCAGGGACTGCCTGAAAGAAGAATGTAAATGAACTCAAAACATCCACAGTTCTCAATCTGCTGGCAAATGATGGACTCAACGATGTAAGCAGGGAGACTGGTCAGAGGGCACAGTTGGGACACTGTCCCTGTCTCCTTCCTAGAGAAAAACTCCCTCCCATACACTATATAGCAGAAGCAGTAGAATTTGAATCAGGAAACATCCTCTGCCCTACTAGATCAAAGTGGAAAGCCCACCTTCTTTTTCAGCATTGCACGTTTCCTTGCAGAAAGAAGCATGTGTACTCCCAGGGTAGTTAAGGTGGGTATCTAGACTTGTTGTAAACACTTACACTGGATGCACTGCCTGCCAACAGGCCTTATCTCAGGGAACAGAAGCCTGTTTACACATATGATATCCATCCTTCCAAACAAGTACAAGGTTCTGCCTGATTTCAGGCTGTTAAAGGGAGACAGGGAATGTGGCTTCCTGGCCTTGGTCTCCTACCCAGCCTCCAAGGGACAGTATCTTTCATTCCCTCTCTCAGCTCTTTTGTGCAACATTGCTGTTGAACAGCTGTAATAGCTGTCAAATCTCAAAGCTATGTGAACAATTCTGGGTAATGCAACTGAAAAAATGCTGAAAGCATTTTTGGTAAGTGGAAGGAAAATTTTTTGGGTTGTGGCTTTCCAGAAAAATAAAAGAGGCGGGTTTAGAGTAACCGCTCTTGTCTTTGCATAAACTCAAAAAAAAAAAAAAAAAAATGTAGCTATATTTAAAAAATAAAACATTTTGAACCGGCAATATCAAATGTTTTCCTTCATAAATCATAAAGTGATATGTTTCACTTGAAATACACTTTTTATCTTTTGGTTAAAATTATTCCTTGAATTTCTGCCAGTTTTGAAAATACTTCTGGTCAACCTGAAGACTACATTCTTTTGTGTATGAACTACTTGCATGAAAGTGTTGCTTTCCCCTTACGCCTATCCTTTTAACATACAAGGATGTAGTCTGTGTCCTCTAGGTTTAAAAAAATCTCATGAGGTCTTCTGAAGCAGAAGTTACTTTTCATTAAGAAATGTAGATTTTATTAAATAGGTAAGGGACATTCCAATTTTAACCAATAACATTGCTGAAAAGTACAGAGTTGGTCTATTTGCTATCCTCTTCCCAATGCAAATTTTCTATAAGGAAAAGATGTGATTGTTGGTGATAAAAGAAACAATTTTGTCATTAAGTACTAAGCATTTGTGATGGCTCTTCATGAATATCCCAGTAAGTAAACATGATTGTGGAACATACTTTGAAGGCTTACAAATTATATTTTCAAATTTTAAACCTATTAGTTGCATTAAGTCTCCATAATCATCCCTGGATTTCATCAAATATCTACATTGTTGAGACACAAAAAGAAATGCTTTGTTTAAAATTTATCCAGCTTTTACATCAGAGATTATGTCACTGTTTATTCCCTTCTGAGGTAATCTCAAATTAATCCTCAGGATAGGCATAGCAGCTTCACTAGTGTTGGTAGTTTTTCTCATTCTTCTACATACGTTACCCTCAGGCACTCTCAGTAGGGAGATTGTTTCCCATTTAAAAAAAAAAAAAAAAAAAAAATGGGATTTAATGAATTCTGATGAGCTGACTCCAGGATTTCCAGGAATAGAGCAGTGACCTTTCCATAGCTCAGCATTTTTTCTCTCATAACAACCAGCAGCAGAGGAAGGCATAAGACCTCAGTATGAAATGCTATTCATTAACACCCTAATACAAGGAAGTTTTTCCAGACTCCAGACCCACAGGTATAGTCACATGACTTGATTTAGGCTTTTAGGGGTATAAGGTGTCAGGGACTGGACACCCTGGCTACAGGTCTGGACTGCTCAGGTCTCCCGAAGTTTAGTCTAACACCCCCACAACACTTCCCTGAGATACACTACAGCCCTCCTTTTTATGTATTAAGAGATAAAACCAACTCTGCCTCCCTATTATACCACATACTTGCTCTGGTTTCTATCAGCCTTAATGTAATATTAGGTACTTTTCTGATCACACACTAAAATTCCCCTACAAAGCCCTTCTCTGACAATCTTACCCTTGGTCCTGGAAATCCTGGCTGTCCTGGAGGACCCGGAGGTCCAACTTGCCCAGTGTCTCCTGGGGGTCCATGGGGACCCATCAGTCCTGGATGGCCTTTATGACCAGGTATCCCAGGATCACCTGGAGGCCCTTTTTCTCCTTGAGGGCCTTTTTCACCTTTGATGCCAGGCTCTCCCTAAGTGGAAAAAAAAAAAAAAAGTATATTACCACCGCTAAATAAAAGGCAAACTTCTGATTTCCAAGCACAGCGAAACATGAACAGCTGAGCTGGCAAAGTTACTGAATACAACATCTGGTGCATTACAAATGATCCACGAATTATTACTGACAGAGAATGATTAAAGAGAGGGCTGGGAGGGTAGAAAGCATGGCAAATCTCTACAGGCCATGCTTTACTCTTGAATGACCCCTTCCCCCAGTCCTTAACTTAAAAGAGTTCTCTTTATTTCAATGTAATGAAATAACTAGTAATATTCGTCAACCTACCCTCTCTCCTTTGGGGCCAATTTCACCCGATTTTCCTGGTGAGCCCTGCATCAAAATAAGGGTAAGTATTAAAGAGCTATCCATACTAACAGCAAATAATAAAGCACATGCTTTTGCAGTGATTCTTGTGACCTGGGGAAAATTTACTTCCCTGTCACTCCATAGTTTCCTGAGAGCTCCCTGTTTGCTCTCAAATATCAACAATTCAAGAAAAAAATCAATTTGTTGCAACACAGGTAGCATCCTCGATGTTTTTTTTTTTTCCCGAGACACCAGCTCTACTTTGAAACAACTGGGAATTTAACTTACCTCTTTTCCAGGGGGACCTTTCTCTCCTGGTTCACCCTGGGAGACACAGAGAGTGAATTTAGTGCCATACTGCAAAGAGTTGGAAGACCCTACCTAATAACTACAAGTCTTTCTGTTTGGAGCTCACAGTTTCTGCTACACAGGAGCAGGTTTGTATGATTTATCCTTATCCTACTACTATAGGTCATTCCTGGAAAGACACATCCTACTATTTAGAAAGAATTTTTTAGTAAAGCTGAATACCGTGTAAATGTAAATAACAGGAAGTAATTTCTAACAAACCAGCTGAGAACAAGACAGATGTTTCATTGACAGTTTGTTCCTGCTTTCAATACATTTTATTCCTTCTTCTTACAGACATTTCACAAAGCTTTGTATGCTTTTCTTGGCCTGGTTTAGCTTAAGAAATGTCAATGTTATACCCATTAGAGTCTAAAGATGTAAGGGAAGTAAATTTTGTAAATAGAGGTACCATCTTGTATTACACCAGCTGAGATAATGGATACAGAAGCAGTGATAAAGGAAGTTTGAGCCTGAAAGCTTGCCTGTATTTCAGAACTATATTAAATAACCTCAGTTTGAACAAGCACCCTATTAGGATTTTTTATCTATACTATGCATTTATAATGTGATAATTAGGCAATACAGTTTTGCATTTTAGCATTGCAATTAAAAAAATGTCACTGCAGTCCTGAGGTGAACTAATAAAGCAAAACAAACATTAAACTAGTTATTGCTAAAATTCTACCCACTTTCCCCTATCATGAATGGAAAGACTCATCTTTTTAGTTCATTTACAACCCACACATGAAAATATCTATAAAGTGTGCATGGAGGTGGTATTTTTCCCATAACCTGGAAACACATCTAACATCTGCGACAGTGCTAACATCTATACATGTATGCATGTGTAATGTGACTAATCACAGCCATGTGATAACATCAGCTCCAAATAAGGCAGCCTCAGTCTCACTTGAGTATTCCTTAGGGCCACTTCAGTTTTAAATGGCCACTGTGTTTGCTGCTTTAAATTAATTTTCCAGATAAATATTTCTTTCTCATCTTTTCATCATGAAACTCCCTTTCCAATCATAAAAAAAAAAAAAAAAAAAAAAAAAAAAATCATCCTATGAAAGATTCAGCTCTGCTAGATTCACATGAAAACCTTTTAAATCTCATTTTAAGTCACAACAGAGCTAGAAACAAAAATATTTGCCTAACAATCACCTTTTCCATTCTTCCACTGGAATGTAATATGTTTTACTCACCTTGGAAGGGCTAAGGATACTGGATTTCAAAGCTGTGATATTTTCACATGTATCAGTTTTATTTTCGATCACTTTGGGAGATATATGAGAGCCTTAATTGCAATGTATCTCTGTTGTTGGTAAGAAAGGAATTTTACTTGGAACAGGAAATATCAGAAATACCTATATTATTATCAGCACTTAAAAATTCCCTGTTTAGCCCTTCTGGGGTTCATGCAGAGATATAGTCTGAGAACTTAAATACCCCATACCCATATTAAGAAGACTATCGAACCAATCCAATTAATGCACACATTAGCAGGGCTGACTGTCTGACAGGTACCACCTCAGTAAATGAGATCATGGATGTTCGTCCATATGAAAAATGTTCTTTTTGCAGTACAATTTCCTCTGGAAGGAGAAGTGTATGACTTCTTGATCTGTCAGATCTCCTGCATAGGTTTTTTTACCTAATTAAAGATAGCCATGTATCATCTTCATCTGTCCAACATTTAAAAGTAGGTAATTAGTGGGTCTAATCCATCCCCAGACATACTTACAGGTGGTCCTCGGGGTCCTATGAATCCAGGGAGTCCTGGGCTGCCATTTTCTCCTTTATTTCCTTTAGGACCCTTAGGACAGAAATGAGACAGACACTAGCAGCCCTTTCTCCCACAGCTGTTTTCCAGAGCATGCATTGACAGGTACATTGGAACTGGGAAATTTCACTGTAGCAGCAGGACTCCCAAAATTGACAAGGAAAGGAAGAACAAAGTCATTTAGAAAAGCAGATTGCAAACCCCATGCTTGCATTATTAATAAGCTGTGTGGGGTCCTTGTGAAAAGATGAAAAGGCAGTGACAATTATGGAAGTGACAGGAGGTATGTTCAGTGGCTATTCTGGCACTACATAGTTTATAAGGTGGTGTTGCAGAGTGGAAACAATGTGATGTGCAACAACAGGGAAACAGTGCAGGTGGTCATACTGTTCAAGTCTGAGAATATAATCAACAGGCAGCTATTGAATTGCTTTTATTGCAGATTTTGCCTTTATTTCCAGATTCCATTTTAAAAATGTCTGCCTTTTACTTATCTCTTCTGATATTCTGCCAAACTCCCTTTTTCTTACAGATCAGGGCAGCTTAAATGGCAGTTCATGATACAAAGCCATTTCACATACACTTCTGATATTTTTTTTAACTCTTAACCTTTCACAACATTTTCCCCTGCCTTCTAGTTCAGAACATATCCCTTTTTCTTCTTAGAGTAAAACATGTCTTCAGTTTAAGCCTGTCTTGTGTAAAGTGAGCACCAATGAACCTGACAGGCACAAAGCACATGGCTTTTGGGTGTGCAATCAGCCCCAGAGATTTCAGGGGCTGGGCTGCATTTCTGTGTGCAGGCTTAAGCATGAGCCCTGTGAATTGGGATGGGCACTGTCAAGCAGCAGATGCAAAAGAATAAGGCTCCTGTCAGGTTTTACCTTGTGATTACTAGTCAGCAATGTAGAAGGTGGAAAAGAAACCCTTGTTGCCATGAAAACCTTTCTCACTTCTTTTTTTTTCAAAATGGAAATATAATATATTGGCTTGTCACACAAGATTGTGAAGGAAATTAGTGCATTTCCAGACAAGGCTGGAAATAAATGGATTCATGTACAGCACAAGGAAATACTTCCTATAATAAACTTTATGAAAGGGAGACGATTCATTTTAATGACAGAGAAGGATACTGATGAGATAACTGTTCTGCTGACCAACACTGTCTCATTGTTTTCCCTTTCTCATCCATCTGACTTTATCCTGTTTCAATCTCTTATGTTATTTTTGGACTCTAAATCCTCTGGAGCAGAGACTGCTGTAGTTCTATTTGTGCAGGAAGCTGCCTGGTGAGTCCCTGGGTCACTAGCTGACTGTCTAGGTAAAGCGATAACACGATGATGATTAAAAAATAACCCACATTTGGCATTCACAGGGCATCCCAAAACCACAGTGACCTCATGAAGACCCAGAAAGCCAAAAAGCGGTAACAGGAATTGGGAACAGGGGTGAGTGTTATGAGAAGAAGAAATGAAGGTTGAAAATGCAACAGCGGGGATCCATGGGACAGGAAGCAATGGCAGTAGTCTCAGGAAGGTAACAAGAAGTCATGTCAAGGATAAAAAAGCTGTAGCACTTATTCTTGGCTGAAGAAAGTCTGTGGGACTGCACCACATCTGCCCCACATGTATTCTGTGAGTTATTACCTCCCCAACCAGAAAGATGTTGCTTGCTTCTCTGAAACCACTTGAGACATCCCTGCAGCAAAGCAATACATGCTCCGGGCACAAATCTGTGGTGAGGCTGAGGTTGCTTTATGGCATTGCAAGGGCCATAAAGAAGAGCGAAATCCTGCTGCAATTTTTCTGATTTTTCCTGCTATGCTTTTGTTTCTATCTGAATCTAACTGTCCAGAAAGCTGTAATGTCTAGGTGGACAAAGAGAGGGAAAAGCCCTGCATTGCAATAGATGCTACTGGACACAAAAATACATTTGCACGGATTTGCTGAATACTGAGCAATTTTCAGCAGAAGAACAGAGAAAAAAAAAATAACTCCTCACTGTCCTCCTTACAGCTCTTCATTACCATGCTGTTCTTCCATACAGGATGGCCCCAGGGGGGTTTTCATTCTGCTTTGTGATCTTGGTTTACTGCCCACTGTCTGCTCTTTCCCCAAGTGCCTGGGGAGGATTTTTCTGCTGCTGCTATTCCTTAATGGCATTCTGCCAACTCCCCGCGGCCCTCCCCTTGTGACAACTCTCTGTTGGCTGCACAGTCTCTGCTTGGTAAAATTAAATCTACTGGTGAAGATGATGCATGCCAATCTTTTTTCCATACCAGGTAATCAATCATTTCCTTTTTCAGTGAACACTTAACTTTTGCTGGGAAAATGATGACCCAGCTAGCAGCTCAATTCCAGGAATATAGCCAAACCCCCTCCGATGTCATGGCCAGCCCGTGATTTTCAGATCACCAATCTTCAGACACTGCAACTTCAGAGATGGTAAGCATCTACACATAATCCACTCCATCTATACTTCATCAGTCACCTCTCCTTGACATAACTGCTTGCTGCATGAGTTTCCCTTTGTGGTACTTACTGGGTTACCTGCTGGGCCAGGTTCTCCTGCAGATCCAGGCGATCCATTCTTACCCTACATCAAAAAGAAAAAGGTTAGTTAAGTAATGTATACTACAATTAAAAATATCCACCTACTGCTACACCAGCAGGGATTTCTTTATCATTGTCTAACTTCCTCTCTTGGGCAGACTGCAGAGTAAGGATCTCTTATTTCCAAATGACTCCACAACTTCTTCATCCCTCATTGCGTGGCTGACCCCATATCAGGACAAAAATGGAGAGATGTGGACTGAAATCCCCTAGTCTTAAGAGGACCAAACCAGCACTCCTTCTCCACTTCCTTTTCTTCACCCTTATCCCTATCCTATGTAGCATCCTCCTGGATGGATGGAGCCACCTGCCATGGCTGCTCCAAGTCACCAGTGTTTAGACAAGCCCCTTTAGTCTGTGTTTGAAGCACCTCTTGGCAACTCGCTGATCAATGTTAGAGTGCTCTGCACTAGCTGACAGATATCTCCAGATCCCCCGCAACCTTCCTGTGTTAGAAAACTTCCTCCAGTGACCAAAGTAGGTCCTGCAAATTACTGCCTACCTATCATCCTCTTCTCAGGGCTATCATCTGAATGAGGGTCTAGATGCCAGACATCTATTTTTTAATTATTTCAGGCTTCTTCTTTTGGGAAGGGAGAGAAACATTTGTTCTAAATCCGAGGCATTTGATACTTCCCTGAAACCATATGATTTAGAATAAGCCAAATCATCCTTTAAAAGGACCTGTTTCTTACTGTTCCTTATCAAAATAGCTGAGCTGACCATCTACACTGACTAAAGTTTGGTGAGATAAAATTCTACACCCTGATCCTCTCAACTCACCATGCAGAGATGTTTTTCCCTGTATTGGAATTGATCATAAAAACCAGCCCTTTTACTGGCTCATGCTTCGTGCTTCTTATTAGAGAATAAACAAAGCAGAAGAACAAGAGAAACTGATACTTTGCCCTACAACATACAAAACCCCAAACATCTCACCTCCAAAGAAGAATATGGCCTGGAGTTATGATAATTTCTGACTCCTTGAAGTTTTTTATTAATTTCTGGAGTTGTGCAGGGGCATGACACGTTAGCAAGTGATGGCAGCATTACAGGATTAATGAAATAAATTACAAGGCAAACACAAGAGCTCTCCATATGTTCCTGCAGTCTAATTTAAACCCCTACTCTCTCAGATCAGAGGGACCTGCTGCCCCAGCTCCTGACTTTGCTGGCTGAATCAGCATTTTGCCCTGATTATGGAACACGTTGCAGAATCTGTTTCACTAGCAGGTCTTCTGAGAAGGAAAAAAAATCACTCATTGCAACACATTAAATATGTGCCTAGGTTCAGCAACAGAGACCTGTATTCAAATTTGGAAAGGGTTGATATTTAAGAGAGAATCGAAAAACCGATGCAATTAATAAATGGAATTTCTCAGCTATCCAACATGATAATTTCTGAAATGTCAACTAAATTGCTATTTATCCACTGAAGTTGTAATAAAACTCTACAGGTGTTGAATTAATAAAAAATTTTCCTAAAATAATGCTTTTTTTTTTTTTTTTTTCAGAAAAACTTACAGAAGCATGACAAAAATCAATAGTATCAAAACTGGACCCCATATATCTCAAATTGGGCACCCACAATTAGTGTCTACCCTTGAAATCTGAGGCCACGTGAGAAGCAAATGAGTTACCAGAGGCAGGACTGGAGTATGAGCACTTCTGACAATGCAGTCCTAGCAGAATCCATTAAACTCTTCTTCCCACTGAGTCAGCATCCATCACACCATTTCACTATTATAAATCGTCATCAGTTTCTAGCAATATCATTCTGATTTGTCTTTATCAAAGTAGTCAAAGTGTTTTAATCAAACATCACCTGAATCTTCCTTAAGACTCTTCTAATCCAGAGTTCTGGACTGCAGGGACCTTCCCACTATATACAGTGTACCTCTAGAAATGGTTTGTCAGGACAGAAAACTCACCGGCTGCCCTCTGAGTCCTCGAGGGCCCTGTGGTCCTATGGGACCAGTATCACCCTGAAATGAAGAAAAGCATTCTGGTGAGTGCGAAATATCTGACACGAAGGCAAGCAAACAAGCACTTAAAAATGTTCCTATTAAATTGCACTGTTCACATATTAGGGGTAGAGAGAATTAAAGAAGTCTCAGTTATGGATGAGGAAGACCAGCCTTTGAATTTTCAACATCTATCACTAAACAAAGTCTCATTACAGGCAGAAACTATTACCAGGTTATCTTAAAGACAGATTTCTCAGGGACAGATATTGTCTTGTATTTCTCTAGAACTGACTACTTTGTTCTTTCTTGACAGAGGATTAAGACCTGCTTCTGTTTTCTCTGAGGGGTTACCTTAGGTCTATCTTCCATTTTACTTTGTAGGGCACCATTTACAGCACAACAGTTTTCCAGTAATACAAGGGGCTGCAAATGAGAAACCACTTCCCAAAGTCCCGTGGCAATGGCACATCAGCCGCTTGGTATATTGCTCAGCAGCTGCTGCAGGATCCCACGTCAGCTACACACTCCCAGGACTTTGTTATGTGACTGTATTTGACACTAGTAATGTCAGAGGATCTGTTTCTACCATCTCTCTTTCCTCTGAGCAGCAGCATCTTATTCTGTAGGTATTTCATAGATTTCAGTGTAGCTACACAAGCATCTGCAGAGGAAGCGTGACAGAACCTGGCCCAGTGGGACATGCAGAATGAAGCACTGCTCAGAGAGGGGGGGCAGAAACCAGGTCTACGGCTATCCAGCAGAGCCTGGGATTCAAACAATGCAGCTTTCTTTGCTTTTCCAAAGATACAGATGACATTTAAGTGTCAGCAGCTGAGCAGGGACAAAGGCCCTCAAATTCTTTGTTACCCTAATGATCTTTGCACAAATCATTCCCTGTGCACTGCTGCAGTAATTCACCCTTTATTGCAGTTTCTGCAGCTGTTTTAGGTCAGGGTCACTGTGAATTAAAATCTTCATTTGTCAGGGAGAAGGAGATTAGTTTCTGTTCAAAATTGTATACTTACATCCTTCCCTGGTGGCCCCTCACGACCAGCAGGACCTGTCACACCTGGCTCCCCCTGCAATTCAGCAGAAATGAAAGAGATATCAGCTCAAAGTCAAAGACAGACCAGTAAGACCACTATACATGATATGGGGTTTCTCCAATATTGGACTGAGCTCATTGAAAACTTTTGATGTCAACAAGAGCCTCATTCATCATACGTGACACACAGCTTATAAAAATAACTCAGAAGCATCTTCTGTAAGCAATGCTCAAGGCAGTGCACTGCTTTTCAGCAGAATATTTGGTACTGCAAGTGCAGTCAAAAACCACCAAACTATTCATGATACAGAAACTACTGTAATGGGGAAGAGATGAAGAACTCCAGCAGTGGATTTTTCAGCTAAGCCTCTGCAAGCAGAACATTTTATTTCCCTGTAAAACGCCAGAATTAAGAAGGACTGTATTGTTTTGTATTCCGCTTTCTACACTAGTAACTTTTTTGTACTGTAGTGTTCAGAACAGAGAGAAGACCAACTTTTTATGCAAGGCTTGAGTTTTGTTTTTTATGATCCACAGTTAACTAAGCCAAAGGGCTAGAGACATTTTTATTCTCATTTCTGTAAGTTGTGTCCTGAACTTATTTTTCACTTCCTTAGGCGTTTTTGGAGGAGAGCTGATACTTGTCCAACAAGTACAAGTAGAGTTCCTGTTTTCCAGCATTCATACCAGAGGGATGTAGTATTGAAGCATCCTTGAAAATTCCTCACAAAGAGCTATCTCAAAAGGAGCATCAGAGGACTCAGTTCTACCAGCTGCCTCACCTTACCTGGAATCAGAACTTCAGCAGAGGGAATGAAGACAGTTGCTGTGATTTTATGTTGTAGGTGTGGCCCGTGGAAATGTAGTTGAAAGCAGCCATGTTAAACACAGACCTGTCATCATTTTTACCTATTGCCTCAGAAAGGTCAACTTTAATTCATACGATCTTTCCCCAAAGGATCGTGCATGAGGTACACATTACTTACCCGGGGACCTGGGGGACCTGTATCTCCTCTCTGTCCTTTGAAACCCTACAAAAGAGAATGAAATCAATAATTACCCATTACACTGAAGCATGAAATACTCAGAAAACTGTATACTGAATGTTTGCATAGTAACCTTCGCAATTTTGCCTAAGATTACTGGAGGCTGGTGAGCATGGAGATGTCATGTCCCAGGGAGTGATTAGGAAGGGCAACATTACAGGAAGAGCTTTCTGTAGCTCCTTAGGCTGCAAGACCAAGACTGTAGTGTGTGTATTCCTGGGGTGACCAGGCAATGGATTATTTAACTTTAAATTTCATTGTTCTCATCCTTTCAGATGGTATGTAACAGAACACAAGGACTACAGTTATGATTATGCCTTCTGGTAGAAGGGGTGTCATGAAGTTATATGATTTAACTTCTAGGTAAGGGACCTACTTTTCTCCAAATGTGAAGGATTTAGAAATGCCTGTGTTTGATTTTTGTTGTTTATTTATTTATTTAGTCACAATGCTATGACTATTCTCAGACAGGTCAGCTCTTTGATTATATGGTTGCAACAAAGCCTCCCAGTTACAGTAAAGAGTGACTGGATTGAACCCTTCAGAGCAGCACCTACCGGTAAGCCTCTGGCACCCTCCTGGCCTGGGAGCCCTGGTTCTCCAGGCTTTCCCTATGAGAAACAATAATGCTCATGTTAGTGAGAGTCTCAGGTCCATCTCTCTGCTGTTGGAAACTTCTCACTCTTTTTCCTTAGAAGTAAGATCACTGAGAACTGTGATTGCCTAGGGTCTCTCCAGCAACACCGGAGTCTGAGCATGCAAGGAGGACAGTAGTGACAGACATTTCCATACATACCCCTGCCCGTGCTGTCACAAATGCAGCCCTTGAGGTTCAAAGGCAGCTTACACCTTTGGACTTGTGCGCTTTTATAGTGTTTTAATATTGGAGGGATAAGGCACAGAACTTCATCAATATTTACTCAGCATGTACAAAATTGGTATTTGCACATAGAAACCACACATTTTGACACAAGCACACAACTGCCTCCAGCTGTGGCAACAAGCGCTGCTCCACATACCAGTTGTCCTAAGACTGGGAACTTGGCTCTTCCAGAACCACTAGGTCCCATTTGACAAGTCACAGAAAGAGGATGGTAATGCCAGATACTGGCAGCACATTCTTCATATAACAAACACAGTTGTAAGGAATAACATTCACTGCCCAGTTTATTAACATTTCCTTTTGGCTGACAACTTCATGGCTCAGATTTTTTACCTCAGCAAACACAAGTATAGACTAAATAGAGAAAATAAAATATAAAACCTCAAATCCTGGACAACAGAATTGTCACAGAGCAATCCAGAGAAGGCTTCTTTAAATATACTTGCTCTAAACTTTTAATGCCCCATAATCTGCCTAAAAAATAGATCACTAGGTTTAATGTTACAAGACAACCTTCTTTCTCTGCGATATTTATGGTAGCTGTAAAAGTGGAATCACTAAGTTTTAGTGTATTTATGAAAGCTGTAAAAGTAAAAGAACTCATTTTCTTTTCAAGATTTCTAGTGGCTGACTCTTCTAAATTGCTCAAGACAATATAGTCCTTCTGGTGTTAAAAAAAGACGTACAAACAGGCTCCCTGCCCCCTCTAAGGAGTCCACAGATAGGCAGCTCCAAACATGGTAACTGGATGTAGGCTCTTATTGCCTGAGCAAAACAGTTTTAAATTACATTACCGGTTCCCCAAGAGATCCTGGCTTGCCATCCTTGCCGTCATTCCCAGCAATGCCCTGTAAATTAAATGCAAAACAAGGTATAAGGAAAGAGTCAATAGGGAAGATTGGTGTGTTTTTTGTCAGTGTGAGTTTCACAGTGACAACTCTGTTTCATCATGGCATACTTAAGTTTGCCTAACCCTTAAAAAATACCCTATTTCTATAGCTCAACCATAAACTTCTCCTTGCCACAACACTGTAACAGCATAAACTGTTTCCTCCTCCAATATGGAAAGTCTAAGGGGTTTTCTCCTTTTCAGCAAGGCTAGCACTCCAACAGTCTTAAATCAACATTATAAAACCAGCTGTTAAATCATTATAATGTCATTATCTTCATTCAGCTAGGCTACTTTACGCTATAAAGAGCACTGGATCTGTTCCTATGACAGGTTAAAAAAGCCAAAAATGTATTAATATATTTTCCGGAAGAGAAGAGTCTATGCCCAAGACGCACTTGAACTCGAGTCAGTGCAAAAGGAATTATTTCTACTGTGGATTCAGATAAAGATAGTGTTCCAGTCTATGAATGTTTGTGCCCTTGCTCTAGAGCTATTAGTCGATTTTTGTGCTCTGTATAAAAGTATTTCTTCCAATGAAGAGGCAGATAAGGAACCAACCTAATTCAAGCTGGTAATTAACAATTACACTTATCTTTACAATGATCAAATACAACATCCACACTGTCCTGGAGCAAGGATATAGCATCAAGATGACAGATACCATTACAGATCATGCGAGGCTTTCAAAACACCCCAAAAATGTCACCTCTTTGTTTTACACACCTATGTGTTTATGAACAGTTTAATGTATTGAATTAGAAGGAGCTGAATTGCACTCACTGGAGGTCCAGGCAACCCTGGTGGGCCCTGTGGACCTGGAGGGCCATCTTTACCCTGGAAAGAAAACAGAAACACTGCAGGTCGGACAAGCTCCTCAGATGATTTTATCAGATGAAGACTTATCAAATGTAGAGTTTGACAAGGGACAACTGTGAGAAGCTGGTCTTGTAGTTCATGTCACACAGTATATGAGGTTTCCTTGAATTCCTTCTAGTTCAATCTGGAGGGCTTTCTTTACACATAAACATCTAGTATTAGTTATAAGTTGTTACAGTGGAGAAACCACTGAAAATCATTGATGATTTTTTTCTGAAATTTGATTATATTTAGTCCTTAAATTCCTGCATGATGTGTCCAGTCAGGAAGTAGAAGATCAATATTTTATACCTATTAAATGAAAAGCACCTTGCTGACAGTCCCAACAAATCCCCTTACTCTACAGGACTGGACAATAGCATCCCAGGTCCTTCACAGTGTCTCAACCTTGATCATCCATTTGAGGGGCATTTCAACCAGCCTGTCCATGTAGTCTCTCGCCTCTCTGCTAAGAGTGCTCACTGATTTCATAATAGCCATCAGAAGGACCATCACTGTTCACTTATGATGAAGTTCAGGTTGAAATGGTTCTGCAAAAGGCACCTTGCTCAGTAGGAAACTCTTGTCTAGAAATTAATCACAGAATTAGAGAGTCTTATACCATTCCAGATCAACAGCAAGCATTACTCAGGGAAGGTTCATTTTTTCCTTTTCAGCCTAAAGCTAGCATCAATCAGATTACCTGTCTCTCCCAGGGTTTTTTGATGCATTACCATAAAGTATCATCTGAACATCCTTCAAATGAAACAACAGTAGCAAAATTCTTCATGCACTTATCAAAGGTTACATCTGTACTAGTACTGTCAGTGGTGGCAGGGAATGGTATCAGGTCCTGGCACCTGAGCAGTCTGTGCTGTGACATCTTTCAACAGGTTTCTGATTTCATTTTGACAATCCCCATGCACAGTTCAGGTGTTAGCCTGGGTCCTGAAGCATCCTAACAGATTTAGTCATCCTGTTCTAGAGGCTAAGAGATATTAATAGCAAGGACAGACAGACAAGAAGAAGAAAAACCTCCTTAGATGCCCCATGGACTGAATTACGCTCCAGCTAATTTGGAATTTCATTTGGTGAGTAAATAAAATTGAAAGAACAGAGTAATCTGTGGTTATTTGCAGAGATCCTACTTGCAGGTGTAGAGTTGATTCAAGATGAATATTTTGGGGAGCTTTCAAAGGACATTACATGAGTTCCAGCTCAGCTTTACTTCACAGAGCTAAATATAAGTAAAGATGGTGGTGAAACACACAGTTTAGTGCTTACTATGTCTCCTGGGTTTCCTGCTGGTCCTATTGGTCCAGGTGCTCCATCCTGTCCCTAAACAAAATAAAGTAGAAACAATGTGAGTGATTAACGCATTTTGTACATTTGTCAACACACTCTCTGCCACAGCTGGCAGCACTGAAGTTTTCTCCAGTCACTCAGTTCAGCATTCATTCCATTATTTTGTCATTCATCACAGAAAAGCAGTGCCAACCTCTGCATTCAATCAGCCTCTAAAGCCAGAAATATTCAGATATTTGAGTTTGGTCCTGGCCCTTCCTTCTGAAAATAGGGGACAAATAGGAAAAAGCCAATCTTGTGACAAAAATAACTCTGAAGAACAGAAATTATGGGAGCAGTTTGAAGCACACTCTGTGGCAAGTAAACTCCCGGAGCCGTGAGTCAATGCAGACAGAGGAAAAAGTCAGCAAAATTTAAAGGAAAAAATATCTAGAGGAACATCACATTTTGCTCTGCTTTGACAGGTTCAGTTTTACTTAGCACAATTCGTTTGACTATAAGTCTATTCAGAGGGTCTCATAGGACAGTTTTAAGAGTTTTAATCCTACTGGAATGGTCCTATGGCTATAGCTGTATGAGGTTAACACAGACATAGTAAATGTGTCTTTAGATTCTCCTAAAATAATGCTCACAGGAGCACAAATGACCCACAAAGCAAGTCCCTGTATTGTTCCAGGGGCAAAGCATTCATCATTCTTTAGGCACTTCTATCACCTGAAAACATAATTATAATCTAATCCTTTTATCTGGTACCTCCTGCCATTTAGTCAATGCAATGTAAATCCAGGTTTGAAGAGACTTTACTGATCCCCAGAACAGACAAAGGCTGCACACGCTCAGCATGGCAGAGCCAAACTGCACTGTAAGCAGCAATATGAGTAGTGATGACTGTGGGCAAAGAAAGGTGGTTTGGAAAGAAAAGTCCTTCACTCGGGAACAGTCCCAGTTCTTGGAGGGTGTAAGTGGTGATATCACAAAGAGGCGAGCCAAGTTATTTCAGCCCTGCTTCTGCACTGTCACCCCTTTCTAAATACAAAGAAGCATAATTGTATTTGCGGAGAGAGTAGATCTAGGAGTTAGGAGGACTGTGACAGAGAGGGACATGTGTAAAAGGCTTTTTAATTCAAAAGTAACCCACTGGATATGAAAATTTGAGAAAATCCAATCTTATACCACTGTGTAAAATTGAGAACTAAAATATTCTTAGATCTGCTGGTTCTAGACTCACAAAGTATTCCACATACAAAAAAAAAAAAAACCACCTATACACAAACTGCCAAGTAGTCTCTGCGGAAGAGTTTTCATCATCATTGTCTTGTATAAAGAGAGTGACTGAAGTGCAGTGTCAGTTTACAGAGTGAGTTGAAACAATCAGTGAAAAGCGGCCAGTGTATTAAATAGCAATTATCATGAGTGGGGAACTCTATGACACTCAGGGGACCATTAGGAACCCACTGGAAAATGCAAATGCAATGCACAGACAGATGGGAATGGTCCTTTCTTCCACATGGAGCTTGCAACAACCCTTATTAGTAAGGAAAATACAGGACTATCTTTGCAACAGAGGAACTTACAGGTGGACCAGGGTTTCCAGGAGCCCCAGAGAAGCCGGGCATTCCAGGGTGGCCCTGCAGAATGAAAAGACAAACTTTCTTTACTCATTATTCACAGATCTAGTTGTATAAAAGTTAACTGGTGATTGAACATTGTGAGGTAACATCACAGAGAGCTGGTTATAAGGAAATAAAGAACCCTGGCTTTTTAAAACAAAACCTTGGTTTTCAAAGCATGCACTTCAGAAATAAAAAGTTAAATTTAAGGTGTACTTTTTCTAATGTGTACTTCAGACTATGCTAATGGAAGATAAGAACAGATTTTGTAGAATTGTACAAGGCAGGAGATCAGGCAGAAAACCAAACCTGTTTAAAATTTTCTACAAATATAATTGAAGAGGTGTTGATTTATGCCTTAAACTATTGACTCAGCCCTCGGCAAAATAAACTGTAGAAGTAATTCACATCATTCCCCTCTTTCCTGTGGCATCTCAGTCCCGCCTAAAAGTGGTCATCCTTGCATTCATCTTCTAAGACAAGTAGAAACACTGGCTTTTTTGACCCAAAGACTGACCTCCCGGATCTCATCTAGGCATTAGCTGGGGAAATTACTAAAGGTTGGGCAATATAGAGAACTGAATGTATCCAATCTATAGGTGAGGAAACAGATCATAGGGGAAGATATTGGAGATGGGGACGGAAGACTGTGGAGGACTGCTACAGTCCCACTCTTCAGCATATCCCACTCATGGTTTATCTGTGATGAAGAGTTCTCATCTTCCTCCTCTGCCTCTGAGAAGGGTATTCCTCTACAGACATCATAGGAGCTATTGATGAAGGAACAATCACAATCACAGCACTGTTGGAAAGCACACTGTTTTTACCTGTCCACCTTTTTCTCCTGCATCCCCAGTCATACCACGGTCTCCTTTAGCACCCTGATAATGAAGAAAAAAAGCTGTTGAAAGTCACTTAGATTCTGTATTGTATCAACTTTTTCACCTATTTCATAAAGCACTTGGACATCTGAGCATAAAACTCCTAAATTAGGACTGAATCCTGTTTGCCCTCCTCTTAAATTATTCCCTAGATTTTTGCTAACAGTGTTGGAGTCAGGAATATATGTGAAGAATGTTTTTTTAGCAAACCCAGCATAGCCCTTTTTTTTATGTTGTAGCTTCATGGACATGAAGAGGGCTTACACATCCTTACAAAGTAGACGGGTTGTAAGCTTTACTAAATCAGATCTTGGTAAGGAATCATCTGGCCCAACAAAAGCATCCACAGTATGAGCCAGTAATCTCCTTTCCCTTCAGGGACAGAAGCAATAAAAACGGCATTTCTAAGGTGCAGTCAGAAAATTAATACCCAGAAATTTCACCCCCCTTTGTCTTTCTCTCCGAGTGACAACAGAACAGAGGCAGCTAAGTCAAATGTAGATGTCTATTACCAATGCTTAAAGCAAGGTAAGATGACTCTCACACAGTGAAAAATATTGAGACGATGGTGAACAAATTATGAACAATGCACAGAACATTAATGAATTGCTGGTCATGGAAATAATACCATGGTTTACTACATGAGGGCTAGGAGACAAGTGGAGGAGGGATGGCTGCTATTTATTAATTAAAAGCAACTTAATTCATATTGCCAGAAGGCATGAAGCTGCTCGTGGCCAAAGACCTGCAGTTCTATTGCTCTGTTTCAGAATGGGACCTAATACTAATTTGGATGGTGTTGGTAAGGACAGCATACTACATTTTCGAAAGTGCAGAGCTCTTTGGGTCTTTCACTGTGAGCTGATATAGGGAACTAACTGCTTTGCAATTTCTTAACAATACTGTTTGCCTTGAATGTTCTTTTGAAACTTGTTTATTAGAGACTGGTGCCTAAGCTTATTGGGGACTGGTATTCGTCAAGGACTGTATGTTAGACACAGGGGGAGATAACAAGAATAACGGTGTCAGCTTGACCATAAAACTGGTTAAAATGCTGCTGAGATCACTGAGTATGAAGAGAGCATGCATGAATGACTAAAGTTCATCTAAAGGACAAAAGAAAGGGAAGATAAGACCCCGGAAGAAGTACATTACCACCAGAGACAGATCTGAGTCTGCGTAAAATAACCCCACCTCGATTATGCATATGTACGTTTGTCTTCGGTAATCCCATGAATATGTATACCTCCACTACATAAATTTTTGGCAAAGTGTGCTGTTGGTGTATAGGCTAGGAGGAACGATCCCCCTTGCACCCAGCGCTGCAATAAACATACCTGCTTTATAATTCTTTGTGAGTTGTAAAGTTTGTTTCTGCGCTTCAGAGTATCTTCCCATCGTATTTAGAAAAGTCACAAAGACTGTCTTTGCATCTGAATCTTCTTAGGGGTATTACAATATTTTCTTTTAACATTTTCAAACTCCGTGTATATGCCTTTTTACTGAACACAGCTTAGGCTATTTCTCAGTTACTCGATTTTGGTCTATGCACATGTACAGTTTTAAATTGGTCCCATTACTTCACCTAAACATTCAATCTTGCTGCCCAAATCTCTGCTTTCTCATAGCATATAAGAAAGCAGCAGATGTAGTATGTCTCAGACTACTTGGCATTTCTGCCAGTTATTGTCTTTATGGGCTATTAATTCTGTAATAAATTTTATCCTGGAGCATATTTTCATTCTGATCAACCCTACATTTACTTTTGAGACTCTACTGCTCTCCCCACCACACTTTTAATTGCAAGATATAAAATTAATTAATGAATCTCTATTAGCTTGTCTTACACTCTAATAAATGCAAATATGAAGTTGTTAAAATAGCAGAAGCTATTTTAGGCAGTAGGTCAGTAACACAGGGAAGTCTGGAAGAAACTGTGGTCCATCACGAAATCACCTTATCTCTCCCTCCATTGATTTATTTTTGTCACATTAGGCAGTTGTAAAGGTTTTGATTGTGATGAGACACTGGCATTTTGAGCAGACCGATGGCAAACCTCTTCATCGGAAATGCTTGAAATGTGACATTATTTGAATCTTTTAGACACTGGAATTTTTATGTTGGCCTTTGTCCCTAGATTTTTATGCAGAAGCATATAGCTGAAACAAGTTCTTCCTATAGCATGTTTCAGGAAACATTCAGAGTCTGTGGATAAAACCACCATGCCAGATAGTATATATGGAGTCCAGCAGCTCATTGCATCACCCTTAATTTAAGTGATTAAAGCATATAAGATTCAAAGAGGAGATGAAAAGGCAGGGTGGCTACTGCTGAGGCTTTAATTTCTTCCTCACCTGATTTGGATTGAAATTTTCTCTCAAGTCCTTATCTGTCACTAAAACACCAATGTAATGAAATTCAATACCAAAAATCAGACTCTTCACTTGTGTGTGTGTACATGTCTGTGTGTGAACAAAGGGGTGGCAGGAGACACTATTTAAGTGAAACAGTGTTTATGTGGGGATCTGTGCATGTGGCACTCCAGTGAATTGGCAGTACAAGGCTGACTCTACATGCCAGTCCTACCTCTTTACAAAAAGATGGACCCCACTAAGATCCTGCTTCAGCCGGTGTAGTAACTAGGCACGAATAAGTTTTAATTAGACATCTGAAGAAAACCAACCAACCTTTGGGCCATCCAGTCCAGGTGGACCTACAGGACCTCTGGGACCAGCATTCCCCTGCAATGCAGAAGAGGTAGAGGTAAACACTAGTTTACTCCATTGACTCCAAAGACATCTAAAAAAGATTCAGTAGGTTGTTGACAAAAAAAAACAAAACATAAAAATCAACCATCTATAAATATTATAAGAAAAACAAGGTTACACCACATCCAAGGTATGGTGACTTCCCCAGCTCTCTTACCATTTTCCCATCATGGCCATCTCTACCTGGTGGTCCGCGGAGACCTTTATCACCTTTGAAACCTGGGATGCCTGGCAGTCCTGGTGGGCCAGGAGGGCATTCACTGCACACGTCCTAGGAAAGAACATGGAAAAATAAATTAGCAATAGTCTGAAGGCACTTATCAGACCCTACAGACACCCATTATGAATTCAGCAGTGTAGTACTAGTACAATATGCAGGCCTTTGCAATTTGAAGACACTGAGTAGGATCAGGATTACTTTGCCTTACGGAACTGAAATGAGGGCAGTGTGGAGCAGAGCAGGGGTCAGCAAGTGAGCTCACACATGCTCTCATGGGGAGTTTCCTATCAATTCTGGGTGAACAGGTCCTAACTGATCATCCAGGATCAAGAAACTAAGGAAAAGCCTTCCTTAATGGGGAGGTCAGAGAGCTGAAAAGCAAGACTACCAAGAACAACCTTGTTTTGAAGCTACAAGACTACTAGAAAATTGTGTCAACACCAATCTAAAAAGATCTGGGTTACTTCTCAGAGGGCACATGGCGAGGGAAAACCCAGGTGCATCACAATGCCAGAAAGGGTGTTCTGCAAGGGAACCTATTCAGCAGCTAACAAGACCAAGGAGAACTCATCCAGTGGAGTTTGTGAAGACCAAGTGAATGTCACAGTGTTCTGGCAAAATTCTCTCATGAAGAATTACTACTTCCCTCTTTACAAAACTCTTTCAAGCATCATCTCAGTAGTCTTTACATATCCGATATCCTCAGGAAATGAAATACCATGGGTATGACATTTCCATTTCAGAGTTTCAGAGGCAGACTCTCTTCATCAAAATGGGAGTGACTCCTGCCTTTAAGAGACAGTGTAGCACAACAGACAGATCATCAGGCCAAGAGTTAGAAGACCTTACTCCAATGACCAATTCTGTCAATGATCCATTGCAAAATTGCAGGATAAACTTCCTTTCTAAGTTTAGTCCCTACAAGCAATTTATATACTTACGATATAAGTGCTTGAGAAACACCCAGAACAATAAAGCTCTAATTTCATCTGGGATTTCAAGGTGCTGCTTTATATAGATCTGTACCAAGTGTGGAGTGAAAAAAATGCCAAGCAGAAAGAATATGCAAGGCATATGTGTGTTTAACCATAACTTAATGAAAGGAAGAAAACAAAGGAATATCAAAATGATATCCTGTACCCAAGAATCAGTCTCTTGATATTGTCCTGACCAGAAATCCCAAACAATATCATACAATGAAATATCCAGAAAAAAACTTGGCTCCATAAGAAAGTCAGCTCTTCAATGAAGGCATTTCACAGTAACAATCTTAAAAGGGTCACGTTGTCAACAGTATTGCTAAAAAAGGGTAATTTTTTAGTTTCTTATAATGACTAAGAAAGGATTTCTTGCTGTGTCCCAAGACTGCTTAAAAATCTCCCAATTCAGCCTATGTAAATCTGTAAAGATTTTGCAGTCAACACCTATCAAATACTGACTTATTTCCCAGACAACTCTCTATATGCAGAATAAAAGCAGACAGACAGATCATCACTTTTGAAACATGGCTGCCTCTGGGGTTAATTACCTGACTCCTTTCAGATGCACTATGCAAACTGACTTTTCACCCACAGTTCAAAACTATTCCAGTCACTGTTGAAGGTATATGTGAAAAATCAGACATTTTACTAAAATGGTTTCCATTTTCTGGTTTAGGTAGTACAATTTGACAATGTTTTTTTCTCCTTGGGAATGCATGCCTCATAAAGAGCTGAAAAAGTCTCAGAGCTTTGTAATACACCATATTATAAAGAACTTTGTAGGTCATTTCACTGCTGGGGATGGTCAAGAGGCATTGGATTTTGATCTCCAGCATGCACTCTAGTGTTCCAATAGAAGTGAAAGTAGGAGACCTGCAAGTTTCAAGCTTTGACAGAGTGTTTCAAGGCACCTTTTTCACTTGTAGCTCAGATACTTTCCTATCACAGAGTGTTAGTGAGGTCTGAATCAAACATACAGATAAATTTGCACCATCACCAAAGGTTGATTACCTTTACTAAAAGATTTATGTCCTCTGGAGAGAGCAGGGGTGAGGAACCCTGTGGAATGAGAAATTCATTATCTCAGGCAATTTTAAAAGGCATCAAGATATAAGAAGTTTTTCCTGAACGTGCTTAGGGACTTTCATTGGTTTCCCTTGCCCTGACTAGGACTCACTGGGCCAAATACATACTTCCTGCCCTACATTATCAATGTACTTCATCACACCTTAAATCAGTTCTTGCTGAGGGTACTGTATAGTGGCACTAAGAAAGTACCTTTAAAATTTTGGATTTTATTTACATGTAGGATATCCAGTTATTTTCATACTGTTCCAAAGCCATCATAGATATTTTTATCATAACTCCTTAGTGGTTCTTAGTGTTTTTCCAGTTGCTCTGCTGGGAAGAGTAGCAGTGGAAATGCATTGAAGTGCACTTCTGAGGCAAGGTGTACAGGTGGAAACCCAGTTAGAAGGAAGATGTAATATAGAAGTGAAGTTACATACTGGTTTTCCAGGAGGTCCTCTTTCCCCTGGATTTCCAGGTAGACCCTACAGATCAAGAGAAATAAAAAAAAATGTGAAATTATCATAAAATAACCTCCTTGGTTGCTCCCACATTCTGCTGATGGCTCTGGACTAACATACATTTTATTTTCTGCCACTGAGCACCACTGCTCCTTGCATGTGACAAACAGTAAACTCCTTTAAATACCTGCAACTTTAATAACCTCTGAACCCCTTCTAAATCTCACTTATCTACCATGTGACCTGGTTAAATTCATCTGAGTCACACAAAGAATGAAATTCCTTTAGCTTGTCTTCTGGCCACAGGAAACACTTTGTACTGCAGTAGTGTGAAAGATGAAACTTTAAATCCCTGTAGACACCTACAAAATCAAGATGTTGCTTTGCATGAGCCTGCAAACAGGTCCCTTGCATCTGAAATAGCAATGAACCTGTTTGTTTGTTTGGGGGGGGTATCGGTATCAGTTTTCATTATATGAAGGCATAGAAATGCTCAGCATCCTTAGCAACGGGCATCTCTTGCCTGGCATTAGCAAGTCATTAGTTTGTTAAAAAAAAACAAAACAAAACAAAACAAAAAAAAAAAAAAAAAAAAAACCAAACCAAAAAACAACAAACAAAACAAAACAAAAAATTATTTTTGAATCTTTGCACAAAATAATGGTCACATGAGAAAGTGAATCTTTTGAACATGACAGTTTGTCACTGTCCAGATGGTGACAGAAATCTGCATTGCAAGGAGCCTTGCAGTGGTGTTTTAAGTTGGATTGGGTGAGATTGCCCCAAACTATTCTCCACTGAATTCCTGTATCCAGCTGGCCTGTCACCCTGTGTCATCACTCAAGAATATGCATTTTCTATCCATATTGAGTACCTTAAAAAACATAAAAAATATCTTCTATCTAACCACATACAAAAGGCTGTCCTATGTGACCATTTTTGCATCTGCAGGAACAGTTTCTACTGACCATTTAAAAACATCTTATCTGTGTTCAGTTTTGTTGATTCTGCAGCTGGACCCACCTGAATAGGTCTCTGGGATGGTGCCAGATTCCCCACCCAGGATGTTAATCAACACACTGAAGATACAAGCAATGGCTTTCAATCAGTCTAGGGTCAACAAGGGCTACCTAGGGGACTCTCTAAGACTAACTAAAATTTCCACCTGGAAAGCTCCTTTAAAAATTGGTCAAATGTTTTGCCAGGAAGGGAACTAAGCATTTTGTCAATCACCTTGTCTCAGGTTGGTCCGTGTTCTCCAGTCAGTTTGCTCTATTATTTATGCAGACAACCAGATAGGGAGTTATTTGGCTGCCTGGGGTTTAATGACTTAAGTGCACTGTGTGCACACAGGCAGTTGTGATACCCTGCTACACCATAATTATAGCTATAGATCAAACTTGAATTGCATCCTTACATTTCATTTAAAAGTTAAATCCTGTACCTCTTGCTAGAGGAGAGATAAAATGGGAAACTATATTGATTGCTTTTTTTTTTTCTATATCCACATTAAACACTTCTAGGTGAACAACAAACCTTCAGTTACCTTTGCTTTCTAAGAGATAAATATTAAACATGAACTGAAGTGGAGCTAAAGTGAAGTAGTTCAGTAGTTCTGAAGTCCATAGATGAAAGCTTGATTCCTAAGGAACTAAACCTCCTCCAGGTGAGAACCAAGAAAAGTTAAGGTGTGAAGGAGATTCCTAGCTCATAATTCCCCACAATTGACGTTCTGGGGAATTGAGTAAATATAAGGAAACATTATAACCATTTATAGTTTTGCTTCTTCCACAGAGCAGCAATGTGAATGTAGGATGTTCCCTATGTTCCTTCTCTTTCACCGATGCTGTCAGGTCATGCTTTTGTCATCCACTTCACTGTGGTTCCCAAACACTTCTGGAAGTGGGAAGAAGATTGCCTAAATAACAATTACACAGATCCTATATTCCCAGACCTACTTTGTTCAGGAAGACTCACACAGCACTTGCTTTAAAGAGTGTGATGCAAAGCAAGGACGTGAACCATGAGAATCATCCTGGATCAGAAAGCAACACAAAAAAGACAATTCAGAAATGTCTTTCATGCTGAGTTTTAACATAGCTATAAAAAACTATTTTTACTATAGGGCTAGCTAACAGCCTTTTGCTTAGGGATCTGAAACATGACATGGTATTAGCAGTGGAATTAGAGCATTTGAAGAAGATTTATTTAAAGAAGAATATAGAAAAATACTTCTTAGTTATGAGAAAAGACACACAAGAAGGGAGTGACTAAAATTGAAATCCTGGGAAAATTTTAAGCATGGCTGTGATATCTACATGATATCAGATTGTCTTGAGACAAAAAGGGATGGACCTATTTTCTTGAATGCTGTATGATGTGAAGCTGATGTTGTCTTCAATAGAGTGCAACCACTGCATCCCTAGAAAACATCAAACATTTTAAAAGTACAAGACTGCAAAAAGAGAGTATCCTTTGAAGAATGCTTGTCCGAGCTGAAGTGAACAAACCAGATGTAAGATGATGGCACTTCAGCATGTTGCATTATCAGAGTCCAAAGTAGAGGAAAGATTGCTGGACTATAGAGGCCTGAAGTTAGAAAAAGCTAACAAGGGCCAGGCTGGAAACATTGCTCAGAGCAGAATGAAAATACTAGAAGGAAGGTATGGAGGCTATAACTGTATCTGAGAAGCTGACTAACAGTGGAAAAAACTGGAAAACAGAAAGCCAGAAGATAAAAAAGAAAGAGCTCAAAATAGTCTGCCCAAAAACCTGCATGGCACTGAAAAGAAATGCTGCTAGTGCGATGTGGGGACATGCACAGACCCAAATAACAACCAGTGTTGGAAAGCTCATAAAGTTTGAATACCTTCAGGAGTTTGCAGCCAACAGCAACTGGCACAATGCAGAATATCCAGCTGGTGGTACAGCATATCAGTGCAGGAAAAAGATGTCAGCGATGAGGAGGTATGATACACAGGATCCAGAGCATTCTATTGGTCTGCAAAATCTGACACACCAGAATGGTCTCTATCTGGGAATTGATGGAAACTGTGCAGATGACATGATGAAAATTGATGCTCAGGTAAGTGATGTACATAAAAATGAAAGAAAGTGTATAAGGAAACCAGTCACACAGGCTTATAGTGACATAGTTCTATTATAAGACTGAAAAGTAAACTTGAAATGCAATAGCTTAAATAGGTTATAAGTCTCAGAAATAAAAAGCCAATTAGAGGTTTAATAAGTGCACTCTGGTTTGGGGTGTATGTACCCTAAAACAAACACAAAGGCTTCTTGGAACTGTCCTTCTAACCATATGGGAAAATCGACCCCAGAACAGAAGGCTCTGCTTTTCAGATCTGATGGCAGCAATTTATGCATCCACAAAGTTTTTGTAATTATGAAAATAAATGCAGGGGAAGATTAACTTCACACTAATACTGGAACTTAGTTATCATAAATAATTAACATAATTAAAAGTGATTAATTCAATGTTTATGTTAATTAAAATTATCATAATCAAAATACAGAAAGAGCCTATTAAATGGGTGCCCTCAGTGGTAATAGTAGGACAAGAAAATGTCTCATTCAGACTGTTTTCTAACTTTAGGGAACTAAATAAGTATTTTGAAAAGAAACATTTTATCTCTCAGCAGGCAGACAGAGGAGAGGAGATGCTTCCTGAAAAATGTGTAGGCTAAAGGTATTTGGTCAGAGAGCATTTGCTCCTTTAGGGTTATCTGGTCAAAGACCTTTTTCAATGCAACAGGAAAAATAAGGAGGAATCCATAAATAAGAACATACAGAGACACAAACCTGACCAACAGATAAGGGAGGCAGTGATGGGAACCAAACCTGGACAGTCACAGTAATTGATGAAGGCATATGGGAGTGTGAGAAGGCTTATTCCAGCATGGTTATCTGATCAGAACCTTGTCAATTTGGAAACTAAGTGAAAAGGAGTAAATCGGAAACAAAATATACCAAGACACAGATCTAACAAGAAACAAACCTGGGCACTCACACTAATTGATGGGCTACCATGAAACCACAGGCTGCACTTCCAGGAAGATCAACCTGGACTTTGCAAGTGATAAGACTGTAAACCAGGCAGGGGGGACCCTGAACTGATAAGGGTGCAGGAACTGATACAGCTGTGGAGATGCATGAGGGGATGTGCAGGGGAAGGGGGAGCAGAGAGGAACAAACAGAATAGTAGACAGAAAAGGGTATAAAAGGGGCCGGTCGTGTAAAACACGGCTGGTCAGTGCATTTGTCTGGCTGAGTCCTGTACCTGATCAGCAGGGTTTGTCCTATCATCTTATATCTTCATATTAAACCTTTTCTTAGCTCTCTCTCTGTACAATGACTATGTGTGCTGCAAGGACTAAGTGCCAGCTACTGGTGAGACCTGTATGTGCGTGTGAGTGAAAACTGGTGCCAGCTACTGGAGTCAGACTGGGGGTGTAGGCTCCCCAGACTCTGTTGTCAGCTACTAGAGTCAGTGCAGGGGTCTTTAGCCTCCAGCCACTTCTCAGGTGGGAATGGTGTGTGTTCCCAAACACACCTATTGGGGGAACCATCATGAGTCCTGTTACGGAATAAATTAGTCCTACTATAGGGGGGAAAAAAAGACCACAAAAAAATCTAGAGAAAGCACTTCTCAGGCTTTAAGAATTGGAGCTTTAGTCAGTAAAAAAAAAAAAAAAAAAAAAAAAAATGCAAATATAAAGACAAGAAAATAATGTATATGGGATAAGACAACATATTCCAGCTTCATCCCAGAAAAAGAGAATCTGTAGAGACTTACGGACATAGTGAACTGTAGAGGACAAACACCAAGCCTTTTGCTAAGAGAAACAGAACAAAGCCAAAACAGCACAACTGTGCTGTAAACCTAGACAAGTATTTTCAGAACCTAAATTTTAATTAAATAATACACTGTCCTAGATCTACTGATATTTGATTGAGTTGCCAACAGATGTTTCAAAAGGTGACCTTTGACAGTGTTATTGCAAAAAAATATGGTGCATGCTTTAGGGCATAAAAAGAAGCTGTAGTGTAGTCATGTAAAAAAAACAATCTATTCACCTATGGGAGATAATTCTGGACAAAGCTATTGCAAAAGAAGCATTGACTCTTCCACCTCCCCAAATACAACTGTAAATCTGATTTGTAGTATCAGGGAATACAAGAACTTATAGCAGACACTTCCAAGAGCATGATGAGTCCGCAACTGGAAAAAATAATGCAGAGAATAAAATAATGTATGTAAATATGTTTTAAAATAATTATTCAGTTAGAGAAGAAAACATGGAATAGATTTGCAAAGGATAAAGTAAAAACCATGATGTTGAGGTAAGTCACTAAGGCTATTGCCACTGAATGGCTTGGGAGTTGCATGACAAATTTATATTAGCAATTCAAATCAGAGCTTTCCTAACTGATGACATACTATTTAAACACAACAGAGTACAAAAATGGACATGCTTCAAAGAGTACAGGAATACTACATTGATATACAAGAGTGCAAAATCAGATGAAAAATCCTTTGTACTAATCATAAATGAAAGTGGAGATCAAGAAACTACAAATGCATGATCTTTTCAAAATAGATATCCCTGTTGTTACACCAAGAAGTGTTGGAATGTGTCCCATAGTTACATTTACACTTCCTGAAACATAGGTAGAATTGCTTAACAGGTGATCAAACAGAATACAGAGAGCTCCTAGAAGTCATCTGAGTGTAATTAAAACTGCTAGTGCAATAGATTGTTTTAGAAGTATCATAAGGAACGGTTCTGTTTGGGTAATTTTCTATGCTGAAAAGGAAAGATGTAAAGACAGTAGTACTGCCTCTCCAAGAGCTGACCAGTCAATGATGATCTGTGTATATCCAGAAAGATTCAGAGGCTCTGGCACTCTCCTCACACAATTGTAACAGCACAGTTCTTTCACACTTGTAATAAACCCATCTACTGAATCTCCTGTTTAAAACCTGTTGATTAAAAATCTCAAACATCTGATACAAGGTGAGGAGATCTAGGGGCAGTAATCAGGACACAATCAATGCTGAACCTATGGCTGTTCAGGGACATGAGGTCATATAGGCAAAGGATCATTTCTACTGTCATGGGCTGTGGAGAAATACCCTGGCTATAATCACTTGTCATGTGACAAAGGTGGGAAGTAAACTAGATTTTCTTCTCCAAACACTCCAGGAGGAAAGGTGATCCATCCCATGGGAAAGTACAACCTTTAGGCCAGCTGATGTATGTCAATAAAGCCACACTAGGGTTGAAAATCACTTGCAATGGACTTTGTTAAAACTGATACCCATTTCAGACATGGCAGCATCATAAAGCAATGCTGAGGAGAGTTACAGAAGGCCACTGCCCCCCTCCCCACAACATTCCTTCAACAGGCACATATCCAAAGATCAAGCCTTTCAAAGTCTTCAGAGCCTCCTTGCTGATTTTCCTCCAGGACTGGTTTCCCCGTCACAGAGTTGGCTGACCATCAAAGAAAAAAATCGCTCCTCTTTCTGATTAAACACTGCAACAAAGCCAGGCAGTGAGAGGGATCAGCTTTCCAGCTGGGAGTCTGCCACAGTTCTTTCTATCCCTCGGCTCCATGACTCACCCACTGAGACAGCAGGAGTGAGGATAGCACACCAAGAGGTTAAAATGTCATCTCTCCTGCACAGTAGTAGCAGCAAAATGAACTCACAAAGAGCTTTCTAACAGCTTTGGCCCTGTTTTCATAGAAATACTGCAGGTTACTTATCTCAGCAGCTTCTGAGAAGCTCCTAGACAGCTTAACAATTATCCTTTTCCACTGTGGGATCACTCCCCAGTGTATGCTGCCAAGTATCTTCTCCAGTGTAATTTAAAAATGGCTCAGTGGTAAAGTCCACCACTTTCCTTGAGATAACCATCCTTAGCCTAACAACTTTCCCCCTGACATCTTAGATTGTAAGAGCTCCACTCATGTGAATCATCTACTTTGCACCATCCTAGTAACACTCAATTACTGTGGTTGAGTATGAGCACAGTTTTAAGGGAAATTAGATTCGAGCATTGGTAAATTTCCTGAGCACTTACACTTTTATTTTACTTACATCCTGGCCAGGAGGCCCCTGTGGCCCAGGGATACCAGGTACACCACGGGGACCCTGGTAGGGGAAGAACAGACAAACCCAATAATGCGAACATTACTTATGAGGCACTTCTTAGCTGAAGGGAAAAAATTCTCAAAAAATAACTAGCAGTTAAACAACTATGAGAGAGTTTAAGAAAAAAAAAAAAAAAAAGAAATCTCACATTGAACTATCACAGTGACAGTCATTTCTGTGCCTCAAGGGACTTTACATGCATCACAAAAGTCAAGTCACTCATACCTTGACTAGAAAGGTAATAATCTTTATAGGAGGCAATTTTATGAACAGGGAGAAAATATGACTGAGCACATGACTGTAGAGAAGAAAATCCAGCTCCACAGTGCCAAGGTAGCACACTGGATATGACTGGCTGTCATGCTGGAAATTCATGCCCGTGTATAATGACACCACAATACACAGTTATTTGTTACACACCAATAGATCTCATCCTTGTAAAATTCCATGTCGAGGAACAAAGTGTTGAATACTGAAATGCAGGTTTTTCTATTAGATTTAAGTAAGAAAAATGCTTAAAAATAGTTTATTTTAAACCTCTGAGGCCTTGTCTATAAGGCATAGCAGTGTACCTTGAATTATGTACCTTGAAATAGTTTCTTTGAATGTAAGGTTAAACATGTGACTCATTTTTTCTTTTGTAGAACTACTGACAATTGTCACCATGACAAGATTCTTGATTAACTCTTTCTCACAACTCAATATAGCAGACAGATGGTAATGCACAAGAGAAGTCCCCTTTGGAGGGTCAGCCACCCTCTGGCCCTACTATCCTTGGGCAAAAAGAAACAAATTAAACATGCCATCATGAAATCACAATTGTGTAGGAACACAAGTAATGTGGTTGTGCCCTCCCCATAAAATCCGGGTGTAGTTAGAAAGACATACTGTACCAATGACCCTTTGTCTCCTGGTGGTCCCATAGGGCCCTGCAAACAGAAAAAAAAAACAGCAATGAAAACATTTAAAATTAACACCTCTCCTTGGCTGATCAGAGCAGGTCCTAAAGCACCAAGATAACAAAAATTAGAGAAAGAGTGAGGAAAAGGCGAAAGTCTGACAGGCTACTCACACAAACAGTGCTGGAGTGTGCAATACAGCAGAATGCTTAGGGGAAGTTTCAAAGGCAGACTAAGGAAGAAATTGTGGATCATGGAGGAAAAAGTGTGAAAAAAAATGAGAGAAAAAGGGACTAAAGGAGTCAACTGTATGGTAACATGGTGCTTGCCTGACTGAGCCCTGCACTTCATCATCACAGTCATAGAATCATAGAATATCTCAAGTTGGAAGGGACCCATAAGGATCATTGAGTCCAACTCTCTCCTCCTTGCAGGACTACCTACAACTAAACTACATGACTAAGAGCACAGTCTAGATGCTCCTTGATCTCTGACAGACTTGGTGCTGTGATCAATTCCCTGGGGAGCCTGTTCAGTGACCAACCACCTTCTCAGTGAAGACACTTTTCCTAGTGTCCCATCTGAACTTCCCCTGATGCAGCTTCATCCCATTTCCTTGTGTCTTATTGCTGGTCACCAGAGAGAGGAGGTCGGCACCTCCCCCTCCGCTGTCCCCCTTGAGGAAGTTGTAGACTGTGATGAGGTCACTCCTCAGCTTTCTCTCCTCCAAGCTGAACAAGCCAAGTGATCTCAGCTGCTCCTCCTAAGTCTTGTCCTTGAGGTCTTTCATCATCTTCATCACTCTCCTCTGGCCACACTCTAATAGCCCGATGTCCTTCTTATATTGAGGCACCCAAAACGGCACAAGTACTTGAGGTGTGGCTGCACCAATGTGATGTAGGGTGGGACAGTCACTTCCCTTGACTGGCTAGCTGTGCTGTGCTTGATGCACTCCAGGACACGGTTGGCCCTTTTGGCTTCCAGGGCACACTGTTGACTAATATTCAACTTGACACCAACCTAAACCCCCAGATCTCTTTCCATGGGGCTGCTCTCCAATTTCTCGTTCCCCAATTTTAATGTATAACCAGGATTATATAAATACCAGGACTACCCCATCCCAGGTGGAGAATCATGCACTTGCTCTTGTTGAATTTGTTGAACAGTTGGTGATTGTCCAGCTCTCTAGACTATCCAGATCTCTCTGTAAGATTTCTCTACCCTTGAGGGAGTCCACAGCTCCTCCTAGTTTAGTTATCATCAACAAACTTGATTAATGTACATTCGATTCTCATGTCCAGATCATTTATAAAAACATTAAAGAGCACTGACCCTGAAACTGAGTCCTGGGGAACCCCAATAATGACTGGCCCCATTTACTATATTCTCATTAAATCCTATTTCTAATACTCTTCAGAATGGGTGAGCTCATGAATCTGAATTCATGTGATTGAATCTTAGTGTGCTTCAAGCCAGATGAGCTCATGAGTAGGAGAGGTCTGCATGCCAGCAACTGGGTTGTGAGGCTGTGAACCCAGGTGGCTTGTAGGTCTGGGTGTCAGCAACTGTAGGACACTGGGGTGCAGAGGCCTGAGTACTGGGCAGAGTAGGTGTCCAAGACCAGCTGCTGGAAAGATCCACATTTCATGTATATATTCCAACTGTGGCCTTCAAACCTCATCAGCCAGAGAGGAGGAGTGGGATTGAGATATTCTTTCTCATATTTCTCTAAATGTTATTTAGGTTTATATGAGTGTTGGTAAAGGCATTATTCTCTGCGTGGCCACATGCATGGGTGTATGTGTGTGTACTGCATATTCATATGCCCATTGGCAATATGTGCTCTGCCTCACTACTGGCTGGACCTGGGAACACAGAACCACAGCACCCTCGCCTCTGTTGGGCTGGGACAGGACAATTCCCCCAGGTCTAGAAAACCACTGTATTCAGCTACCTCTAACACAAGGAAAAGCACTCCACAGGGCCTGTGTGATCTTTAAATGAGGTGAAAACAGGGAGTCCAACAGGCTTGCATATGCAATTTGTTTGGGGATGCAACTTAAAAAGGTGCAACTGAGTAGAGTGAGCCACTACAAGGTATCCATTTCTATAAGAACACCACAAAAGTGTTGGAGTACCCATATGCAGCATGGATAAGTCAATCTGGCATTCCAAAAACATCCAAAACAAGGCTTGACCTCATATCTCAGAGACTGCGTTTGAATAAATTGGCTCACACTATGACTCCTCTCACTTTGGTTTCTATTTCAGGCACATTAATTCACTAATCCTCATATATTCCTCTATGCTTTAATGCTCTGCTCAAGCAAAAGCTAAATACATAATTCTGAACACACAGTAATATGTACAGGGCAAGGCAGAGAAAGAGCAAAACTCTTCTACTTCTGCATCACATGCATCCATTAGGCAATTTCAGCATAAGCATGTGTATTCACCCCATTTCTCTAAGCAGTCCCCTCTTCTGTTCATGGTTTAGTTGGCAAGAACATACTCTGCTAATACTCCATTTATGGCTCAGAATTACGTAAATAGTAACACATGAAATGGTTTCAGTTGGAAGGGACTTTCAAGATCAATAGTTCCAACCCCTCTGCCCTGGGTAGGGACACCTTCCACCAGACCAGTGGCTTGAAGCCCCATCCAACCTGGCCTTAAAACACTCCCAGGGAGGGGGCTTCCACAACTTCTCTGGGAAACCTGTTCCAGTGCTTCAACACCCTCACAGTGAAGTACAACTTTCTTACATTTAATCTAAATCTACCCTCTTTCAGTTTAAAGACATTACCCCTTGTCCCATCACTACATGTCCTAGTAAAGTTTCTCTCTGGCTTTTCTCTAGGCCACCTTTAAGCATTGGAAGTCCACTATAAGGTCTCTCCAGAGTCTTCTCTTCTCTGTGCTGAACAACCCCAACTCTCTTATCCTGTCTTCACAGAAGAGGTGCTCCACCCTCCCCAATCATCTTCATGGCCTCCTCTGGACCTGCTCAAGCAGGTATGTGTCCTACTTATGTTGGGGGCCCCAGAGCTGGACACAGTACTGCAGGTGGGGTCTCACAAGAGTGGAGTAGAGGGGAACAATCACCTCCTTCGATCTGCTGGCCACACCTCTCTTGATGCATCCCAAGATATGGTTGGCTTTCTGGGCTGCAAACACAGAGTGCCAGGACCCCTAAGTCCTTCTCTGCAAGGCTGTTCTCAATCCATTTTCTGCCCAGCCTGTCTTTGTGCACGGGATTGACCTAACCCAGGTGCAGGACCTTGCAGCTGGCTTTTTGAACTTCAGGAGGTTTACACAGGCCCACCCCTTAGGCTTTTCAAGGTCCCTCTGGATGGCATTCCTTCCCTCCAGCGTGTCAATCACACTACAAAGCTTCATGTCATCAGAAAACTTGCTGAGGGTGCGCTCAATTCCACTGCCCATGATTCCAACAAAGATGTTAAAGAGTACCAGTCCCAATATTGACCTCTGAGGAACACCACTCTTCACTACTCTCCACTTGGACATTGATCCACTGACTGCAACACTTTGAGTGTGACCATCCAGCCAATTCCTTATCCACCGGGTGGTCCATCCATCAAATCCATGTCTCTGCAACTTAGAAACAAGGATGTCGTGTGGGACAGTGTCAAATGCTTTGCACAAGTCCAGGCAGATGATGTCTGTTGCTCTTCCCTTATCCACCAACACTGTAATCCTGTCACAGAAGGCCACCAAATTTGTCAGACATGATTTGTCATTAGTGAAGCTGTGTTGGGTGTCACCAATCACCCCTTTATTTTCCATGTGACCTAGCATAGTTTCCAGAAGGACCTGCTCCATGATCTTGCTGGGCACAGAGGTGAGACTGACTGACCTGTAGTTCCCTGTGTTTTCCTTTTTTCCCTTTTTAAAAATTGAGGTTATATTTCACCTTTCCAACTTCACCTGGCTGCCATGACTTCTAAAATATGATGGATAGTGGCTTAGCCACTTCATCCTCCAGTTCTCTCAGGACCCATGGATGTATCTCATCAGATGCCACAGGCTTTTGCACCTTCAGGTTCCTTAGATACTCTCAAACTTGATCTTCTACCAGGGGTGGTTCTTCATTCTCCCAGTCCCCGCCCTTGCCTTCTGTGTCTTGGCCAGTGTGTCTGGAGCCCTTCCTAGTGAAGACTAAGGCAAAATGTCATTGAGTACCTCAGCCTTCTTCATATCCCAGGTAACAAGGTCTTCCGTTTCCTTCCAGAGAGGACCCACATGTTCCCTAGTCTTCCTTTTATCACTGAGATACCTATAGGAGCTTTTCTTGTTGCCCTTGATATCCCCGGCCAGATTTAATTCTATCAGGGATGTGGCCTTCCTAAGCTGAACCTTGGCTGCTCAGACAGTTTCTCTGTATTCCTCCCAGGCTAGCTGTCCTTGCTTCTACCCTCTGTAAGCTTCCTTTCTGTGTTTAAGTTTGTCCAGGAGCTCCTTGTTCATCCATGCAGGCCCCCTGTTGTTTTTGCCAGGATGCATCACTCCTGAGATTGGAGGAGGTGATCCTTGAATACTGACCAGTTTTCTTGGACCCCTCTTGCCTACAGGGATTTATCCCATGCTACTCTGCCAAGCAGATCCCTGAAGCAGCCCAAGTCTGCTCTCCCGAAGTCCAGGGTAACGAGCGTGCTGTGTACCCTCCTCGTTGCCCTAAGGATCTCGAACTCCACTATTTCATGGTCACTGCAGCTAAGGGTGCCCTTGAGCTTTGCACACTCCACCAGCCCCTCCTTGGTGAGAACAAGGTCCAGCATAGCATTTCTCCTTGCTGGTTCCTCTATCACTTGGAGAAGGAAGTTGTCATCAACACATTCCAGGAACCACCTGAATTGCTTATGCCCTGCTGTGTTGTCCCTCCAACATATAAAGGTGGTTGAAGTCCCGCATGAGGACCAGGGTGTGTGAACATGAGGATGCTCCTATCTGTCTATAGAGGGCCTCATCCACTTTCTTTCTGGTCAGGCGGCCTGTAGCAGTCTCCCACTATAGTCACCTCTGTCTGCCCTCCCTTTAATACTGACCATAAACTCTTGGTTGCCTCCTCATCCATCCCCAGACAGAGCTCCATGAACTCCAGTAGGTCATTGGCATAGACTCAATACTTTTGCAGACAAAGTAAAAAAATCCTCATCTATATATACCTTTTACGCAGGGAGAAAAGCCTGAGACAGGTTAAGGGCACAGGAGGAAACAGGGTGAGGACTCCAATTAAAAAGAGCTGCTGGCTCTCAGCTCTGAAGCTGAAAGTATTATACACACAATTTTCTCACATCGCTAAGAAGGGTATAGGCTGACACCTTTAATTCAGTGTGTAATATGCTGAAGCAGCTCCACTGACTTTATTCTGTTTTTTTCCATGGGACTCGGTCTTTGTGAAAGTCTTGTGGATTCAAGGTTATACAGTGTTTTTCAAATTCAAGAGTGTTTGCACTGAAGCTGAGGTTATGATAAATCTACAGTGTAGAAAACCATCATAATAGTTGTTTAAAATAGTATTTAGTGAAGCAGATTAAATAAATAAAACCAAATCAATCAGAATTAAGTGTGGTATGTAGGTGGCTACTCATCCTGACAGTGGTCAAGCAATGATGACAGAAAAAAGTAATCTGTTGGTGTGAGACAAGTGATGTCTATATTTGGAGTCAAGTTCATAGACATAGATATGCAGATGATAAAACCCCAGTGAAGAGTAACTTGCTCATCTGTTGTACATCAGGATGCAGAAGTGAACTCATCTACCTCTACTGAAACAAATTCAGTAATTAAAAATTAGCCACAGCCTAGTGACTTTCAAACAAGCCAGATACTTATTTGCTAATTTCATTCTGATTTTAATATTAATAACCGAACATTAAGAAAGGCAAGAACCTCACTGTTCCTTAGAAAAATCATAACAAATAACCCAGCAAATCTTCAATCATTGGTAAGCCTGTGAGGACCATGAAGGCCATGACACAGTCACAGTGTGAAACATGACTGACCCAGTCTGCTTTACCTTACATAGTATTCAGCATTATAAAATCAAATATTAATCACTGAAACATAGAATGGTGTGGGTTGGAAGGGACCCTAAAGATCATCTAGTTCCAACCCTCCCTGCCATGGGTGGGGACACCCTCCCCTAGACCAGGTTGCTCAAAGCCCCGTCCAACCTGGCCTTGAATCCTTCCAGGGAGGGGGCAGCCACAGCTTCTCTGGGCAGCCTGTTCCAGTGTCTCACCATCCTCACAGTGAAGAACTTCTTCCTTACATCTAATCTAAATCCACCCTCTTTCAATTTAAAACCATTACTCCTTGTCCTATCACCACACTCCCTGAATAAAGAGTCCCTTCCCACCTTTCCTGTAGATCAGCTTTAGGTACTTAAAGGCCACTATAAGGTCTCCCCAGAGCCTTCTCTTCTCCAGGATGAACATCCCCAACTCTCTCAGCCTGTACTCATAAAGGAAGTGCTCCATCCCCCTGATCATCTTCATGGCCCTCCTCTGGACCCACTTGAACAGGCCCATGTCTTACGCTGGCGGCCCCAGAGCTGAGGTCTCATGAGAGTGGAGTAGAGGGAGAGAATTCCCTCCCTCGACCTGCTGGCCACACTTCTCTTGATGCAGTGCAGGCTAAATTTGTCAACCAGTATCACACAGCAATATGGCTTATTGTTTCAAGGTAATTTCCTGGACTAATTCATTGGGAAACTTATACACCTAGGTAAACAGAGCATGAAAACATTGACTGTGATTGGTACAGTATCATTGCATGTACATGGGGATGCAAAAAAATGCAAGGTCTCAGATGTCCTCCGGCAATTACAGCTAGCAATAAAGTTTGCTTCCTCCTAAACTTATTTCACTTGCAAATTCATTGCATATCTGGAGGACTGTGTACAGGGTTACAGTCAGAGCACTCCCAAATACCCCTCATCTCAAGAGGAGTCGTACATGACAAGAACTGGAATGATCAAACCCCAGTGATATGAAAATCCAAACTTTTCAGAGCAGGCTCCCAGACACAATTCATGGCCTACTGATAATCAGGAGGTGAGGGCAGAGCTGGATGACGTCCAACTAAATATTTGTGGGAAATTATGGGGATGATGGCTCTCGTGGAATGCAGCATTTTAAGCAATCTGATTTTGTATTTCCCTATCAGAGTGCTGACTATGTCACTGATGTGGGCATGTGTGTCACACTCATTCCATCTAACAGGGTGACAGGCAAGGTTACATCTGCCCAGTAGACCAGACCTGCTGGCTCAGCACAGGTCTCAACTCACATCCACAGCCAGTGTGTCAAGATGATGGAGAAAATTCAGGAGTAACAGCCAGTGTTACCAATCACTTCTACAGCATTTTCTGCTTTTCTCTTTCAACTAAAACCAACTGCATCAAGAGTCCTCACAACAGACGTGTAGACACCTGAGCCACGAATGGCAACCTCTGAACTCATTTGTGGTTTGCATCTTCAGAGGGTAGAAAGTCCCACAGGCTCTTGGCACAGCTGAGCACAGGCAATGAATTCCCCAGATGGTGATGGGTAAGTTTTTGCCTAGTTACAGGCTGCAGCAGGACCTGCTACTTACTGGGGGTCCAGCCAGCCCAATTCCTGGCACACCTCTGTCTCCCGGCTGTCCAGGGAGGCCAGGAGCTCCCCTCTCACCCTGAAACAAAGAAAGAAGTTAAAGGCTTTGTGCCCCGTTGAGAAAATGTGCTGAAATGCAATCAGGTTTTATAACAGAACATAACACTGATACAACCTGACTTGATGCTGCCCACAGATGTGCAGTATCAGGTTGTGGCAGCATGGGGATATGGCACAGTTCCTGTCACATCATGCTAAGAAAACTGCCCCTTTCCTTCATGCGAGCCCCAGCCCACTGCTGTGAGCACTCACACAACGCCAATGTGTGCCACATCACATAAGTGGGCAGGAACACAGCCTCTACAAGTATTTTAAGTGATTGTAGGGTACAGCATCCCATTTCCAGCACTTGCAATTGCCTGCAGGGTATTAGACACTCCTTGGCTTGGGGAAACACTAAGCACCATAACGTGCTTTTCTTTCTATATGTTTCAGTGGTAAACGGCTAACCTGCAAACATTGCTAAATACAGATTATTTATCCAGGGAAGAGAGAATTAGCGATGTTCAGTTACATCTTGATATTTACATTTTCTTCATCAACATAGGCCTGCTCAAAGAAGTGTAAGGATAATTTTTTGTAAAAATATAATTCAACTGTTCTATCACTCTCTTCAGAGGACTACACTACAAAAGGAGAGACCTCCCTTCTAGAAAACAGGATTTTCAATAGTAAAAACCTGCAGAGCACAGACAACTACTTGACACTGTTTAATGGGCATTGTAGACAGAAGATTAAGAAAGAATTCAGCTGCAGTACTTAAATTTAATGTCTGTTCTCTTGTTATAGGGAAAAATCAAATAAGATTTTTATGGATTGTATTGCAGTTGTGAGATTCAGTCTCGGGTTGGCAGTAGACTTATAACAATGAATCTTTTTAATGTTATTTATTATTACTCTATTTCCAGCTGTATAGAAGCATGATAGAAAAAAAGTTACCTGTGGATTCTGCCCACCCAAAATTCAGTCTGCAATATCTCATATTTTTTTTCCCTTTCTTTCTTTCTTAACTAATCTTATATTACAAAGAAACAATACTGTAAGGACAGTGAGAGAAAACGTATTCTGATTAGTTCAAACACTCCAGAAGATCCCCTATCTGTTATTTTATTGAAGAATATAATTTTAATACAAAAAGTTCTATAGTATTTTCCCATGCACAATTAAGATTCTTACCATCTTGTGTTGATATTGAATAGAATATTTCATAAGATTTATTTTAGTGTTCTTTTCTGACTTTTATATTAATTCTCAGTCTATTATTGTGTGTGTGTTCTGAACTGTCAAAGATATACACAACAGACTACAATGCATTTATACAGAATGCAGCAAAATGAAAAGAAAACATTTTATAGCTATTTGGTTATTTCAAAAATACAGGATCTAGATGGATCTAGTTTCATACTGCTATATTCCTACTTATATCATTTACAGAATCTGTTTCAACATCCTATTCTTCTTCCAGTCCAGATCAGGAGATTTCAAAGAGGAGAATTTCTGACATGGCTGATTGAAGTTTCAAGCACAATCCAGATGCTCACAGAAGTTTTTGCTGTTTTATTAATTTCTCTATTTGATGTGTGCTTATAAGGGAATAAACATGACCTTCAGCTGATGAAATTTGTGTCATTACCCTCATCAACTAGCTAATCTTTCCTTAACTACAATATAGGAGGGCAAACCAGGACTATCTGGTCCCATTGGAAAATAATTCATATCTTCCCTGCATAGACGTGAAGGAAATGAGTGCTATGGAGGAATGATCTTTGAGGGGCTGACAGGTGGTCTCAAGAGTAGATCATCTTTTAGCTATGTAATGTCTCTCTAGCTGTATGGATTAAATGTCCTCATTCAGTTTCTCTGGAAAAGTGCATTTAGCCCTTAGTCTGTGTTGAGTTCACATAATGATGGAAGAAATTTTAAATGTGGAAAGTGAACACAGCTAATTCATATCTTAATGTTTACATCTACAGACATATTGGATTAATAAAGAAAGGAACCTCCTAAAAGGCTAGAAGTACATTTTTGAGTGACAACTTCACAAACTATTTTCCAGAGAAAAACAGACCATGTTTCCACCATAACTTTTTCTCTTCAATTGGGAGAAGCAGTCCACAATAAAGTCCATGCTCACCTTATGTCCAAAGGGTCCTGGCAAGCCTGGTGGGCCTCTATGCCCCTAAAGTGACAGAGCCAAAACCAGAAAGCAGTCACCATGCAGCCAGACAGGAGCCTGAACTTTGAGACAGTCAAGGCAGACAATATCCCCACCACCACCCTCCTTGCCTCACACTGTCTTGGCAATATTTTACCCGTAATATGTAAGTAAATTAAATAATATGCTAGCTTGGCCAGAATTAAATGCTTTTAAGTAAATTCCATCAAGCTAATAATTTTTGTACTTGTCATAAGGACAATGGTTACTTCTTGTGGAGGTCTCCATTTTCAATGGCCATCAGGGCACACTGAAAAGAGTTTAATGTTCAGAAATACAGATTCAGTTCTCTGAGCCTTTTTGGATGATCTGCAGCATTTTGCACAGCCAGGCCTTTTGTGTGTTCAGGCAGACAGCCTGTGAGCACCTGTAACAATGCAGCCTAACTCTACCACAGATCCACCACTCTTCTGCAGAAGTCATGCTCGTCTATCTCACACTGAACTACTCAAGCACAAAGCTTGCCAGAAGTACTTACCTGTTCTCCATCTTTACCCTTACCAGGCAAACCTGGCTCTCCAGCAGGCCCTGGCTCACCAGCTGGCCCAGGCAAACCCACTTTTCCTTCTTTTCCAGGATCACCCTGTAGAAGACAATCCAGCAAAACTCTTAGTAGCATATTAAAGTTCATCTTTGTCTCAATTCTTTAATTGGGACTGAAAGATATGCATTTTTTCTAGCTTTCTCATCTGAATTTCTCTTGGTATCATAGGAAACCCTTTTTTCTGGGAAGTCTTTTCCTTCAGTAATCTCAAGGCATTTGTAATTTTCCTTAAAGAATATAAAAGGAGAGTTCAAAATGTTTTTGGGAACCAGATATATGAGAGAGCCCCTGGTCCACACATGACCCTGAGGTAGATCTCAATAATCTGGAAGATGATCTGACTGAAGTGGCTGGGATTCATGCTCCTTTAAACCCTGTATATATGCATATATGGGGCCATGTTTCTGATTAGTCATTCTTATTCCAGCAAACGAAGATTGGGACCCCAGCATGCTGGGCACTGTGCAATGAATCTGTAAATTACAAACCCCTGACCTCAAAAAGCTCACTGCCTAGCTACAAGATGGGACATAACAGTTAGACAAAGAAGGCAAAAGGTAAGCTAGGATGCATCAAAAAGCTGAACTATTGTTCTAGTTGCAACAGCTTATCAGAAAAGCAGAAATCTCACTTTCTTAACCACGAAAGCCAGTTTTCCTTCCCGCTTTGGATTTACAGTGATGAACAGGAGGTACTTAAAATACCAAACCCCCACTCTTGTCAGGTGATGAGGACAACAGAAGATCATCACTGAAAAATGTGCAGCAGTGACTTCACTGTATCCAGTTGTAGCTCAGTGGCTTTATTATGGAAATTATAAAGCTGCAACAGCATGTATAATAGAGGAGGTCAGACACAACATCTAATGTGTCTTAACCATCCACAAACCTATGAAATAATTTCCCAGTTCAGATTGCTTCTGTCCCAGGTTACTTAAAATGCCTAAGAAGAAAAGAAAACAACCCATGAAAGAACTAACTCACCTTTTCCCCTTTTTCTCCCTCCTTTCCTGGTAGTCCAGGGTCTCCAGGCACACCCTGGAGAGAAAAGAACTTTAAAGCTTAAAAGTTTACTTTTAGGCATTATTTGATCCTAAAACAAATGGATAGATTTGTGAGTTCAGTACAATCTACCTCAAGGATTAGTATCAGTTTTACATTTCCCAGTACAGATAACCTGTAATACAGAGAACACAACAGAAGAGTCGTGTACCAAGTGCTTAAAGGAGTTTAGTTTTTTTTTTTTTTTTTTTTTTTCAATATAAAAAAGAGCTGAACAGCAAAAGCAAGAAATTGAGCTAATCCCATGTTTCTGCATTCCCATTCTATCAATTACTATTTTTTTCATTCTGTGAAATCCTCAGCAGTTCCTAATCCATTACCAACAAACCCCCAGTCATCGCATCTGTATCAGAAAAGTCAAAAGTCTCATAATATTAATTTTTTATGGCTATTGCTCTCCAAAGCTATACATTGGAAAACATAGCTATGTTCACTTTACTCTCTATTTCAGTTTTCAAATCTCTTCAGGTCTTGGCAGATCTCAAAGGATTCCTTGACAAAATATAGATGATTTAGAGCTCCAAATTAAATACTGTAACTTTCTAACTCACCAAAACACATTATAGAGTGGTACTCCATTTTAAGACATGAAATGATATCTTGGAACCAGTAAGATTGGATTGACCTCCTCACAGGATGGATGTGATAAATATTTTCCTTTCTGCACCAGTAAAAATTATTTCCAACTATATTAGCTTTTTTAGGTAATACATTGGTATTACTGGTACAGAAGTTTGTTGAAAGGAATATGAAATTGGAAAAGGTCTTCATTTTTGATATTAACTTTCAGTTTGAAGTTAAATCACTACATTAATACAGTTAAATCAAATGTATCTTAACAATTAGTAGAAAGGCAATCTAAGATTTCTTGGATTGCCCAGGTAATGAACTCTGCTGTAAAGAGCCCTCCGTGCTAAGTCACTGTGCCTTAATACATTATAACATGGGGTCTAACTGCTGTTTTCCCCTTACTCCAGTGTAAGCCCATAGAAACCCCAGGCACTGGACAGAAAATTACACTGGCGGAGCAGGGAGTAGAGTTAGTCCAAAGATTTTTTTACAAACATGAAAAGCTCTGTCATACACAACTTAATAATGGTGATGAACATCTACTGAGATAAGGAGGACACTGTATTGATTTCAAGGCTCTGAAACAAGGATCAAATACTTAAATGCTTTCACATAATAAAACTAGGAGCTTACCCTGCAATTTTTATATCAAAAAGTCATGATTTCAAAAGGAAAGAATGAATGAAAACGAGGGAAAGGAAACAAAACGAGAGAGAATAAGCATTGTAATTTTTCTCTTGAAGATCTGGCAGAAAAAAATCACTTTTGACAATATGGTGAGAAATGAAGCAGCTCCATGCCTCCCTCTTGCTTTAAATGAATATGAGAATGTTTAATGGATACACCATTCCCAGGTGTTTCCAGATCTTTTAATTCAACCATTAAAAAAAGTGTAATGAAACACAGCCTTTTGAACCTGACAGTAAATCTTGTGGAAGGGAAAACTAAACGTATTAAATGAAGAAATCAGGTCAGAGATGGGAAAACAAATACACTGGTGCATACATACCACATTTCCTGGCAAGCCTCTTGGACCTGGGGGACCTGCTGGTCCAGTCACACCCTGTTTTAAGAAAATGAAACATGTGCATGTGTAATTCACAACTTTTACCACCATAGGAACGAGATGTTCCAAGTGAGACTGGAGTTCATGTCAGACAAGGTGTTGTACAAGCACAAAGCAAAAAAAAGTATTTCTGCGAAACACTTTGTAATGTAAAGAAGCATGAAACAATACAAAATGGATGAAGACTCTCATTGGGATCTTAAAATTAGCTTACATCAAAATAAATCCTAAATCTAGCTGAGATACAGGAAGAAAAGTCGGGGCCTGCAGGATCAAAAGAACAAAGGAAAGTGTGATGATTCATTATTATAATAAAATTCTAGGTCAACAAAACATGATTTGTTGACAATTCTACCTTTCTCTACTCTGGGGAACAAATACTGAAAACTCTTATCTGCACTAAATAGATGAACAGCACAAATGATTCAAAGTGTTGTAGTTCTGAATTTCAGGTCTTTTCTGTCTGCAAGTGAAAGCTTTTTAGGGTGGGAAAACCCATGTGTGTTCCCAAAAATGCATGTGGGACATGAGTGGACATATACGTGGGCATACGTGGACATATCCCCACAGAGATGTATGTTTGTGGTTACCAAGCTATATTTAAACATTTTCCTCTATACTTGACTGTATCATGTTAAAGTTGCTACCTCTGTAGTTGCTTGTCAGCCCGCACTGGTCAGGGTTCACTTGTCACCACAGCTTTGCAAGGAAAAGTACTCCTATTAGCATATCTAATGCATTTAGGGCTATACCAGACAGACTATCTAAAAACATCTGCACCAGGAGACTGAAATAACCTATCTGACTTGGAGTAGAATATGGAAAAACCTCTTCTACTGGAAGGGCTGGGCAGTAATATCTTGTAGAAGGACAATGCAAACAGTTGGGAGATGAAAATCTTCCACAGTATTGCTGTTCACAAAGTGAATACCTATCTAATGCCTTTGGTTCACTAAAAGAGAATTAAAGGTTTCCTCATTTCTGTGTTATTTACAGTCCCTGGTCTACAAGCCAATAGAAACATTTGGAGCAGTGGTAGTCTGTGAACAGATGACAAAAAAAGAGTTGCTTGCATATACCTTAATTTCCCTATCATTAACACCCTCCATGCCACTGTGTTACACAAAGAAATAAAACCAATGGATCAGTTTGGTGGAGAGGACTTTTTTTTGTCCTTTTCTTTGTTTGTTTGGTTTTTGTTTTGTTTTGTTTTTTTTCTCCCTAAAAAGATTAAGGAGTCATTCAGTCAAGAGTGAAAGAGAGCTGGGGACAGGCAGTTCAGAGTTTATGGTCAAAGCACTGCTAGAGACAATGTCTAAGCACAAACCCAAGAAGGAAAACCATGAACACAAAGGTAGAAGAAGAAATTTCAGTGCTTTAGGATGCTTAATTTGGATTTCCTATTCCTTCCTTCTCCCAGACACAAACATCCTGTTTCTCAATCATTATTTCAAATAGTTCTATGGTCTTCCTTCTCTGCTTGCAAAGAAGGTATGTGGCCTTTTATTCAGCCACAAAGGGCTTCTACGCTCTCACAATAATAAAACGGGACTTGAATCTTTTGCTGTTCCTTAGTATACAGTCAGACAATAGCAGCACTCCCTACAACACATGCCTCAAAAAGTGGCATGTGATGATTCCTCTGGTGATGAGCCTGTATCGAAGAAAGCAGAACTGACTAAGAAGCCTGAATCAACTGTGCTCAAAAACTAATTCAGGCTGCTGATGAGACATGAGCTCCCTGCACCAGCTGGCTGTCCGGGCTTGGTTGATATCGCAGTGCAGTAAGAAGCTCTGCCTGCACGTCACCCAGAAAAGAGGGCATTTTATTAGAGAGAGGGAGACTTGGCCAACAAAGGATGCACAATTTAGAGCTGGGCTGTTTGGGGCATTGATTTATTTGCACACAAGCAGCTACTCTACCAGCTGCAGCTTAGGATGTGCCCTGTGCCCAAACAGCCTGGGACTGTGAATCTGCAGGGCATTGACTTCAGTGTCCCTTCAGGTGTGTTACTGTCAGGGAAAAATGCTGCAAGGGAAGCAGTTACTCACAGACTCTCCAGGGGCTCCAGCTTCTCCTCTGGCTCCTTTCTGCCCCTTTGTACCCTGTGCAGAAAGAAGAGAGATACCAGCTGATTAGAGATGGGACAAGACTGCCTGCCAGACAAAAAGATTTCAAGGCGCCTGAGCATGCACTAGGCAATGGTTTTTGTTAATCAGTTCACAGAGGAGTTTAACGGCTGAGGAAATGGCTCCCAGTTCTCTGTACAGTGAGAAAATGAAATATAAAAATAAAACCCTGAGACATAAGAAGAATTACTAATCACTGAGCAGTTCAGAGGCTGTTTCTCAGCACAGGATGTTATAACTTGCAGGCATTCATCTGGGTGAAACTCCTTCGTATCCTCAGGCCTACCAGCTACTTAATTTCTAGCTCATGTGTGATGATCTCCCTGTCAGAGGAAGTTTTGTCTACAGTTCTCAAATACAAAACCCAGCCATTTAGAAATGGTCAAAACACATCATAATCCAGAGGGTTTGTCCCAGTCCTACATACCATGTAGCTCTTTCTTAAGGATTTTGGCAGGACAGAGTCTACTCACTGAACAGTCCCCCATTTACCAGATGTTTGTTAAAAGTTGCATGGTATTACTGTTTTTTTCATAATGCTAAGACAGTTGTTAACCTGTTTAAGTTGTTGATGAAAAAGTAATAGTGGACATATGTCTTGGGCTGAGCACAGATGATGGCAGAGTGAACACCCTCCCATGTTGACATGAAAAAATACCTCTGTGATGGCAGGAAATAATATGCGTGAGCTAAGAAACTTTCAAAAGAGAACTGAGACTATAAAATCATTTCACATGAGACACAGCGCATTCAAGCTCAAATGCGCTGGGGCCGAATCTGAATGCTCTGCCTTGTTTTGGCAATGTACTGCAGTAACGTATCTGTGAGACCTGTGGTTCGGTGGCATTAATATAAGATGCCTTCTTGAAGGATCCTGAAGTTGTCAGGAATCTCTCAGGCAATACTGATTATGCTAAAGAGATGCTGTGTTTCTGCTTTGATTTTCCTCATGTTGTCCTGATGTCCAGCATAAGTAAATATCTCTACAGAAGTCCCTGAATTTACAACAATAAGGAAGGAGAAATGGGCTGTTGGTGTGTAGGGGAAGAATTATGTACAGTGATATAGACCTTGAAGGCACACCTCTCTGGTCATGTCTAAGATTTTTCAAGACTGGGCCCTCTTACCTGTACTCCTGCAGGTCCTGGGACACCTTGTTCACCTGGGACCCCCGGTAATCCCTGTAGAAACAGAAATAGAGGTGAAGGAGCTGAAGGAAACTGCTCCTTTTTTCTGTGCAGGAGATGTTTCTCCTTCCTTCCACTGAGAGAAAAAAGGGTGTTTTGCACAGAGGATGTGATTGCACAGGACTCTGTCTCTCCTTGGGGCTCCATCAGAACAAAAGCAGTCCAGAATAGAAATGGAGTAGCCAAATGCACAATTTAGCTGGGCCACATCACTTTAAAAGCCCTTAATAAATCCCGTACAGCCTCACTGCCAGCCAAGTCCTGTTTAGCAAACCCCATAGTCCTCTTTTCAGCTACCTCAGGGTCAGAGTTATAAATTAGGGGCTTAAATTGATGTAGTCATGTAGCTTCCTCTAGAGTCAAAGCCAAGCACCACTGTGGCCATTTCTGAAGAGAGAAGTATCTCAACTATGGAAGGAGCATGTCCCACCCTCTCCCTCCAAAACAGGTAGCTCTCATGTCCTCTCCTTGCTAAAGTTCAAAACCAACTGAAAAAATACTTGGCTGTGCTTACAGGTTCTCCACTCATTCCTTGGTCTCCTTTCTCCCCTTTTGGTCCAGGTTCACCCTGATATAAAACAATAAGACATAGAGAGAAATAAAAGCTACTTCCATGACTGAAAGTCACACTAATCCTGTTTGGTAAGAGAGCTCTTCCAATCAGTCATCACTTTATGACATACAGAAGCTTCTTCAAAGGTATTTGAGGTCAATGAATCAAAACTGATATCATACACTAAGACTTGGAGATCACTGTTTAGATTTCTTGGACTGTTTTGATAATAATTGCCAAAATGTTCAGTTTAGAAAGAGAACAGTTTTCCATCATAGAGAACAGTCATTAAAGAATTCACCATTCCAAAATTTTATCAATTAAGCTCCAGTGTATTAAAAGGCCAGATGATATGACCATCAGCAAAAGCACCAGCGACACTGCACTACCTCTCTGCAGGACCACAGACCTAATGTCATCCTTCAGCTGGGGAAATTACCGCACATACAGACAGTTTCCTATTCCATCTACGAGACAGAAGAGTTCAGGGTCTCATCTTGAGCAATTCCAGAGATGTGCACTGTGCAGCTTTTCCTGATTTCTAGTTCTGTTAGCATCTCCATACATTCATACAATTTCTGCTCCATCCTGCAATGTCAGTACATTATTTCATGCACCACCATCACTGGCTAATATGATTAATTTATTCGTGTTCTTCCTCCTTAGAGTAAATTGAATATGCTTTCAGACAAAATTTCACCAGCTTTGTTCTGAGTTCTACAACAATAATCAATAAGTCCATATTTCTGCTTTTTATAAATTGAAAAGGAATAGCACACAATTATGGATCTAGCTGAAATAAACAAGGCACTACATGAATACTCACGTTTGTGTATTTATATGAACATATGTATTCAGGCAACAGCAATCATTACTTAGTTATTATTTATCATACAAAGTGTTTCAATTATGCAATCAAGTAAGCGTAAGAACATCAGTGATTTAAGCTACATACACATGCAGGGAATAGTGATCAGTCAAAATGCAGAGCCCAAGACAAATAAGCTTGAATTTTATTCACATCAGCTATTTGACAATCATTTCTGCAACACCTGGGAATTCAAAGTCCGTTTGCAAATGATTCTCTAGCAGACAAAATAAATGTAACTGCATAAATATTACTTATTTTTGTATTTATTATGCATTATGAATAAATATTATAATCTGTGATAAATAACAGGAGGCATTTTTACACTATAAGTGGCATCCCGTTAGATCAACTTCTAATCGGGCAGTCCCTGGTGCCATCTAGTGGCCTTCAGAAAGATAACGGGACCACTTCAAGCAAAGCGTCCTATGCAACAAGCCTCTAGGGTTGTGCCTGGAAGCTGTTCTGTGTAATGACAGTTTAAACTTTGAAACCGTTTTGAGAGAGAGGAACAACAAAGCACAGACATACGGCAATAATTTTATAGGCAGGGATGGTGTTACTGAGTGGGAATAAGGGTACATATTACCAGGGAAAACAAAAATGCAAAGGGAAGAAGTAACTTAACAGGTAAAGGGAGGAAATTTTCAAAATATTCTCCTTTCTCCCACTTTTTCATCGATACTTGACTTGCATGGTTATGCAAAATACACAAAATTCCAGTCTAATGTCCTTGCACAGCCACAAACACGGGTAGAGGCAGCATTTCTTAACCCAACCTGCCAGCAAGTATGCCTGTGAGTCCTTTCAAATTTGCCGAACTCATGACTATCTGCTGAGATTACTAACACTGTCCGCTACTGCTGCACATTGTGGAGACCTCAGCCCCTGGCAGCTGGACTTAATCCACTGCCACCTACTTCTTTCCTACAACTCAATAAACAGAAACACTGTGGTGACAGCTAACAGCTGCTACCAACCTGGGCCAGATCAGAGCTTACAGCTACCTTGACCTACTCTCAGCAGTGTCCTCCTGTATTGTCAATCAATTCACTAGTCATTTCCGTGCCACTTAAAGGAGAGCAAATGCAGTGGGGGCTCAGCCGTGCCCAGCTGCTGTGGGAGACAGAAGGCAAAGTGAGCAGCCGTCTCCTGTTTTACTGCTTTCACCTCTTTCCATCCATCATACTTGGTTCCCACACAGCTCATCTCCAAGAATTATGTAACAATTTTAACCGACTAGCCTAAATAAACATGAAGCAGATTTCTGCTGGATGTGATACTTGCACCTCTGGAAGAAACTGATCCCCCCAACTCTACTGCCCTGCTGCATCAACAAGTTTCTGAAGAGTTCACAGCACAGACTTCACCCAAAACACACAATGGAGCTGCAGTGGTGGGTAAATGGAAGCTCAGATTCACTTGGTCAAAGATTTTCTGTTTATAATGATTACTAAGGTGTGGTTTAAATTACATTGATTTTAACTAATAATAAGTAAATAGAGTAACAGTGCTGCTGTCTTCTGTCCAGGCTGTGTTTCTGGTATCTGCGTGTATAAATTTCTCCCTGGTACTATACACCACATAGTCAGTAGAAAGCAATGACAAGTATTGTGTTTTGAAAAGAGAGTGACAACTTTCAGCACCCTGACGGTCCTGCAGCCTCTAAAACATAACCCATGACACTCTCCTAAGGCTTACCACCACCATCTGACACTTTAATTTGTAGAGCTATAAATCAAAGGTAACCATCTCCCCTTTTCCTCCCAAAGCTTGCAACGCAATGTGCAGACCTGTGCTACAGTAAGTATCATCACATTCATCTTGCACATGGAGAAATCCCAGCAACCCGACCTGGTGACAGACTTCAGGCCTTTTATTCTTTACTATCTTGCAGCTCATTTACAAGAGTAATGTGCTCAAAGCAAAACAGAGAAGTCCTTCTGTGGCTGTAGGCACTACAAAGACCACATAAGATGTCATTGTTCTGCATATTTCCTTAGTATATAATAACAAACTACAAGCCAAGTAGAAAAGTGAACCAAAGAAATCTCATCTTTATCTCCAGTACTACCTTACATTCCTATTTCCTTCCTCAGCCTCTGAAGAACCTGGCACATGCGCTTTCTTTTCTGATGGCACTCTTACAGCATACCTCTTCCATTAATACATGCCATAAAGCCTCCTGATCCTTAACAAGCTTATTCACATACCAACGGTGTGTTCCTATATAATGCCGGATATTTCTCACTATGTACTGCAAGCACTCTTCATGTAAGAGGCTGGGAAAGCATACAGCTGTGTCCTGGCCACAGCTGGCTTGGATGCTGCTGTTACCAGGACAGCCATGTGCTTCTCATCATGGCTGGTTACAATGGTGAAGTTGCCCAGAACCAGACTCAAGTTCTTCACGGAAAGCATTACAGTAACATGGAAAATACTAAGGTGCTGTGTGTTTATCAGATACAAGAGGTAATAAGTCAGAAAACAAGCTTATTCAAGATGTTACTTACAGGAATCCTAGGGTGTGGGGTAAAGAAGGCTGTCTGGAAGAGAAACCAGATTGTTAATAGAAGCATTACCTATTCTCCTTGAAATGCAATAACTTACGTATTCTCCTTGTTGTTACAGATTGCATATTCTATATATCCATCAGTAAGTTTATAAATTAACAAATCATTGTAACATCTGTCTGTTTGGAAAACAGTCCACAAATATCAGACACTTCTAAGAGTATACAAAAAATGAACATAAACTCAAAAACTTCCCATATGTCCCACTGCTATGAAAACACAATCATCAACCTTGTTAGCAAGTTTACTGATAGCAATCTTCAGCTCACTTTTCCACTTGGAACCACCTTCAGTATTATTAAATTTCCTAACCCCACAGCTGAGCTTGGTGTGTTCTCTCTCTCCTTTGTATCATGTACAAGACAAGTACATGTCAGCATGGTTGTCCTAGGACTACACAGTGACCCTGAAGGACTAGTCACAAAAAAAAAAGACAAAGTTTTGTAGAGAGAGGCAGTATCTTTTATCAAAACTGGTAAGGTGAGGAAGAAAAATGTAGTCCTTCATGAAATTAGATATGTCAAAATCATCACCTACTTTTACAGCTGAAATAGAAATAATTTCTCCCTACAAACACAGGGATCTTGAGCAGTCAAGCATATCTTCTCTATATCTAGCCATATTGTACTGTCTTTGTAAGTTGCCTTCTCTCTCGAGTAAGATTTATACTTGTTGTTGTGACTGGATCCTTCTTGTGTGATACACATGGAGTCTTCCTACACGATACCATGAAGCTCTGTTTGGCCCAGACTAAAGAGGCCTAACTAATGACAGGGAATAAATTTCAACATCCTGTCCTGTCCCTTGCTTCATGAAGGTCTGTAGGCACTTGACTTTTGACAACAGATCTTGAATCTAATTCTCTCCATAATGTGACTGTGGCAGCTGTAACCTGTGGTGGTGGGCAAAGCTGAGAAGTGAATAACTGCCATGGTTTTGGAAGATCTGTGACTGAGATCAGCCCTCCTGTTGCAATGACAGGACTGTTTCTAGTGCTTACTCCAATCTGCCTACTCAGATTTTGCTAGAGGGAACTGTGAGGCTTATGTATTTACATTCCATGGATTCTGGTTTAATTGACTGTAGTGAACTCCATTGTAATTATGCTCATGCTCCCAAAAGTAATTATGCAGGCTCATTTTTAAAACAATAAATTGATGTTTTCTTGGTCTCTTTTTTTTTTTTTTTTTTTTTTTTAATTAGCAGAAAGAATATGTGCAATCATGTATGACTGGTTTGTGTGTTGGATCCAGTGCTGAATCCAGAATGGACAACTCTGGGATGAGAGGGTCTCTCTAGGGTTACAGCAGAGTATGGCACTGTATGCTATGGAGGCTCTGGGAGGCTACAGCACTGCTGAAGCTGAATCCTCCAGCCCATAATTCATGTCAATAAGAATTGGAACCTTCTGTTTTTTTCTGGAAGAAGGTGAATTGTTCCCCAAGAAGACAAGCTGTTTTTCACTGATATCTGTTCAGAGTCAGTCTTATCTTGAGGTCTCAACTGAAATACCTAGCTCACCCTGGAAAATCTGTGTGAACACACTCCCCATTTTCATCCATGACCTTCTTCAGACAGCTCCCACAGCTGCTCAACAAATCACAAATCCAATCGAAGTGCTACCACAAGGCAAGTGCATACAAAAATGCTGTTGGCAAAGAGGCAGAAGAGGGCGCAACCTTCCTCAAAAAAAAAAAAAAAAAAAAAAGATCAAATACAGCTTGATATGCAAGGGAGATAATATCAGAGTAAATGGGTTCTACAGTTTCTGCAGAGAAGTAGGGGTCTTGAAAAGCTTTGTTTCTGAGGAATTTGTGTGGAGGAAATGTGATGATGCCTTAAATATTGCTCCAGTACAGAGCACAATTTTACTTACTGTTCCAGGTAAGCCTGGTGGTCCAGGTGAACCCGTGTTACCCTAGAGAGAGGAGATTATAATTAAGGATATAAAAAAAGATGCTGAAATAAAACTTATTATCAGCCAGATGATGCAACATCACCAAATGAGATGTAACCCAATGATAACCTGTCAGCCTAGTGACACTTAAAATCCCATAGCATTCACTGATAGATAGAATTTACCCCATTGCTCTGGCCAGAATTTCTGTTCTCCTTGCTTTGTTGCATACAGGATTCTCACTTTGCTGTCTTCACAGGTCAATAGATTTCTAATGTTACCCCATCCAGTGCAGGAGTGATATGGAGTTTAATTTGTATTTTCAATTAAAGTTAATAAAAGTTTTTGATTGAAAAATATGTTTTAGCCAAACTTCTTTTGTGGATGGAAAAAAAAGCAGCTCTGTTTTTTATCAAAAATAGAAGCTTCTAAATCCAGACCATGCCCTCCCATAGATGGTGAAAGTCACTGGTAAACTGAGGGCTGATATATCCTAGGAAGAAGAACAAAGTGGCACCCATTTCCTGATCACTATCACCATTAAAATGAGGGCAATTTTTTCACTATACAACCATAGGCATCTACAAGGTCAGTTCTCCATCTTCACCTTCATGTCCACAGTGGTTGAATGTAAATTTTGGTGGATATCACCTTTGTCTAGTTCTCTCATTTTCACTAAAATTAATGGTATTGTTATGGCAGAAGCACAGACCATTCCTTAAATTATTGTTCTAGCACATCACAGGCAAGCACAGAAAAGTTCTCTTAGAATTTAATTCCAAGATTATTCTTCTCAGACAATTTTAAAACAAAGTTCCCTTGAAACAAAGAAACTGTCCTTAGATTTCACCAACTGCTTAGTATTTCTTGTATTACTCAATAAATGGCTTTTCTGTTCCATATGCAGCTTCCTCTGCTGCTTTTCGGTAAGGCTCATCTAACAGACTTCTAATGTTTCTAATCTTCCACATATATTCTCCTCTATCACTTGTCTCAGTGCCTTTGACTCATTTCCTCTCTCGTCTGAGAAGCATGTTCATTTCATGACTCACCTTTTCTCCCCTTTCACCTTTCAATCCTGGGAGACCATCCTTTCCTCTTTCTCCCTAAAAGCAGGGAAAAGAAAGCAGGAAATATGCATGTTGTGATTTGATTGCATCAGCCCTAGTAGAATATTTTACACTTTCAGCTGATCTTACCTGTCCTCCAAAACGTAATGCAAGCAATTAAAAACGTAAAATTTTGGAGATGGATGCATAAAATCCACATTGTTTTCAAAACCCAACAAATATCAATTGAGTTAATGGAACGGAAACCACCAATTCTATATCAACTTGCATGTAAAAGGTCCTACTGTCTGATGCAGTTAAAAAAATCAGATTTTTTCTAGTTGGACAGAGGTATCAGAACAGGAGTTAAGACCCAAAGTGGGCATTCATACTACCAGTTTTGTTTATGTTAAAGATTTCTGAATCCATTCACTGGTGCCTACGTCCTCTATTTTGTACAGATAACCTGGTCATCTGAATAAGAGATGCTTAACAAGGAGGATGTGAATATTCCTCAAAGTGCATACACAAAATAAATTTACTCTGCATTCAAATAAGAGCTATGTGACCTGCATTACTATGATTTTATATAGAGAGAATATATTCTATATCCTATGTTCTACAATACATAAAATATAGCAAACTGAATGGGAAGACCTCAGATGATTTTAGATCCCTCTTGCTCACATTCAAGCATGCAGTCAGTTATCAGGGATACAGGCCTCATTTACATGGCTAAATTTACTGTTGGGCACCTGATCCAACTATTTCCCATTATGTCAGTGCCTCAGGAGGTCTGGAGCTAGCCAGGGAAAAGAGTAGACACCAGGTCCGAAGTTAGGCCACCAGAAAGTGATTCAACCATCTGAAGCCTTCTCCAGGGCTCAGTGACAAGAGGGATTTATGATTTTTTTTGTTGTTACTAATTTTTTTAAATGGTCCTATATCAGGCAGGTATTTCTGTAAGTAAGGCCTAAAGACCGCTGTACCTCTTCTACTGCTCATGAGTCATAAGCTTCTGCATTTATGGTAGATACTGTTCATCAGCACCTCCACTGCAATTAGAAACAGTCATTAGGCAGTAAAGTCACTTTTTGAAAGGGATACTCGGTGACCATTGTAGATGCCAATCAGTTGCTCACCACAGCAATCACATCAAGAGAGAACGTCATTTAGGGATACTCAAGAGAAGTCCTCCTGGCATCAAATGTCAAAAAAAAAAAGTCAAACAGTGGCTCAAAGTCACTCACTTGGTCTCCTTTTTCTCCTCTCAGTCCAGGTAAACCCTGGGGACCAGGAAGACCTGCTTCACCCTGAAAGTAAGACAAAGTGTGTGAAAACTAGGAAGAGGCATTAAGCATGGCTTATTTTAATAAACCCCTTTATTCTCAAATATAATTAAGAATGAAAAGGCAGAATCGTGGACCAAACTCTTCTCTTACTCACATCAGTTAAAAATGTATCAAGTCTGCTCCTCAGGATAGGCTAATCTAGACACAGTGCCCTTACGCTGGGAAGGATGAAACCTCGATTTAGCAGTCAATCTCTTTGCATGTCTCATGCTAGATTGTGAATTGTTCAGAACTCATAATGACTGCAGGTGTTTTCTTCTTGATACCTAGGGACACCGTGATATATATGGTCTATGTTGTAGGCCAGAACCTGCCTGTTTTTTTCATGGTATTTATTATAGATGTAGTTTTCTGAGAAAGAATGGGATTAGTTTTTTTAACGAGTAATTTCTTATTGGAAAATCATCACTTAACACAGCAGATAAAAGGTTTTGTTTTGGTTTGGTTTGTTTTTTTTGCTGTCACACTGTTAACTGACACCATGGAATTTAGGACAGGTTTTCTTCATGCTGCTCTGTAACAGGACCAAGCAAGCAAATAAAAGCAAGTTAAAAAATTAAACCTAACTTTTATTTTCATTTTTAATGATGTGGTGTATTCTGGAAATTCAAAACCTGCACTGTATTAATCTGAATGGTACAGATGCTGCCTGATTAACAGATCTAGAATTTTCTGGATGCACTATTGCATATTTGGATTTCTTTCTGTCTGAGCTTTACGTTTGAGTTTCTGTTTCATAATACATGCTGTTGGAGTAATTACAATCTCTGTGTCATGTGATCTGTTCTAAATATATCAAGTATTCAAGTATAATTGGCTTCAGATTGACCCAGTTTGTCATCTGAAAATAACCATGTGGTTTCCTGTTTATAATTATTCTGCTATCTGCATTTGTAGTGCAGTATCACAAATGATGTCAGTCACAGACAGGACCAAAATGCACTAAGTGCTGTACCAATACTGAACAAAGAAAAGGTGTTCCCCACTTTAAAGATATTATCTCTGAAGTATGGGAAAAGTTAAAACATTATCATGATATAGGTGCAAGGAGTCTGCAGAAGAAATCAGGTGAGGAACAAGACACTGTGGTGACTGAGTATGACTAGGAACATCAGGGTGATGGTTTAGAGAATTCTGAAGACAGTGACATTTGGTGACAGAGGGAGTGGTGCTTTCTGAGAGACACTGCAGCATCCTAGCTGATGGTGAGATCCCAGGGATTATGGGAACAAACAGAGGGCCTAACATTAAAGGGAGAAAAAAGGAGAATTCCAAGGAAAAATAAAAACATGTGGTGTAACTTTGGCCCCTGGAAAGATACTGAAGCAAAATGTCGATGAATTTGTATGAGCTCAAGGACAGAAAGGTAATAAGAAACAGCCAATATAGATTTTTTAAAAACTAATCATGTCAAACCTATCCAGTTTCCTCCCTTGACTGGATAATGAAGCAGACAAGGAGGAAGCATTTATGTGATGCCGCTTGACATTAGTAGGACATCTGACACATGGCCAACATTACATTCCCATTAGCAAACTATAGAAATATAGCGTAGAAGGGTGTCTGGAGGATGGTATACAACTGATTGAAGAAACTACATTCACACACCTGTTATTAGCTGTTTCCTGTCAAATTCAGAGGATATATGAAGTCCTCTAAGGCTCTCCACCACTCAATATTTTAATTTGCAACTGAGGTGACAGAAAAGAGAACAGTTCTGAAATGTGTGGAGAATACCACACTGTGGAGAAAGAGGCAAGTGTTTTGGAAGGTGGTATTAGAAATCAACACAGCCCTGCATGGGGAGACAATCCAGTCCAAGTGGCAGCGCTTTGGTCAGAGGCCTGACCTTTCCTTGCAATGAGCCCGAGTTTGCCTGGTAACAAGAAGTCCCCATCTTGCCCAGCAACTGCAAGCCTGGCCATTTGTTTGCCCAGAAACACAGAAATGACAACACTGGGCAGTTATCACAGGAACCACTGAGGAAGGGTATAGAAATGGCTCCCTGACAGCCCAGTGTGAGCGCTCCTGAGGAACGGCTGGCCTGCGCCATTGTGATCTCCCCATACTTGGGACACCATGTAAGGACATTTTCCTGGGCACTGAGTGAAAATATAAGGAATTTTGGAATAGAAGCAGAATAGTGCCCACTCACATGGTGGTGTAATTGTCATCCACTTAATAAGTGCCTTATCCGAGTAAACCTCACTTTGTATCTTGGACTCAGAACCTTATTCCTTCAAGGGCTAAATAGTGGCAGGGGGTCTGACTGCAATACTGGCAAATAGGAAAAATGGTCAGCAATTCCTAAAATTTAATGGTCATGGATAGAGTGCCACAGCTTATGGAAAGCTGCTATATGAAACTCCTCATAGACAGCTTCTTCCCTTACTCCCTCTAAGTCCAATTTGTGATACATGTTCTGCTTTAGTGCACAGGACAACATAGGAGAAGAGGTCATGACCATTCTCCCATTTAATCTTTATAGTAGAAGACTGGACCGAGACTGGTAAGAGAAGACTGAGGCTCTGAGACTCTTCCATTGCTAGTGTATACTCTGTACTCCAAAATCCTAAGATGTATGCCAAATATAAAAGAGTCTGTTTTATACAGATTTTTCTTTCCACAGATTTTCATACTACAGTTGAAAAGTTGGCATGTGGGTGACAATGCTAACATCTATGGTTAGTGGTTCTGACTGGGCTCTAGACAGATGTGTGCTTTAGGAAGTCACAGGACATTTCCCTGGTTCTTCACTGAGATCAGAATTTGTCTGCTGAAACCCAAATCCCAATACAAAAAGACTAAGATAACTGGAAATTCTAAGAATCATCTGTGCTTATTTCCTAGCAAGCATTTACAACTTAGAAATGACAGCATCACCCCTTGCATCACATAGTTACAAACAAGTTCCTCATCTTCTAGAACCAGCACTCTTGGTTAATGTGAGGTATAAAGGAAAACAAGAACTTTTAAGTCATTCTGCATTCCTTTCCTTCCCTATCCACCAGGAATGAGGTGACTGAATTTTTCAAGATACAATGAAAAACTGATTTAACATATTTTTCGTCTAGAATTCTTGCTTTTCTCTATCTAGCCATAAGTCTCATCCACTCATCTGTTGAATCTTTAGTCACATATGCAAATGACTTACATGGAACTCATTATTGGCAAAAGGCTTTGATATTGCATGTGGTCACTTTATATTGCTCCGACAAGTAGGCCTTGCTGCTAAGACTAATTTTCCTGCTCACCTGCTCTCCAGGTTGGCCACGGCTCCCTGGTTCACCCTGGAAAAACAAAAGCAAAACTTTAACATTGCAAGGAACTGACCCTTTGTAATAACACTTTCTCATTAGTAAAGTGTGTCCCCTATGATCCTGACCCATGTTCTTCTACCTACTTCTCATAAGGTACTGAAATTTCCTTCCTGATGGCTTGAGAACCCAGACCACAGGGATCCAACACAAGGGCCAGGTATGCCTACACATGTGGACTTGAGAGAGAAGCATCAAACTGTTTGGGATTTTGAAGCACCATGAACTCTGAAAGGCAATGAGCCACATCTGCTCATCCTCTTATGCCTCCAACTTTTGAGGAATCTTACTCTCCTGACTTTAGTGTAAGACCTTCCAAAATCATGCTTTGATTGACTCAATGGCTACAGCAAACTATGAAATAAAATTCCTTACCTTAAGGCCAGCTTTTCCAGGAAAGCCTTCCTCACCTTTTTCCCCCTGTTCTCCCTGCAGGGAACACAAGAAGTTATATACAAACTCCTCTGGCAGTGCAGCATGTTTGCAGGCAACAGCGAGGAATATTTTGACTCCGTATCAGCCTGAGGATGTAAATGGAGCCATGTGAGAATATGTTTCCTGGAATGTTTTTCCATTCTAGTGCTGTTTGCAAATACATCTCCAGCACCAATTACCATACTGGAATATTTATGGCATAACACAAAGTCAACCACTGTTACGTTAAAATGTCCATAGTGAATTACCTGAAAAACAAAACTTCCATTCAGTTTCTTCAAAATATAAGTGGTTAGAAAGTCTGCATTATTTCTAAGAGAAATAAATAACTATGGAATTGGGACCTTGGTGACTTAGATAAAGACTTTTATCTTTCAATGTGGGTGGCGTCAGCATGGAGAGCAGAGACTGCAGTGGATTAAGAGCTGAAACATGTTATACAGCTGGGAAGTGCAGCAGGTACTACATGGGGCTGTGGATAAGATCCAAATATTTATTTAGCCTAAGAAATTTGTTTTAGGCTCCAAATTCCTCACCTTTATTCATCAATAAGTGGGAGATGGGGACTCTACTAGACCTGGGCTCAAGTACTCAGTGCACTCAGTTGAGAGACAAAAGTATAAATGTAGTGTGTTATTGGAACAAGTAGGGGTCATAGTATCAGAGATAAGAAGACCACCCCCAATGCAACCCAAGTCAGTAGATCTTTAACAGGTGTTGTCCTTATTCCAATATAGTCTCATCATTCCCAAAGCCTAGCTTAGCCTTCATAGTCAAAATACAATACAATTCTCTGTCACTTATTTACATAGTGATGGCAAGTCAACCAAAGTGTCTCCTACCTCTGAATCTCCTATCTTCGGTCTCCCACTGCAGAGACAGCAGAGGAGACACCTTTCTCCATCTGTAATTTGTAGAAGCTTTCAAATGTGGAATAAGTAGTAGGAAATAATGAAGAACTGTCTTTCTGCCACAGAGACCTACAGAAGCCTTAGAGGGACAGCATCTCCTCTTTTCAGCCTTTCAGGGAGGAAAAAAAGGAAAGTTTTTGGAACCTGCCACACTTCTTTGTTCTTCTTTGTGCTTTGGACACATGCCTTGACTTGCCAGTGTCACTGGCTTTCCTGGGAGACAGTAGAAGCTTCTGTTTTCAATGCTCAGCTATGTTTGCTGAATTTGATGCAGTAGTTGAAGACTGAAAGAGGATCTCTCATCCTTGCTGTATTTACAAGCATCTCCATCTTCCTAATGACTCAGTACAGTGCAATCACATCAGCAAGCTTGGCCCTGGAGTTTCACCGGTGGGTCAGTGATGCGGGATTAGTGAGGTATGTTTGGCTCTGGGAATCTGCTCCCCTTCCCACTCGCACTTGCTAGCTCACCCAGAGAAGCCGCCCAGGTAAGTAGTTTAATATCACTGTATGTGGCATCGCTTACCTTTTGACCAGGAAACCCGGGAAGCCCATTTAACCCATCTTTGCCAGGCAACCCCTAAACAAGAGAAAATCAGAAGCTGTAAGCACCTGTTCTTTAAAACTTTAACAGTAAGCTCAGCATAAGCACACTCAGTTCATCCCTCTTGCCACTGACCTAAGAAAAGAAGAACCACCTCATGCATTTTGTTTTGATTTTTTCCCTGCTGTGACTCAAAACACAAAAGTTCTCACAATGAACATACCTGTTTTTTCCAGTATCCCAGTTTTGGTGAATGACCACTGGATGTCAGTATTGTTACAGAGAAATAACAGTATAGAGCTTTTATAATCTCTGGTTTCTTAAATAACTTTAAAAATTATATTTTTACTCATTCTATATGTCTCTATTATCTGTAGCTATAAAGATATTTTTGAAGTCTGTTTTTCCTTTTAAATATTAGTAATTTCTTATACAGTGCATAGGCTCCTAAAATTAAATTCTACAACACATAGTGGCAGAATTGTTCAGCAAGATGAGAATAAAAATTACTTCCTATAATTCATTTAAAATGGCAAGAAAAAGTTTTGTCCCCTTTTTGAGTGTGAGTCAACCCCCAAACGCTGCAGGCTGTACATGGCACTTCTTAATAATAAATATTTCATAATTCACCTTTCTTGACTTAACTGCCAAGAGAAATTGCTATGATCTGCTAAATCTGAGATTCTAATTTCAGTTCTTTGGCCTAATTTGGGAAACTCCAGGTTTGGAAAAACAGTATCTTGCCAAATGCAAAATGGCTTTTGGAAGATAACAATGCAAAGAAAACATCATGGTCGCAGTATGCAGGAATAGCGGAGCTGCATCTGGTTAAATCCTTGTTCATAAAAGGTACCAGAGGCTAATGTCTGCATTAAAGGCAACAGTGTTGGAGCCCACATTAAAACCTTGAGTGCAGACAAGCGGCAGAAAAGGACACAAAGACTTGAGAATTAAAGTATGTGAAGTCATGGAGAACATGGAAGCAAAGAAAGCAGTTCCTCAACACTTACAGCTGGTCCCGGTGGTCCACTTTTACCAGAAACTCCAATCTCTCCTGGCAGTCCCTGAAAAATTAAATAATAAGAAAAAATAATAAATCAGTATATCTGTCCTTTGCAGCAACCTCACCGGAGGTTGCTGTTTTCAATTTAAATGCAATTTTCCCTTCCACAGCAGTCAGGTCTCTGCCGTGGGGAGTCCTGTAGACATTGACTTATACCCAGGTAGCACTGATGTGGTTCCAATGCTCAGCACAGAAAAGCTGTCCTCTAGGACCAGCTGTGGCTTTTCAGTGAGAAAATATAAACCACACATTGCCAGAGGCCCTGACTCAGTTCCCACTGAAACCCATAACCTATAATTCCCCTCAGCTGTTTTTTCGTCTCGATATAAAACAAAAAAAACCCCAAGCTTGTTTTCTTACTGGTGTTCCAGGTGGTCCAGGGGGTCCAGCAACGCCTGGGGGCCCTGGAGATCCCTGTAAGAGAGGAAGCAAAACCAGTTTATCAGACTCTCTGATAGTGTCTGAAAGCCTCAGGTCCTTCCCTGTGCAGGTGGGGACCTATTCAAAATGGGCAAAAGCACTGAGCTTTATTTCATTAACTTCTACCAAAAAAATGCAAGATGCCAAACTGAGCTCTAAGGGAACCATGCTCATGAGCAGAATAGGATCTCCTGCTTAAGCCACTAATTACTATTGCTACAAGGTAAGCTCCATCCACCACTCCAGTGCAAGAGACAGAGGAGTTGAAGGCCATCAAAGGTAAGGTACAACACAAAGCTTGTCCAGTGGGATCCCTTGTAGCATCCAGCCTAATTTCATCTTGATTAATGTTAATTCAAAGTGAACAATTTACCTCTGGAAAAAGGTCTCTGAAGTAACTAATGAATGGAACAGGCTTGTGGTTTGGGCTTTTTTTTTGGGGGGGGGGGGGGAGTGGGGGGTGGAGGGAGCGGGAATGGGGTAAAAATACGAATCCAAGAGTATGGAAGAACAGTGTAGTGAATCAAGTGTTTTAAAACAAATGCATCATCATGTTAGTGATCTACATTAACCTTGTTGATGGCAAAAAGCCCTCACAAACTCATACTTCAATGCACACATTCAGTTGGAAATGTCCTATCAGTCTTTCTTACTCATCTCCCTGCAACAGCTGTTTCTCCTAGGGAAAATATTCTCTCAATAGCCGTCCAATTTCAGAGGGACTTATTTTTGTGTATTGAGCAAATTGTTAAATTTGGCTTCCTAGCTGAGAAATTTGTTTCTATACTTGACAGATCTTAACAGGTTGCCTGGGATGCAGAGGTGTTTGTTACTTCCAGCTTCCACTGTAGACAAGATAGGATTTCTCCTCTGCTCAGAAGGAAGCATGTGTTCGTGTATTTTTTGGATCAAGACCTAAGCAAACAGTATTAGGATGGATGTGAGAAATGGATATATGACTGAGTTGAAATTTTACCCTGGCTGTGTCTTTCTGTCTTTCTGATGATTTTATTCATTTTCAGTTTTCAGCATAAGGGGAGTTCTAGTGTGTTTGTATTTCAACAAGCAACCCCATCCCCTCACCCAAACCCTATGTGAAGAATTGAAACTGAGCAACTGATACAAGATAGAAAATGGCCAGTCAACATTTTCCCTGTCACCATTCAATATCACAAAGCACAGCTTTTGTGATTAAGGTATTGCCAGTCATGGATCAATATTAGCATTTCACATTTAAGGAAAAATGTAGCTGAAGATAAGAAAACAATGTAAAGAAAATGATGATAAGGAGTTATTTGTGGAATGGTTTGACAGAGATAAGCGGTCTTTTTAGAATGCACTTGTAAAATTCAGCCAGAGATTAAGACAGCCTCTCACCAATAGATGGGGCAAAGTGACCAAAAGAAGCGACCTACAGATGCACTTGCCTCCCATGTTCTGCTTTCATTGCAGCTCAGAGCAGACATGGAGTCATCCCAACAACATCAGCATTCGTAGAGTGCCTCAAATGTCAGCACAGTTGAAAAATCTCCAGAAAGATGTGCCTTGGGATGCACTGATGCTACTGACATAATTCCTGGCAAGCACTGCATCAGCTTCTAGGGACATTGGTTCAGCTGCTATTGCAGGAGGGTCCTGCATTTAAGGAGCTATAGCCCCATCAGGAGACACTCGGTCAAGACCATCCATCACTTAAAAAAGGCTTTGTCATTCAAAGAAAAATAATCAACAGTCCAAATTAGCCCAGCATAGGACAAAATGCCACACTGTAGACACAACTGGATGGAGTGATGTCAGACACCAGGGCCATGGAAGTTCTGCTTGGCACTATTCCACCTCTACATGGTATTGCTGAGGGGCCCTGCTGAAGATAGAGGTTCCAAGAAGAAGCTTCCATGAAGCATGAGTGCAGTACTGGGAAATAAGGCAAAGGTACCTTTAAAAAAACAGCCACAAACTGATTCAGAAACAGAGTGAACTATGCATAAGTGCAGGAAAGAAAGTGCAAAATTTACCTTTGCAGACTTTTGTTGCCAATTCCATTGGTTCCTCCCTAATAGCCTAATTTAGTTCTCTCTGCCAATAATTGAAACACCTCCCACCATGAAATACTTATTCTCCATGTCCTTGCAAGAGGGAACTTCTATCAGGAGGTAAAAAACCCCAGTCAGGACCGAGCTTCAACCCAACCATCCCCAAGTATGATGTAAGTTACCCCACACAGTACAGACAGGGTCAATCTGACCTAAAGGCAAAGTCTCACTCAAGCATCTGTCAGTAAGCAGCATTATCCCTGAAACATGAGGTGTTTACATCTTCCTCATCCCAACCATTTCTCCTAGTAAGTCCTGATATTCTCACTATTTAAGACAATTTCTAATTACTCTTATAAACTTTCTATATTCTGGACCACAATAACCTTATGCAACCATAAGTCTTGAAATTGAAGCACACTGATCCTTACCCTGAATTGCCACTAATAATTCTGTTTCATTGCTTGTCATGAGAGCAATCATCTGGGTCATCATGCCTAAGACTGGTTTACTCAGGTAGCTTCAACACACGTTGCACCAACAAATGTTACACCCACTAATGCAAAGCTCTTCTGACAAAAGCATCTCTGAGATGGACACAGGCAGAACAGATTTGTATAAAGGCGACCAGTGTCCATGGGAGATGTACAGGATGCTGACAGCCTCCTCCAGCTGATTGTGTATACCAGTACATCTACTGTCTTACTGGATTTCTTCTTTTCTGCAGCCTGGGCTACAGTAAGTGACTGGGACACAGAGAAATAAAATGGCATGATCCCATGAAAGTTGCAGAAACACATAATACATGTTCTTTATAGACCCCTCCCGTTTGCTACTGTCCAGATCAAATAAATTTAATTTGTATATAAATTTCTGTTACTGTAGACCCTTCTCCTGATTTCTGAGTAGACTTCAGAACAAGGACTATTCTTTCTAAGTATTTAGAAAGGACCAAACTGAGAGCATCTATCTCTGATTAAAAAAAAAAAAAAAAAAACTAAAAAAGCGCAGCAGTAGGACAGCTTGTAATGCGTAACCCCAAAATCTCATTCCATCTGTTTTCTTTGCTTCCCCTTTTTAACTGAATCCAGACTAAAGAACCTGATTTAAATGACCACCTTTTTCAGAGATCATTTGATGAGCTATACAGATGAGAGTCCCTGTCCCAAATACAGTCTCCAGTGTTCATAGAATCACAGAATGGTTTGCATTTGAAGGAATCTTAAAGATCATCTTGTTCCAATCCCCCTGCCATAAGCAGGGACACCTTCCACTAGACGAGGTTGCTCAAAGTGCAATCCAACCTGGCCTTGAACACTTCCAGGGTGGGGGCACCCACCACTTCTCTGTTGTCCCTTTAAAACTCTGATCTAGAAGAGAATAATTATGGAGTGCTTTTTTTTTCTTGCTGTTGAAGACTCTGGTGGGTGCCTGCTACATCCTGAAGCAAAAATTGATATATGAGAACTATTCTAAAACAGGACTACACGAACTCAGTTTGGAAGACAAATGCAAAACATGGATATTTTATCAAGATGTTTAAACCAAAGTATTTTCAAACTGTTGGCTTGAATCAAAAAGATTTCAAATGTTCATTAAAATCCAAATACTGTGTAGAAGTGCATGTGTGTCAATGGAGTGGGACATCTTTAAAAACATGGGGGGAATATTTTTTCAGGCTTGTGTTTCATTCAGCTCATTCTTTAGACAATGTATTGCAGAGACAATTCCCAGGAAAGAAACATGACACTCTCCATATTGGAAGAACAGCTGTGCCTGTCCTCCAGTATTCACTAAAGGATGCTGTCCACTTCCAGTATGTATCTTGCTGAAAGACAGGCTGGGAAAGGCAGAGCTATTAAGATTTAAGTTCTGCACTCCCTGAGGAAACTCTGAAAAGTAACAAAAACCTTTGTCTGTGACTACATCAGTAGGCTGCTTGGCCTAAATCTCTTTTCCATAAAAAAAGGGATGTCTATGTTTTAGAGGCAGATAAAGAAATGCCATTCCAAGATAGAAACTGAAGTCTAATGGCTTTTCCAGATATCTGTCTCTGGAGGCAAAGCTTGCACAGACATATCATCTGTACATTATTCCATGCTGATGACTGGATTCTGTTAAAACATGACAAAAGCTTAGATCAGCCCTTAACCCATGTCAAAACAGACTGTGGTCTGGGCTTTTTGGGCAGTGTGCTAGCTTTATGAATAAGAAGAACCTCTGGGACATGCAGGAGCATCCTGTCTACTGCCACAATGATAGCAAAATGCATAACTATGATGCTGACAGCCTTTTCCTCTCCAGTGTCTGCACTTGTCTCCACTTCAAACCAATTCTCCTGGCAATTTCACCTCTCAGAAAGTCTCGCAAACCCTTCCTGTTGGTTTTGCGCTGTCTTCCCTTTATTTCCACTTCTCTCCCATCAGAAATTAGGCTGTTGCAGCTATTTTTTTGGAGCAGTCCACGTGTCTCTCTATGTCCCTTGCTACTCTAACTCTCCATTTCTCCTCTTCTGTATCTGAGTGGATTCTGGTGTCAGCTCCTCACATCTGCTCTTCATTTCTCACCTCAGGCACTACCATATCCACCAGCACAACTCTTGTGAATTATTTTCAGTAACGCTGGATTAGAACACCATATTGCTCTCTCTGCCTAAATCCTGCCTTACAAACCAAGACAAAAATAAGAGGATGTAGAAAAAGGCTGTTGCTGATGACGCGGAAAACCAAAAGCCTGAAGAGCCAACAGATCTGAACAGTTGCCTATGATGCCTGCTCTATAGTCAGCTTCAGCGATAGTGTCATAATTCATAAGCGGATGAGGTCTCCAGTTATTTAACCAGGTGGCACTGTAATTGGAGCACCAACATTATTTTTAAAAATAAAGTTTTTCAACTAAAATTCTCTGAACTGTCTTTCTAGCTCTGTAAAAGCACTGAATAAAATTGACTTTGTACATAGCAGTCTCTCCAGGAGAATTTCTTGCTTCCAGTGAAAGGCAGTATTTGCTTAATTTCACTACTTATTGTAAGATATGGACATGATCTCTTTTGTCTACAGAGGCAGATTTATTTCCCTATATGTTCGCTTTGAGTTGGTTTACTGACTCAGTACAGCAAATGAGAAAAACAGCAAAACCCCCTCCCTTATGGTCTTTTGTTTCAGTACTACTAGTGATCTGCACTGGTGAAGACTTTATTTATTTTTGGTAAAGGTATAGATCTTATTAAAGATAGCTCTGAGCAATATCTTCCAATTTTGAGCAGGGCTGGCATAGTTTGAATTCAATCTGAGCTTTGCAGCTGGGGTCTGTATCCTTTTCTTACATTTTGCAGTATTAACTTGCATTATAAAAAGGATGTTAAGGATACCATGCATTTCAGAGGATACAATTTATTTCCTGACTTAGTTAAGAAAAGCTGGGCTTGAGTTTACACCCTACAGACAAGTCTATACTAATTAAATCATTGCCAGCCACAACCATAAAAGGTACAGCTTGTTCTGGTCTTCCTTGTAGGCCTTAGTTATACCATCAGGTTATCTAGCATAAGGCAAACCTCAATAACAGCCCAGAGACATTACAAGTGGCATTTTTGTTTAAAACTCAAAATGTTTTCACTTGTTTTGTTATCTCACAGGTGGACAGCATATACCTGCTCAGCTTGTGGAATCTAGAAAGTGGCTCAGTGGACCATTTGTAGGTATCTGCTTTAGGTGAGCTTCAGGCTTCACTAATGATATTACCTGGACCTTCATCAGGAGCTGACACCTACATTCCCATCCTTAACCCAACAAGTGCTTGCATCTGGAGCTGAACCCCAGCCCTGGTAATTCAGTGATACAGCTCAGAGTGCCTGAGCCCTCGACTAGCACTGAGGCATCAGCTCCCCTCTCTGCTGAGCCTGCAAACACAGCCTACAATGCCCCACTTAGTATACACTGTCTCACTGCAGATCTTCTTCTTCCTCAGGATACCCTCATCCCTAGAAAGGCACTTGCAAATGTACCTCATCAACTGCCTTCAGCCCTTCCTCTGACCTCTTCCTATCAACACATGATGGGATAGATAATATATAAACATATACATATGTATACCAAGATCTTGGGCAACCATGTAGAAATGCACAGCCCCATTGTTTTCTATGCTTGGTACCCATCCATCTATTTCAACTGAAAGTGCTTTACAGAAATGCTCATTTTTCAGTCTGCATTTGAACAGCCTACTGCAATAGAAGTTTGGCCCATGATTAAGGTTCCTGGAAACTAAAATAGTACAAATAAATAATAACAACAGAAACATATTATGAGTTCAGATGTCTGTGTCCTTGCTGCAGGAAAATCATTCATATCCAGATGGGAAATAAGACCCAGAATGTCTACGCCATGGCTTAACGACGTTGCAAGATGCACCATTTCTAAAGGTCACCGCAAAATAAATGCTCATTTTTGGGGGTGCTGACTGGACAACATGGAAAAAATAAGCACATAGACTGGTTCACCACCAAGGCTGATTTAGAAGGAAAAAACATTTAAAAATCTTTTTGTATTAAAATTTAGTTTGAGTTGCTGTTTACAAGGAGACAGGCAAAACTATGGCCACCCTATTGTTACAAAACATCCCCAGGCTAGCTGAAAAGTTGCCTCTTAGCTGTTGCTTCAGGACTTGACACTTAAATTAACTCTTAAATGTGACTACACCCAATGGTCCTTGAGAGTTGGACTGACTCATATGATCATCTCAACTGTGGTATATCACTGGATCTGCCGACCCTGCTTCAGAATAGCCCTCAGGTTGGTTCCCTTGTATAGCTGCCTGATCCTTCTCTGGTTTCTCAGTTGGACTGAGCACAAAAGCAACTATTTTTTTTTTTTTTAACAAAGCCCAACAATAACTTCAGATGATCTATTCTGTGTCTTTTAGCAACAATATGTCTTCTACAGTTTCTACATCCACTCCTTCCTTCTACCCATACATCTACCAATGGGGGGGAAATAAGGTCAGAAAACAATGGTATGTTTAAATTTAAAATAGTAGAGGAAAGGGAGATTATTTTAGTGTCCTAATCTAGATTGTGTATGGCCAACTCAAATCAGTTGGCTCTGAACACCATGGAGATAGCACAGGAAAAGGTGACACAGGCTTCCATACATGACTTGGATGAAAATCCATGTGACTACAGCATAATGAAGCCACTTTTCTTCTTGGGTATTTTTGGGGCATAATCTGATTAAGGAAAAAAAGAAAGCTGATAAAGTGCTTAAAAAAAAACTGATGTCACAAAAAGTGCTGTTAAGCTGAAAAGTAGTTTTGTCACAAACTGAATGTAAGCACTTTCTCCAAACAGAGATATGGAAATCTGCAGTAATAAGTCCAGAACAGAGTGCCATTGCAAGAATAGGAACAATATTTTTCCATTCTTACAGTTAGCTTCGAGGAACAATCAATTTAAGTATTCCTTGATGGGGCTAGCATTATATGCAGTTAAATTACTTAATGCTATGTCAGCAATTTTCTCATATATTTATAAAATCACTAACACATGCATAGATACATATTTTTTAAAAGTTTAAGGAAACTTGAGCTGAGCAAGTGTGACATTGTTTGGATGGATAGTGTCAGATATCTCAGAAATAATGCATGGAGAAAAATATTCCCCCCAAAAGGAAAATCCTACCCAATGGTTCAGCAGGCTTGGGGGGATCTTTTAACGTTATCCAAGGGAAAAAACAAAACCAAAACCAACAAGAGCTTTTAAATCCATTAGAAATACTGTCTTCATTCCTCTTGAAGGTTGCTGATTAAATACTTGCAAGCCAGATACCATACCAAAGGAAAAAGTCATAAAAATATGCAAACCAGTATAAACTGGTTTTTCACAGGGCAAGGTTCCCAGCTGGACACAAGGACCCTCACATGCACAGGGTCACAAGCCCTTGAATTGCCTCTCTGACATCCTCCACAGACATGTGAACAGCTCATTACAAAACGTCTGACACAGAAACCATTTCTAGATCATGTTTCCTGGTTACAGGGGCATAACTTGCCAGAAGAAATAAATGAAGAATCAGCATCTGCTGTCTAGCAGTGTGCTGTTTGTTGTAATACATCACCAACAGCTGTAGTTATGGAGGGTCTTCATTCCTACCCAAAATTTAACCAGTTATTGAAACAAAATACCAAAGCCAAAGACCCAGTTCGTTAATTTATTATTGAAAAAGCAATGAATGAAATGCTTAGTTTTGTCATGAGTGGTCAGCTAAAAGTGAGGTTGCATCTTTCCTGCCTGAGGACACTCCCACAGATATTTTTCTTATTGCAGGGGTGACCCTACAAAGTAACTTGGATCTGCTGAGGTTGGCTACAAAGTTAGCAAGAAACCAAGCCAGAGGCAAGTGTCAGTATTGTTATAATACAGAGCACAATGAGTTGATCCAAGGTGGAGCCAAATCTTCTCTGACGATGCTTAACATACACAGCGCTATCTTGCCTTTATGATGTTACAGAGGTGCAATTTGGACCACTATCTTGCCAAAAGCTTCAAAAAAAGGAGCTAAGGGGTTATTAACTTAAGACATCCATCCTCACAGAGAGAATAGACATTTAGTTTTAAGCCCCTGTCTCTACCTTCCTCAATAAGCCAACACCTATCCTACTATAATATGTATAAATTTGAGTGTCAAAGCCACAAAAACAGTCTTGTGCTCAAAATAGTCTGCTTTCTGAATAGCAAATACCTTTTAAACTGTTTCTTCCCTCAAGACTGCAGCACAGGAGGTATATCTGCAATTGCCAATTCACACAGCCAACAATTAGTCGAGATACTGTCCTCAATATTGCAAAACACAAATCATTTCTTTCCCTCTGGAATGATACTTCTTTATGCACAAGCAATGGGAAAATCGCATACAGAACACCTCCTTATGCCCCTGTTCAAAGATGCTGAAAAATTGTGGAAGGTAAAAGTAATTGCTGCCAGGCAGGCAGACTTCTCTCAATCACAACAGGATAAATTTGTTTTGCTCTTAAAGGAGAAATACCAACTTCAAAGATGGTGCAGACAAGAACAAGGTCATGGCATGCTGCATTGCGGTTCCAACTCACCTGTTGCCACAAAATATGCTTTTCCACATATTATAGGAAAATGAGGAAATCATCACTCACCTGAGGGCCGATCAGACCATTGATTCCTGGGAATCCTGGTTCTCCCTTTTTACCCTGTGTGTTAAACAGAAGAGCAAGTATCAGATACCAGGGCAAAGACTGCTGCTGACTTTCCAAAGTCTTGCACCCCAGAATTGGTAAATCATCATAATATGGGTACACAAAACACAAAGACTAGGAACGAAGGCAGCACACACCATTTGGATATGAAACTCCAGTTTGACAGGTCTATATCTCTCCATACTGTGATAATAGCCCTCCCAAGATGCAGGTGGGTCTCATGCACGTCTTGGCATCTCTTACACTCTGCAGTCTCACCTGGGTGCTGACCAGAGAGGTCACAGTGCTGAGATACAGCCAAGGGAGGTACCATGTGTAGACACATGCTGAGAGTCAATTTTCTTGCTGCAGTCAAGCCCTTCACCCCTTCCAACAAAGCCAAACAGTGTCCCTTTTGTTCCTTGCACTGTCTCACATATTAAAAAATAAAATAATTAAGAACTCTGGTGCATGGATGAATATAAAATATTCACAATCTCTAAGCGAGGAAACAGGAATCCATGAGGCATTTCTAACTAGGGTTGACATTACCACCAAGGGACAGAGCTCACTGACTCCTCTGCAAGCCAAAAAAGATTCCTCCAGAGGAACAAGAGAACTTTGCTTTTGCAAGGAAAGATGAGCCACCTATATGGATGCTGCGGCACATGTGTTTTCCATAGGTTTGACCTCAAATAGTTCACAGGTAAAAGTCCCACATCAGAAAAAAACAAGAAGAAAGGTTGGAGTAAAAATGAATGAAGATCTGGCATTAAGGAAGAGGCTGGATTTGTTTCTCAACTCAACACCTGACTTGTTTTGTTACTTTGGGCAAGTCACATATTTTGTAACTCAACTTTCTTGTAAAAATGATCTATCCTTCCCTGATGTGCAATAGACACCGAACCATTAATACTTCTGAGGTTTTTAGTAATATACTAGGAGGTAAATATTTGAGAGAAAAGTGATTTTTTTTCTTCCTGATTTCTACTTCTCATCCAAACTGATTTTCTTTTTGGAAGAATATTATAATTAAGCAAGTTTCATGTCACTGATGATGTGATTGGTCATACAGATGTGTAAGAGTCATATACATATGTTGTGGTTTCACCTCAGAGGGCAACTAAGCACCACACAGCCACTCACTACCGCCTTTCCCCCAGTGCTGAGGAGAAAATAAGCCAAGGCTTGGGATTCAAGATAGGACAGGGAGGGATAAATCACCCATTATGGTCACAGGCAAAAGACAGACTTCTTGGGGGAAGACAAAAATAACATAAATTTAATACAGACACTAACAACAACAACACTTAACAGACGGAGGACAGTGAGAAGTATTACCACATCTTAAAAACACCTCCCCCTACCCCTCCATTCTTCCTGGACTCAGCTTTGCTCCTGATATCTCTACCTCCTCCACCTCAGTGGCACAGGGGGACGGGAATGGCGGGGTACAGTCAGTGCTGCTGATTCTTCTATCTTTGGGGGCAGGGAACTTGTTCCCCCTGCTCCACCGTGGTCCCCCTCTCACAGGAGACAGTCCTCCACAAATTTTCTCTAAGTTGAGCCCCTCCTACAGGCTGCAGCCCTTCCCGAACTGCTCCAGCGTGGGACACCCCCACATGCTGCAATCTTCCCAGTGCCAAACTACAACAACAGGGGCTGCTTCTTCCCACAGGATCTCGGCCACCTTCAGACTCGGACACCTTAATTCCTAATGTGGGGCCCCCCACAAGCCATATATCAGCATCTGCTCCACCACAGCCCTCCATGGGTGGCAGGGGGGGGCCACCCTGCCGTCTCACCACAGGATACAGGGGGGTCTCTGCTCCAGCACACCTCCCCCCCCCTTTCTTCCTCCATTCCTCCACTGACCTTGATGTCCATGTAGATGTCGTATCTCCTCACCACAACTGCAATTCCTCCTCCCAGGTCCCTTCTTAAATACGTTATCACAGAGGCACAGCTGACTGGCTCACGCTTGGTGCAGAGGTAGGGCTGACTTGGAGCCAGAGGAGCTTCAAGAATCTTCTCACAGGGGGCCACTGCTGTAGCCCCCCACCTCTGTTAGCCAAAAACCCTACCACTCCATCACTCATTCAAACCCAGGACAGTATAATTTTCTCTTTATTTTTCTTTATTGAAATATGTCCAAAACCACCACCTATAAATAACAGCTTCTGCTGAATTAAATGAATGAAAAAGCTAAAACATTACAAACAAAACAAGTTTTCATCATATTTTCCCTGGTTTTGATTGAGATTCATTAGTTGGTGTGTCAGGATCTGATTTTTTCCTTATTTTTCTCATAACTGAAAAAGCTGCTGTCGTACGGAGAATTTTAGAAAGAAATTAAAAGAATAATTATGAGGTCCTTAGGAGTCTGTAGTCATTTCCAGGACCCTAACACCAATAAAAATCTGCATTATATGCTCAACTACATGCACTATTCATAGGTGCTCCTTCTATATTTTCAACATCCATCACTCTTTTACTTGTGAAATTCAAAAAGAGACAATTTTTAAGCTGAAAGACTCATGTCACCACATGATTCAACATATGTTTTTTATTTAAAGACACACATTTTGCCAACTGCCAAGGTGACCATGCAAAGGACACTGTTAAAATACTCATTGAAATGCATAAATAAGCTTATGAATAGAGCATACATCATGCAGTCTGTATAGAAGATGAGCATGTCTGCATGCCACCTCCTGCTTCCTATCAGCAAAGGAGCTACACATTAAGGTGGCTGGTTCCACAGCTACAAGACTGAGGCCAGCATCCAACACAGTGTAACTGACTCCTTCATGTCCCAACAATATCTCGTTGTTCACTGGACATAATTAGCACCCACCTTGTACCTCCCTTTGCAATGTTTATGCACCTCCTTAGACTCCAATTCAGAAAGTGCATTAGAGGCAGGAACCTGATATAAACACTTTTGATAAACCTTTGAAGAAGCATAAGGAAATTAGTTTCCTAAGTAGTCACCCTAAATCAGATATTGCCATACCCTGTTGTTTACTCTATAGAAAACCACAATGGGTGAAACATACATTAGTGTTCAGGCCAACAAATTCCAATGAATCTTTTAACCTTGCAAGTCAAGAGATGCGAGTAGTACACGCAGACCTTATTTTGGAGGTCCACAAGGGTGTGGCTTTAGAAGTTTTACAGCTCGAGGGCATTATCTGGATAGTTTGCTGAACTGCCAGTTTTTGGAAACTTGGTCCCACCTATATAATATTACCGGAGGAAGCTGGTAGCAATTCAAGCTTCTCCCCAAACCCATCTCAAAAGCCAAGGCAGCAGAGAAAGGACATATTTTTGTCTCCTGTGACAAATATACAATAATTGTTCTGTTTCCATAATGATGGCCAGGCATGCTAATCTGCTGCAGCAATGACAGATGTGAGAGAAGCCTATCCTTTCCTTGGGATGTAATGCTGAGAAACTTTGATGCTTTTCAAAACACTGAGAAATCCCTTAAAGCAACATATATTTATATCAACAGAGAGGCTGAGAGTGTAATTTCCATTGTGAAAGGGACACTTTGGCCACTCAGAGGTTAGCCAAAATCAAACTACAACAGATTTGCTCCATAACATTTCAGCCTGCCTTTAAAGTACAGAAATACTTGCTGGGAGAAATTATACCTATGAGAGCAAAGCTCAGCGAAATGTCATATCATCTAATAATACGACAGAGAAAACCAGCAATTATGCTGTCACTTATAGGAAGAATCAGCTAAGTGTGTAAGAATGTGTATCCTTCAACTATATGAAATATATGTTATTTGCCTTCATCAGCAATTTGAACAATAGCACAGTTAAAAATGTATGTTTTATTGGAAATAGATACATTTACCTCACTGAAAATCACAGCTTCAGTCTGAATTTAATCTATGCCATCAGTCCCTTTTTCCTTCTTATTTTAATTTGCTTACATTTCAATTTCTGCATGGCTGAACGTGTTATTGGAACATTTCAAACACTTACAAATATATGTGAACACAACCATCCATCAGAAGGAACTCTACCTTACAGAAGACAGGAAACCAAAGGAGAATGTTGGCTCCATGCTGCTAGAGGGGAAATTTTTAAAGGTATCATAGCCCAAAACTGTTTCTCATCTTGTTGTCCAATAGCCAGAATGGCCATACATTTTCATAGCATGTTTTTCTCTGAGGTTTGGTCCCTGGAACAGAGGTGGATTTGGTACCAAGTACATAGGAAGCATCCTTAATTGTGAATTAGTATGATTACTATCATAAATGCCAACTATTTCCTCTGTAAACTAGATGAGATGCTAGGATTACCCCTTTCAGCCCTGTCCTTTTATCTCTACATTACTAGAGAAGCCAGAAGAAATCCATCAGTGTTACTGTTTGAGCTCTCTGAAGGCAACAGCCTTTTACAGTCTCCATATGTATTAGAAAATTACAGTAAATTATGAAGTCAGAGCACCTCTCCCTAGCTTCAAATACCATTAGGGTTGGCCAGATTATGGGTGATTACTGGAGCTGTTGCAACAAAGTTAAAAAAGGGCTATAAGGACTTCTGGACATTGAGAGAGGTTGCACCTTGGCATTGGGTCCTCCCAAAATGTCTACCTAATTTGCTGGGCAAATTTTTTCTGCTCTTTCTCCTAGATTATTTATACATGTCCCCCTGGAGATACCAATGAACCATCTGCTTCCGTTGGACCCGGTGAGTCTAGAGTGGTTCAAATCAAAGGGATCTCATACACAAAGAAATAGAGTTGAAACTGTGTTGACCGCTCATTCAAAGTTGTGGCTGGCCAAAACAGGAACATTGTATGCAACAACTCACTTAGACAGAAGAGAGACAGGTCAAGAAGGGGAAAGTAAAATACATGTATTTCTGTCCCACCATCAGCACACAAAGAGCTCAGAGATCTGATAAACTTAATTATTTCCACATATTTAGAAATTTAGAAAACTAGGCTGCAGTACAGCATATCAAACTCAAAATGGGTCTAGGTAGATGCTCTCTCATGCCTACGTGGAAAGTACTGCTATAGGATAAATGTTTTCTCTTGGTTTCCTTTGGTAATTTCAATTACTTGAATGAACTTGTATAATTTCAATAAGAGGCAAATTCTTGAAATCCAAGTTATTTGGAGGACACTTCAGAAGAACGCTGTGTTTAGGCTGGATTACCCAAAGATCTACGTGCTTTCCAAGACCATGTCATACATCTGCACCTTTTGTGTCTATCAAACAGAAGTTGGGTTTATTTCCAACAAATATTTCAGTAGATCAGGTGTCAAAAAATTTGGGAGCAGAATCAAAGTACTTCAATTTTGTTCAATTTCACAGAAGAAAGAGGAGGACATGAAGAGGAATAAAAAAACCACAAAACCACTCTAAAATGAAACCAGACTCTCGAAGTTCTACCTCTTTTTCAGTAAAATCAAAGAGAGTACTGTCTATCACTCAAAGGTTTAATGGGACAGATGAAAACAGCAAAGCTTCTTTCTTCCCTCTTGTACCGAGTCTGGCTGAGATGAAGTTAATTTTCCCCATAGCAGCTCTCATAGTCTGTGCTTTGTATTGGTAGCTAGAAAGGTATTGATAACACACAAGTGTTTTGGGTACTGCTGATCAGTACTTGAACAGCATCAAGGCTGTCTCTCCAACATTCCCCCCCTCATCAGTAGGGTGGGAGTGGCCAACATCTTGTGAGTGGACACAGCCAGGAAAGGTGACCCAAACTGACCAAAGGGATAATTCCTTATCCTATGATGTCTGCTCAGCAATAAAAGCTGAGAGAAAGGGGGGCATTCATCATTTATGACATTTGTCTTCTGAAGGAATTGCTAACTATACTGAAGTCCTGCTTCTTGGGAAGTGGATGGATATCGCCTGCTGATGGGAAGCAGAAAAGAAAATCTTTTGTTTTCCTTTGCTTTCTCACATGACTCTGCTTTTACTTTATTAAACTGTCCTTATCTTGACCCACAAGCCTTTCATTATATTTTCTCTCCCCTGTCTAGTTGAGAAGGGAGAGTAATAGAGTTTCTTTGGTGGGCACCTGACATCCAACCAGTGTCAACTTGACATGAGAGTATCATTGTCAAAATATAGATGTCAGGTGCAAGGCATTTGGAAGCAGCTGGCTAATAAAATTAACATAACCTAGATATTCTTCAGTCTGTCTCCTGCTCCCTCAGGCCCCATCCTCCTTCAGAGCAGCAAATCCCAGTCTTTGGGCACACTTTCCATCTTAACAAATTAAACTGACTTTTCTTTACTGTAACATAAATGGTAACTCTCTAAATATTATGCCTTGTTTATTGGCAACTGTGCTATCCCATGTATTCTTTTATTTCTTCAGCAATAACAGGAACAGCAACTTCAAGCTAAAAGGACCTCATACTTCCACTTTTCCTAGAAATCTTTTCAAGAAGTATGATCCCATTCCTCTTAGCCAAGCTGTCACTAGGGTATTTGGCACAATATGTCATCTTCTATGAAATCTACATACTGTGTAGGTGGCTTCTGCATTATATTTCTAACACCAGCCAACATTGCCTCTGTTCTTGCACAGGTCAGGATCCTTCATTTCTAGAAGACCATGTTATGAGTCATTAAATCCTCTACGAAATGGTTCCAAACACATCTTTAGTCCATTAGTAGTTTGTGCCAGTTGCATTACAGCTAATTAAAGCACTATAGGCTTCTAAGAACTCCAACAAACGGTCATATCTGCATCCCTGTGTCAGGACAGGAATTCTGTGCATGTGTCAACTTGATTGACATCTTGGTTGAGGACCATAATGCAAAACTAAGGTTGAATCATACTGAAAAACAGTAACTCTCTTACATCAGCCTCTTTGCAGCATGTTATTTGGAAGGGTCCTGAAGTCAAACTTGCACTGTATTCTGTCCCTTACATTACTAGGTATTAGTGCAGAATATTTATAAAGCAATTCATAAACCAAATTTTCAGGAGATACAAATTGGTGCAGTATCATATCTTGAAAGCCCACATGTACAAAACAGCAGAGGGACCAGGCAAGAAGATAGTTAGAGATTTCAATCTGTTCTACATAGGTCTGCTAAAAAGGAGTCCCAGATTTGCCTCTAGCTATGTCTGATTTTTCTGTCCTTACCAGAGTGAAAAAAGCTATGTCTACGCTAAATACAATGGGTTAGGGCTCCACATGCAAGAGCACAGGAGCTTGTGTTCATGTATCTAAACTCTCCTCCTCACAACTGAGGATGGCCTTTGTCATCCAGCCTGCCAGATACAGTCACCTTGCAATGCAGTGACATTTGTGGAAGACAACTACTTGGCATGACCTAAAAGTGTGCTGGGGAACATGCTCGGTGTTAAACAAACCCATGCTCACACTGCTGCTCTGGCTGTTTGGTTTGCTCACACACTTGTATAGCCTTACTTATTTACTCACTTACTTACATTCCTACACCTATTGACAGAGGGTACAGAGATGAAGAGATGCGAGTGTCTTAGTATGGAATCATAGAATCATTTAGGTTGGAAAAGACCCTTAAGATCAAGTCCAACTGTAAACCTAACACTGCCAAATCCACCACTAAACCATGTCCCTAAGCATCCACATCTACCCATCTTTTAAATACCTCCAGGGATGGTGACTCAACCACTTCCCTGGAAGCCTGTTCTGTTTGACAACCTTTTCAGTGAAGAAATCTTTCCTAATATCCAGTCAACAATCCAAGTCTTACAACAAGTCAGGGCTGGAGTCACAAATGAAACTGAGGCATCATGAATCCTGTCCATGTCCTCAACACCAGGCTATACTGCTAGAGACACTTCTTGTTTGGGTATGTGCAAGAGAGTTCGCTACAGCTCTGAGCTGTGCCTTCAGAGCCTGCCTTGACCTCACATATAGCCATTTAAAACTAAACTCAAACAAAAATTTGAAATTTCTGCTTTTGGCTTTTTGACTTCTAAACCTGTCTAGAGAAATACTTGCTTTCTGCAGCCAAATTTATGTAAGATGGTAATCAATGCCTGGATTTATATCTGTGCTTTGTCGAGAATTGTACGAATGGTGAATCAGCAGCACCTGCTAATCTGTTCTCTTTCTCATATGTTAGTTATCCATGTAGATCCACCAAGCCCAGGACGTTCATACATATCATGTATTCAGTCATTGAATAATTGCCTTTAATTAAAAGAATATATCAATCCACCTAAGATGCCTGTGACTAATAAAGACCCTTAGGAGAAGAAGTTTAACTAGCTAGACACAACAGAGTCTAGGGAAACATTCAAAGACAGTATGGATCAAATGACATCTCTAATCAAATGATCATTAGCAGGAGCATTTTGTGTTCTGTTTCAGATCCTGACAGATCACTGTCCTTTACCCAGATAATATGTTCTATTAATCTTATTCAGGAAAAAATGTTTTACAGCTGTCTTTAAAACCAGGACGATTCAGAACTTGTCAACTTATAAGTAAAGCACAGCACAGTTATTTGTTAAAGTGATAAAGTGATATTTTTTAAAGACTCAAAAAGTACAAGAAAGCAAGTAAATGGCCTTTTCCAACATGACATTAACATGAGACTGCATGCTGCATCTTCCCAAGGAGAAGATTCCTAAAATTCACACTTACAGGTCAATTTAATATCATGCAATTCAGTGGAAAATCTGTAGAAAACCACCTATCAAGATACGTATTTCTTTCCTGTACTGTCCTTTGCCCATAACCCTCCCATATTCGCAAATAGAGCTCTCACACCCACTCCTTTAACAGCCCTGGTGCTGTCTCAAGTGCAAAGCATTACAGGCAACCCCCATGGTCTCTTCTATGGATTAAGCTATGATCAAGTCTCTGTGATTACTTTAAAAAGTAAGCCATCAAACAGCAGTACTGGGACTGAAGTGACTGTCTCCACAGAGGTTAAACAGGTATCTCACTTCCACCTTTATCTGCTGCCTAGTAAGGTGTCCTTCATATGAATGGGCTGAAGCAAGGAAAGGCAGGTTCAAAGTATGCAGGTAATATCAGGCCCACTATGAAATCTACTTTTTACTTTAATATTTCAATACATAGCTATCAAAGAATATCCAATATTTCTTTTAACAAGAGGAATCTATCTAAGCTCATGGTGGAGAATGGTATACCATCTCCCATTTTGTGGGAGCTTCTGTCTGAGTACAGACCAAACAGAACAGAAAACAATATGTAGTACAAGTGTCTTTGCATTTCTTTGACTTCCAGAACAGCATTTCTCTGAACTTTCAACCTGTTCATATTACTAGTGGCTCTACACACTCAGTTTTATATCAAAATCCTCTTGGCAGCAAGGAGCAGAAGCCAAGAGATCAAATAACAAGAAAGAAACATTCCTAGTGTCCTACAGGGCACTGCATACAATCTGTGGACTCCAAGAGGTACTGAAAATTGCTGGACGAAAAAGAAGGAATAGAGGAAAGGATCTGGGCCTCCAGAAACCTTAAATAAGTAGAAAAGTATATGGAAAGAGGGTCAAAATGCCAAACTTTATTGAACAAAGCTGTCCCCAGCCTCTTGAGACTTACATTAAATAAAAATAACAACTCACCCTTTGACCTGGTAAACCAGGGACTCCAGGCTTGCCTTCCAGACCAGCTTCCCCCTTTAAAAGTGAAAAGTTTTAAAAAGTTGACTGAGTAAGAAGAATTAATGAGCTATATAACCATTTCCTAGGTGTTTTGTGCTACTGTTACTGCATGGCTACCCAGACAACTCTTACCTGATAATTATGTTGTCCTGTGAGCAGAAGAGAATAAGAAAACAGAATAGAGAAAAGTGACAATGCCCTGATTAAATACAGAGCACACAACTATATTTAAATTGCATAATTAAAACCAGATTTACCTAAGTAATGCATCTTCACAATGCCATCAATTTTACAAAACCCAATCAACAGTGAAACACAACAAACAATTCAAAAGCAAGGAAATACAGAGTATTTGCAAATGAGGCAGCAGTGACTGTCTGAACTGAGGTATCCTGCTGAGTTGGGCTATAAAAATATAACTAGAATAAGCTACAGTTAAGTCAAAATTAAGAATGCTGGCATGTCTAAATTGTTTCAAAAATTGTGTTGAAACACAAACACACATATTCAATTCTTATTTTTCATCCATAAAATATTTTAGCCAAGACCTTGTGGCATAAAGTCAATCCATCTTACAGCAACCATTCTCTGACTTTCATTACATGATAAGTTACAAGTTAACAGTGAGTGTCTCTGAGATGTGCTGAATGCCCACCCATACAGCTCTTCAGGACATTTGAAACAGAAAAAAAAAAAACAAGTTCTGCATGACAACAGCTTTGAGGCAAACTCTGCCTCTGAGTGATGACTGCTTATGTCCTGGGTGCCCCCTCCATACGCTCAGAGTGACCAGCCACAGAGCTGGAGACCTCCTCTCAGCAGTGAAGGAAACAGGAGGCTGGGGGCACTGTTTAAGATGGATGAATAATGTATAAGATTTTGCATGTATGCTCACACCAGTCTGAGTTTCAGTTCTTGGGAATTACAAGTGGTGAGAGAAACAACTTACCGGAGGTCCAGGAAGTCCAGGTTGGCCTTGTGGTCCTCGTGGCCCAGGCTCTCCCTACAGAAATGTTGTTTTTAAAAAAAAAAAAAAAAAAAAAAAGTTAAAGTATCTGTATGAGCAATTATATGAGCACATTAGTCATGTTGGGTGTATCTATGGGACCTATACTACCCCTTTCCTCATAGGTCCTGAAGAACAAGTACAGAGACCAGCTGGTTTTCTCCTTAATCCTTCGGCTACTTGAATTATCAGCACTCATTAGACTGCACACAGACTGATCCACCCACGTTCATCAGGCATTTATCCATAACTGGCTCTTTGTTTTTCAAAGGCAGTAGCTCTACAAAAGACACTGGGCTATCCTGGATATCCCAATAAAACGCTGCGGGTTGGGGTTCAGTGGCGGAGGAAAGCAGTTCTTCTAAAAACAGCTTCCATAAGCATTTTCCCCAACCCAGCACAGCTGTGAAGGGCTTTACAATATCATTTATATGATGCATATCATTATATTAAATAACAGTTAAATACAAATTACACACTTAAAACACAAAATCAAAATTTATTTTATTTATATGTAGGGGTAACAGACTGAAGCAAAGGGTGTGCCTCTCCCCAGTTTGAGTGCCCAGGTTCAGAGACAAACTCAGTATAAATCTCAAATACAGTTTACTTCCATATTAACACTTCCCTGGACTTAAAGAACTGCATAGCTCACTCTCCAATTTATAATTCTTATTCATGTTAGATTCACCATACCTGACCAGGACAGTGCCCTTTTTCATTTCTTGTTTATTTTCTCCATTGTAAATAGCAAAACTTGTTTCTTGATGGCCTGACAAAACTGCTATCCACCTTAATTTCTGAAGCATTATTTTAAATCAAAATCTAATCTAACAGGCAATCGAACTACATAAAAGCATCCTTGCAATAGATATTGAATCTCTTACTTGTTCTCCTTTTAGGCCTTCTGTATGTACCTGCAATGAAAATGCAGTGTCATAAAGAAGAAAGAGGAAAGACAACACAGGAGGTGCCAGGGGTGTGATGGTCTCCCACAGTGTATTTTTTTCCCTTTGCCTTTACTTCAAGATGCATACTAACTGCTACAGCTCCTAAAATCCTGCTGCAGCCTCGGGGATAATTTCTATTTAAACAGCTCAGACTGACACAAGGTTTGCTCACTCAGTTACCTACAAAGCGATTTGTGTGGCTGTATAAACAATGAGAACCTAATTCATTATCTCATCAGTATAAATAAGATAGTGAATTCCCCAGGTCTGGTGTTATTTTAAATTACAAAGCCATACTGAATGAAGAAGGTATCATATAAATAGCAGGCTGACTTTCAATATGTGCATGATTCAGACTTTCCTGCAAGTCCTCTCTACAAGACGTTGTGGATGTGACTGACAGCTGTCCATCTTCTCAGCCCGTTCTCCACCCACCTCCTGGAACTTTAGGCTCATTTTCAGATTCGATACATATCTTTTGAAGTCTCTTGGCAACTATTATCACATCATTAATTTCACATTTAAGCAGGATAGTAAAAGGCTCTCACCCAAACAGACATTTTTTCCAGAGCTCGCTCTCTTTGTCCCTCCTTTGCTTTCTACCACATTCTGGGTAAGGCAATTGCCTGCTGCCTTTTTCATGATTTCCAGGGAGCTTCTCATTCTTGTCTTTAGCACTCAGTCCTACCTTGGCACAGCGCTACAGTTAATGTTGCTGGTATCAGTAGCCCATTAATGCTTTCTACCAATAGTCCAAGACTGCTGTTTCTTAATTTTAATCCTTTTTTTTTTTTTTTTTTTTTTTTTTTTTAAATTAAAAGGGATATTCCCCAACTCCTTTGTTACCAGCCCCTGCACAACTACTCAGTTCTAGACCTCTCCTCTGCATACTTTGCAGTAAATCTTCTTTCTCCATTCACTTGGAGATAACCTCCTCATACAGACAACACTAACCTCTAGACATCCTTATGTCCTTGCTAGTGATGTCTTTGGGATCACTAAAGACATTGCTGAAGGCAGAGGGGTGCACAAAGGCATGTAAATCTAGTGCCACTAGAAAGATCCACCCCCTTCTCCTATTTTTTTGGTTTGCTTTTTTATTATTGTTTTGCTGATGTTGGCACATCAGCTCCTAACTGTCTCATATTTCATTAGGAAATTTTCAGATGTAATACAATGAAAGATCATTCCCCCCTCATGAGAAATTGCCTTTTTCTTCTTCCTTCCCAACTCTCACATCCAGCCCATGACAAAGGCACTCAGTAATTCAACTTAATTCTGAACTTTCATTTGCTTTTATAAGTTTCACAGGCTCTATTTTCCAAAGGCCACTAGGCATTGACTCAACAACTGTCCTGGAAAACACACAGTCCTGGAACACTATTGCTTTCTCCAGTGCATCTGATGCAATGCTTTCATTGCCTCTTCAAGTCCTAATCTTCACATTTTAAAATCTCCCAGAATCGTAGCAGTTCACCTCCTTGTTGGAACCCATCACTTTCCATCCTCAAAAATCTTCACTTTTTTTTTTGTAAATATTTAAGAATATCTCTCTTTTAGTAAAGTCATCCAATCCTCAGCTTCTACCTTATCTTCTCATTGTTTGAGAAACCTGATAGTGTTTGAGAAAGCTAAAAAAAATTCTCACTGAAGAGCCAGGCAATCCTGGAAGTCCTGGTTCACCCTGCAGGGAAACACGAAATAAATGAAAAACGTAACATAATACAGAACACAATATAGCAAAATACATAACACAAAACAAAAGCAAACCTCTGAGAATGTTTTCCAACCACTGTTGTACATTCTTATTTTCAACACCAGCCCATAATTAACAGATATGAACATGCAGTCCCAATTAATTCTGTTTTCCCAGATGAATACATGCAGGAACTAGTTGTGTTCTGTGTTACTGTGATGCTACACATTGATACTAATGACATTTAGTAATTTAAAATTAATGATGTACTGGATGGACCATAACATTAAATTTGAGCTTTAAAAATCTCATAATTGGTGTACACAATACCACACAAATAAACCTGATTGATGCTCAGATCTCTAACAGTCTGCAGGATGGATATTTAGGGGCCAAAATGTTTTTGTTTGTTAATGACCAAAAAAAAAATTTGCAAAAAGAAAAAAAAAAAAATCAGAAGAGGTACCATTTTCCACAAGTCATTTTATAGAGCAGAATCACACTATAAGTGCTTGCAGGACATTGAGATGCTACACTCTCTTTACATGATTTATTGCCATCTAGGTTATTAATTTGTTCCAGTGCATTTTTTTTTCCAGCAGTGTCCACTATTTATTATGCCTTAAGACTAAGACTCCAAAATGTATCTCTCTTACTTGAGGTAAACACTAATGCAAAAGTTATCATATAGCTTCGTTTCACACTCTTCATTACTCATGGAGGTCTCTGAATGATCCAATATATCTTGCATGCTATTTCCTCTTAAGGCAAGTTTAATTACTATTTGTTATTTATTCTAGAGTCCATATTATGGCAGAAGAGACACGCATCAGGTGCACTGAAAGTAACGGAGCAAGGAGACAAACATTTTCTGGAAGCACCAAATGAAGTCACTTCAGAGATATGGATGAAGTGTTACAAACTCAAGACCGCTCTCTACTGCACACATGCTGGAGCAGAAAGATCTTGCTGTTGCTTATCACCACAGTGGATGTGCCCTGCTTGTAGGAAACCTCACCTATAACTGTTGAATCTGAGTGGGAAAGTAATGGAAAATAGAATTGCTTCTGATCTCTGTACTCTTGGATAAGGCTCACTGCCTTATCTGGAGGAGAAAAGGAGAAAGAAAATCCAGAACTGGACATACCTTTTCACTCATGCCAAAGAACTATGTAGGAAATACCAAAACCACAGTATCACTTCTAGCAGAGAGGGAAACTTAAGGCTGCCCTGTAAACTCTAATGACTCTAAAATAATGAGATCAAAATTGCTGCTGAGAGCAGTGAATAATTATTTTGCAGGTAAGAGGGTTGGGCTCATTTGACTGGCACTTTCTGAGTCAATTCTACAACTCTTGGGTCAGAAAACTGGCATTTACACAAACATATTGACATTTCTACCTACCTTTCTTAGGTGAGGAAGATTTCATGAGCCAAACTATTCTCTAACTCCTTCTATTCCCACTATGAGTGTTAAACCAAGAGTAGAGGAGCTATAACCAAACACAGTTTAACACTCATACCCATTTCACACTGAAGTGTCAGAAAAGTGAAACATTTAAATGTTATAAGCTTCACTTACACACAAATTACATAAATATTAGCCAACAGCCCTGATATTTCCAGCACTGGGGGCCCAAGAGAGAATTAACAAATGTGTGTTCAAGTCCCTCCCATGCATCCCATCTTAACTCACCTTTTCTCCTTTCATCCCACTGGCACCTGGAGGGCCTGGGCTGCCAGCAGGGCCCTATAACCAGGTAAAACAGAGAGAAAGATCTTTCTTTTACATACTGCAAGTCATCAATTACAATACTCTTAAAGTATGAGAGAAACATAAGGCTGCAGTTTTGATTATCGGCAGCAAAGTTATGTACCATTGCACTGGAGCAGGAGCTAATACAATACATGAAGCTACTTTGGCTCTGATGCATAGTGAGGAAAGGGAATAAGGATGGAGATGCCACAGCAGCCATGATAACAGCAATTCAATTTCAGCTCGTTCAGAAAGATTGCAGTTCAGGAAGTACATCAGTGTCAAACATAAAATTTAGGATAAAATTCAGGCATGAAGATTTGCCCACTGATAGTTGTCTAGACATGAAAAAGGCAAAAAAACTTCAGAAAAAAATGAAATTCTATAATAGGGTGTCACTTGGACAAATTGTTCTTTAGAAGTAGTAAGCAATCAGCGTCCACCTTCACATCCCTCTGCAATTTCTCACTTCTTCTACATTTGCTGCAAGTATTAACCAGTCCTGGAAACAATGTAATGGGCATAGTGAATATAGTTCATTGTGATTCCAGTGCCACATGTAGCACCAGAAAACATTTCCATCTTATAAGTATAGTGATAGACACTAACTAGACAAATACTTCTCCGTGTAGGGCAAACTGTGGCTGAGGAACAGAGCAGAGAGGAGGAGATGATTAACCATCAAATCCCCCATGGAGAAGCAGAAGAACATATAGTGCAATAATGTCTATCATCTCACAGAGAGGAAGATGCAGATTCAACAAAGATTAATACTGCTAATGATACTATACCTTGACAACTAAATACAAAAGACGCATCTGATATGGAAATAAAAATACTTCCCTACAAAATCAAGTTGAAACTCTAGCTGCTAAAGGAGCAAGAGCAAGGCACTTGGGCAGCACGTGGCTGCTGTGCTTGTAAAGCACGTTCACGTCAGACCCCAGCAGCTGTTTTGTCTGTGTGAGCTGAAGGATCAATCACCTGCAGACAAACTACCCAGAGGATTTGACACGCATCTCCTCCACCTCTGCCACTGTAAAAGTGTGCCTCCAGATGATCCTTTTCAGAGAGGGAAACAGAAAGGACTAGTGAACAGGATGTAGACGCAGCAGCCAAGAGGCTTCAGGCTCATGGGTGGCAATGATTGGCTGCATGGCTTTTGGCAAATCACTTTTCAGCCTCTGCTTCTTACTCTGGCCTCTGCTATTTAGACCAGAAGATCCTTGGGAGTAAAGGATGCCTCTCATTAGGTATCATACCCTGAGTAATGAAAACAGTCTTGTGGGATCTACAGATAATAGTTTTAGACAAAGCATTATCTGTCTAATCAGCAGAAATGTACTGATCTTTTTGGTTTCATCTTGTCTTAAAAATGTAAATAGTTCCAAGACTTTCTTATTGAAAACAAACCAAATATATTTAATCCAGTTCCCTCCCTTTCATGTGGGAGGGAAAAAAGTTTATAAAAATCAGGTTTAAACAAGTGAATTTTTTATGTGTTTCCTTATGTCTTTAATGAAAATTAAGACAAACATCTAACCTATCATGTTTAAAGGACTGGCATTTCCTTTAAGTGTACGTTGCATTACAACTTAATTCTAAAATAAAACAACAAAAAAAAAGATAAAACTATGCCAACAAATATACTCAGAATGAGTAAAAATACTGCTGCTGCACCGGTGTCCTGCCGTGACTCAGCAGCCACCCAGGATAAGTCTCAGTTTTAGAGTCAACTTCAACTTGTTCCAAAGTAAAGCCTCCAGTTCTTGAGTATTTGTCACATACCTGTTTCCCCTCCACACCTGGCTTTCCAGGAAATCCATCCAGGCCTTGCTCTCCCTGGAAAAAGTAGAGAAAAAAATCCTGTAACTCAGATCTGTGATGTTTTAGGTCACCAGTCTGCAAGAGGTGTCCATGTTATCTGCTAAGAGTAAAGAATAAGGAGAAAAATTGAAGTCAGCCCAATAGACTAAAGTCCCCACATCTGTACTACAAAATTTGCTGTGACCAGAAGTGGTTGTATGCTAGCCTTCCACATCAGCATCCTTCCTCTGCCTGCTGAGGCGGGTTCATGTAAGCTGGACAAAGTGCAGTTTACCCAGAATAGCTCCTACAAAAATAATGAATCCACAATCCAGCAATAGCTCATTTTTACCTGGTGCAGAAAAATCTTTCATTTTTCACCTTTGCTTTCTGTAACGTGGGGGAACAATTAATCTATTCCTATATGTCTTCAGAGTTGGACAGTCCACAAAGTCCACAGGCAATCTATTTCACTATTTTTAATACCTGAAGATACGTTTCTTTCCCCTGTACCCAAACTTGACTTTTTCTTGCTAGCGTTTCAGACTAGTATATCTTTCCCTAACCCCCCACAGAGAACAGACTGTTCCCTTTAGCTTTACAATGGCCTTTTATGTATTTGAAGTCTTACAAAACTCCCCCTTAAAACTTCACTAGACTAAACAACCTCAATACTTTCATCTTTTCTCCATGGGCATGTTTTTCAGACCTCTGATCATTTTTGCGGCTCTCATTTGTACACTGACCAATTTTTCAACATCTCCACTGTAGTTAGGTGCCCAAAACTGGACACAGCTGAGGCTAACTTCGAGTAGAAAGATTATTTAATGTTTTATAGAGATGTTTAAATCCCAGCATTACCTAACTTTATCCCAAACCCCCTTCTGCAGGACAGCTACTTAACTAGCTGTTCCCAATCTGTAGTAGTGTACAATTTGCTGTCCCACATGTAAGAAACACCCTGCAGCTTCCCCTTCTCAATGTTACCTCCTGCTTTGGAGGGATTATGTTTTCAAAATCATTTTGAATTCTGACTCTGACCTCCACTGTACTTCCACATTCAGCCTTAACATATTCCATATTTTATAATCCAGGTCCTTGATAGAGATAGTGACTAGATCAATGACATACTCTTGCTGAACTTCACTTCTCTCTTAAAGATTGTGGTCCTTGTCCATTCCAACCTCTTTCATTTAAAACTCTTTAAGACACAGACTTCCTCTTACTCTGTAAAATGAAACGCTGATTTTGCTTGGATCCTGCACACAGAGCTGAATATAAATTATCAAATACACACACACAGTGCCTCTGTTAATGCAAATGTGCATGTGAAAATAAATTCTACAAGGAGTGACAGCAAAATATTAGTTTTACACTATTTTTGTAATGCTTCAGACATTTTAATTCTGATTACTATCCCACAGAACCCCTGTCGGACCTCTGTTATTATCTGCAAACCCACACTTACAGCACTGGATTTAGTTAGCTCCTTTTGAAATTTACACTGATTCAGCAAGTCAGAAATGGATTTCCAAATCAATTTATTTCTTCTTCCCCTTCAGAAAGTCAATCAATCTAGTAACATAAATGTTATTTCAAAATTATATATCCAAGGAATAAAATTAGAGAGACCTGTACCCTACAGAAAGCAGCTGAAAACCAGCATGAGACATCCAGATCTACTTGCTTCTGGAGCAATAGTTTCCACATTCATGGTTTCCTTTGGACTGACTGAACTACGAGTATCCTGAATTTGAGACTTAGAGTAAGCAACAGTCTGGTGGATTGCTGACAAAATGTGCAGTGTATTCTCAGGAGAATTTTTAACATCAATACACTGCAGAAATGAGTACTTCACACATGCTGTTTCAGCTGCCAAAACAGAAAAGTGTCAATGTTCTTACTGCTAGTAGTGGGGGCTGGGAAAGGCAAATGTATTATTCACACAAATGTATACAACAAAGCTGTTTGAAAACACTCCAAACGATTGTGCTTTCATTTGTTTCTTTAGAAAAATCTATCATTATAAAAACTTATTATTTTTTTTTTCAATCTTTAAAAATGGCTATTTAGAGAAAGTGGTTTGGTTTTTTTTTTTGTTTGTTTGTTTGTTTGTTTGGTTTTTTTGTTTTTTTTTTTTTTTTTCCCAAAAGAAAGAACAAGCACAATGAAAGTTTTATTCTCAAATTTTCATCTTAATACTCTATTTGCTTTTGTGCTCTACCGTATTTTCTGCTTTTAACCAGTGGAACAAAATGGTGAAGAGCTGTAAGCAACCAGGAGAAATCCCAATTCCATAGAAACTTTAGTGCTGTTTTCTGACCTCTAGCCATTAGAAAGTGCAATGGTTTGTTGGAAAAATAATTCCCCCAAGAGCCTGCAGGACCCAGGGAAAAACTGAAGGAAAGCTAACCCACTGCCCAGAGGGACCTGGCAGCAGGACACCAGCCCTGCTGCTTCCTTACACAAGCTCTTCTTCAATACAAGACAAGGATTTACAGGATGAACACATGCTTATGCAGCCAACGCAATGCCCCATGTCATGTTGAACCACTGTACATGCCTATAGTACCATGTCAAGTATCATACATATATGGTTTATGTTGGCAGAGAAGTCCATCATGCTCATCTCTGCAGTCTGCCCTGGGGTCTACAGGGAGCCCACAGGATGCAAAAGGACATGAGATATGAATCAGGCTGTGCAGTGGTTCTCCTAAAGTGCAGCTGTAACCAATACTACCAGATTTGGGAACCTCACTATAAAATCTCAATATTTATACCTGAGGTCCCAGCATATAAGAGGATAGCAGCAAGATGTACTATGGGATATTTAGCCTTTCTTTGATACTAAGGTGCAGATTAGGCAGACCAATACTCAGTGCATGGGCTAGTGCTCTCATCTGATATAATAAACACTCTTTTCCTCAGGCACAAAGAAACACAGGTTGCGTAGGTGTCAGTATTCAAGTTACAGACTGAAGAGGAGACAAGAAAATATTTGGCCAGCCGAATTTACGCCCACTGTTTTCACAGTAATACTGATTGGTATAAGTTAAAGCAATGGCAAGGGTGCTCTGAGACCATCATTAAATCCTGGAAAAAAAAAAAAAAAAAATCAAAGTACAATTGTTGTAGCAGAGATCTGGCTGCTTCAGGGAAAAAAAAAAAAAAAAAAAAAAAAAAAAAAAAAAAAAAAAAGGGGCTCTAATTGTGTATATCCTTTTAATGAAACAAAACCTAATTCATTTAATCCCCACTTTAATCTTCCTCTAGCTCAGTCAGTTGCCTGCCCACACACAGCTCCAGCTTCCTCTCCCATCATGGTGATGTCAGAAAGATGGATTTTCTTCCAGGAGCCAAATATTCCAGCAGATTAAACAACCTTGCCTCCGGAAAAGCAGTAGAGGCATTGGCTAGGCACAACACACTGATCCAGTCCTGCAAAGGGCTGAAGTGAAAGCACAAGGAAGATAAAGCACAATCCAGCCTTTTGCTCTCGCTGCACCAGTGAGGATAGATAATACGAAACATGGTTGTGGCTACTTCATCATAAATAACAAAATGGACACAGAGAACAGACACCTTAATACATGGTAAATCAAAACACAATATCTCACACTAAGGGTCTATTGATCATTTTTCCCAGTAGGCAAAAGTTTGGTATAAATCTTTGGGTTTCTTCTCCAGAAGGAGATGGAGAGTGAGAAATGGGAACAAGGCCATGTTAGCAAGCTAATAACTCCCTCCTTTGCACAAACACATATAGCCAGGTATCACTAAAGACAGCTTGAACACAGGCAAAGCTGCCAGACCGGCACTGAGATATTCCTGTCTCAGGACCAGCTTGAGACATAAACAAGACAGGACATTGCTCAGGGCTACAAGCCACTCAGAGCTGGCAAGAAAGTCCCTGCTGCCTGTTTTGCCTGCATGACAAAAGGGGTGACTTGGGTCCGACTGAGAGTCTGGTCATGCCCCATCTCCAGCTGCTTGCTGGGTCGCAGGAGCAGGCCAGCACCCACTTCTACTGGCAGGGACAGCAAAATGCATTTTTGATGGTATTTCTGGGGAGCCTCGAGCACCATCTGTCAGATATGCAGCCAAAGTGTGTACACATCTGAGGCCTCTCCCACAACACAAACTGAAATAATAAAGACTTTGTGTCTGCCCAGATCCCCTTTTAAATTCTTATTCCAGTTATAACAAGCACTTGGTCTCTTTCTTGAACCATAAACATGGTTCAAATCCCAGAGTGTCCGGGGATTTACAGTGCTCTGTAAAATAGCTACTCTCAAACAGGAGAGAGCAGAGAAGTGGAAAGCGGCACCAGTTGGATGAAACCTTTAACACTGAAACTACCTGGTACTTACTATTACTGAGCTTATGGTAATGGGAGAAGACAGAAACATAGAAAGTTGGATAATTTGAGCAACTGCAATAAGATAGGGAAATGCAGGATGCAGACATGGTCAGCAGCAGCCAATGGTCATTCACAACTCTCAGGTGGTGCACACAATGTGGACACCTTGCTAGATCTCTGCAGTGGCATACCTTCACTCCACTTCTCCTCTCCTTCCTCCATCCCTGGCTACACACAGACTAGAAGTCCCTCAATGGGTGCTCAGTAGACAGCATTGATTCGCGAAGCCTTCCTGCACTCCCATGGGAGCTGATTCCCAGACAGCACTGGAAGGTGCAGCACAGTGAGGAAACTCCATCATCAATCATCCTCCAGAGCTGCTGGCCTGGCAGCCTGCTCCACTTAACAAAGGAAAAGAGCAGTCTGGATTTTCCTACCATGCAGCAGGAATACCTTGTCTCCTCGTGTCCCCTTTTCTCCTCTTTCTCCTTGTAGACCCTAAAAATAAAAAGAGATTATAAAGCTCAGTCCAAGCAGAGGCATAGTTATCTCCTCTAATTAGTCACCAAATCACCATGCACATCTGCACAATCCATTCAAGTGAACCTCAAAGACATTTTCCATGTTGCCAGTCCTAAAAGTTGGCCACAAGCATGGTCTAAGTAGACTTACAGAACAGGGGTGACCTGTGGGCCCAAGAACATCTGTAATATTATATTGCCTGCAGATACATGACCCTCCTGCCAACAGCAGTGTGGAGGGACAGAGAACACACCACAGCTGCAGATGGTCTGGCAAACAACCAATGCTCTGCATTTTTCATGTTGCTCATAAACAATGAGGACTTATGTAGAGGACAATACTGATGGTAAAACCCATCACATAAACAAGCAAGAATGCCCATTCCTGGTGGTTTTGGATGTAGTAGCTAGGCAGACAGCAGGTACCTCTGAGAACTGACAAATGCTAGATAATCCCTGTCCTGGAGACCCAAGAACATTTTTGCGTTGTGAACCCAATGCCAGTATTCAGCTGGATTGCATAATTCATCTCCTCCCAGGTATACCAGAACCATTTCCTGGGGCTTAGTTTGATGAAAGACAATGACGTTAACACAGGCAATTGACTCAATGGGCAGGAACAGATTTCACCTTCCCTTGGCACGGCAAGCACCTTGTATTTTACCTTTATTGTAGCAACTGAGCAACCAACTAATAGCTAGAGGCAGACAAATATGCTCAGTCAATAATGACCTCTCTAAATTGCCAAAGCTTAAAATACTTCTTATTCCAATAATACATTTGTATTTAAACTTCAATTTACTTTACACTATAGTGGAGGACCTCCAAGCTAATGAGAACTACATATCTGGGTTTATTTGGCCCTTAGGATGATTTAGATAATTAGCATTTTCAGATTTCAGGCCATGGTTGACTGTGAGCAAACTCTGTACAGCCTTGTCCGTCTCTAACACAGCAAACTGATCCTGAACATCTTTCCACACTGTGAAGAAATAACCCTACTATTTCCAAAAAGCAAGTGGCAGGAGGTTTAAAAATATGACTCCTTCAATGCACTATTAACTATGAGTAGATTATTATTGCCTTCCTCTTCCCCAGCAGCCCAAGCCACATGTCACTCATGATAGAAATGGATAGGACCTTCGATAATGGTGCACAACATGAATGCTTTGCTTCTCACACAAAAAAAAAGTGACTCACGGAGCAGGAAAGAAGCGTTCTCATAGCTTTGTTCTTTTATCTCGTTAATATTGCAAGAGTCTATCACATGGGCAGATAATGCCACCCCCATATTAAGTTCATCATATTCAAGCCTAATACAAATCAGCCTTAGATGATACAGGGAAACAGCATGCACCTGGGAAAGACAAAAGTGCACAAACTCTTTTGAACAGATTGGACCACTTTGTAATGAGTTATAAGGCAAGTCCTTGGCTGGCTCAGGGAAACCTTTCAGCGCATGAGTATGTCTGGTATGCCACTACAGTGCACTTATGTACAGTCACAGAATAAAGTCCATCTAGTCCAACTCCCCTGCAATGAGCAGGAACATCTTCAACTAGATCAGGTTGCTCAGAGCCCTGTCCAGCCTGACCTTGAATGTTTCCAGTGGTGGGGTACCTATCAACTCTCTGGGTAACCTGTTTCAGTGTTTCACCGCCTGCACTGTAAAAAACATCTTCCTTATATCTAGACTAGATCTACCCTCTTTTAGTTTAAAACCATTATCCCTTTTCCTGCTGCAACAGGCCCTGCTAAAAAGTTTGTCCCCATCTTTCCTGTAGGCCACTTTAGGCACTGGAAGGTCGCTATAAGGTCTCCCTGGAGCCTTCTCTTCTCCAGGCTCAACAACCCCAACCCTCTCAGACTGTCGTTAAAGGAGAGGTGTTCCTTCTATCCCTCTGATTATCTTCACGGTCCTCCTCTGGACCTTCTCCAACAGGTCCATGTCTCTCCTGCTCTAAGGATCACAGAGCTGAACACAGTACTGCACGTGCGGTATCACAAGGGCAGAGTAGAGGGGGAGAATCACCTCCTTGACCTGCTAGTCACACAGGATATGCTAGTTATACAGGATGAAGCCCAGGATACAGTTGGACTTCTGGGCTGTGACTGCACATTGCTGGCTCACATTCAGTTTTTCATCCACCAGTACCCCCAGGTCCTTCTCAGCAAGGCTGCTCTCAATCCCTTCATCCCCCAGCCTGTATTGATACCAGAGGTCACCCCAACCAAGTTGAGTCCTTAAATCGCAGAAAATCCAATCATCCTTCACAACACCAGCTTAAAGGCTGCCTCCATAATTACCAAGGTGACACCATAAGACAGGGATACTAACTCAATAGGATCTGATTTATTTTGGTCTTGCTGTCCATTCATTCAAGGCAGGTTTGTCCCCTGAGCCCAAAGGTTATTCCCTGACAGTTTTGAAAATACGATTGGAAATTTGCTGGGAGGTGCTATTTTTTCTTATTGTTATGAAGAAGTTTTCAAGCACCATATAAATGGTGCATCAACACAGAGCAAAGCAATTGCATTACAGTGGAAGTATCACAAAATCACCAGCTGCTATCTTGGTAATCAAGTAATTTTTACAGATACCTCTTTATCCTGGCTACACATCTGTTCTCTTTTAAAGAAGTTAGAAGAAACTCAGTGAAGTCAAGAAAATGTCATTATTTGGATATAGGACAAGTAAGTGGTCAGATATACCCCATACTGCTTAATAATAATAACAATAATAATAGAATAATAGTAGTAATTAAAAAAAAATATGTAACTGGGCAGAACACACTGAAAAATAGAAAAGTTCCTAGGGCAGTAAAAATCTAACAAGAGCTATGACTTACCGGTGCGCCCACATAGCCTTTAATTCCTGGAGGACCCTGTTTTCCCTCTGATCCCTGGCAAGGAATTGAGATACAGTAAAACACCAGAAACTGTTTCACATATAAGACCAAGAATAAAATCAGTTACCCAGAAATGTAAGTTGCACTACTGGACTCACAGTGGGCTGTTGAGGCTTTTCAACTGTCTCAGCACTAACACAGAGAGCAGTGTCTGACTTTCCAGCTACTTCCCAAAGTGACATCCCAATATTTTCTTCTGTCCCCAGCGCTCAGACATTAGCAAGTTTTATTCTTCTGCTTTCAGTCTTGCCCTACAAATGCAAACTCTCCCATGCAAGTTTCTCTACAGGTTATTTCAGAAGTTTTGGCAATGTCAGTCATTGTCTGACTATTGTGTGCATGGCAATTGAACTCTGCCTTGGCTCCTGAACAGCGTTGGTGGAACAAAGCACAGGCATACATTGCTGCAAATGTAGGAGCAAAGGCCATATCCCAGCATAAACAAACAATAGACTTCAAAATGTTATATATTTTGAAGAGTAAATTAAAAGAAACAGATCAGAACTATATTCTCCAATGTTTATTTTCAGTATAAGTGGGAGAAATGCAAGAGGATTAGGTACATTTCAGCAGTACTTCAGCTGATTGCATACTGACTCTCCCTGGAGAAGGTAAACTGAAATCGAGAGCACTCTCACTGTGTGCTTTTATGTGTCTTACAATGCCTGCAAATAGTCTGTATCCCCAGCTGAACAGGCTCAGCCCTCAGAGCCATCCTATGGAGACAGCCTGGGCCTGGAAAGTTGGCCATGAGAACTGGATTGGCATCTTACATCACCTCTTTGACTGATTATTTTCTTACTTATCTCACTTCCCTTCCCCCTCCCCGACCCATCTGGTTAACTCCTGTATTGGGTGGCTGTAGGAGATAAGGCATCAAACCAGATTTTATTCTAAATAATTTCTACATTTCATATTAATAGAAGTTTCTTTTATATATATATATGACTTATATATATATATATATATATATAAAGGCAAAATGTGTTTGCAATGAATTACTAACAGAACTGATGCTTTTTTGTCCCAAGGAGTCTGGTCATGTCACACCACTGTTTTCACTTGCATTAGCCCAAATGACAATATCACTTGGAGCAGTCGTTAAGCACAGACCTTGCAGGTTGGCAGGACTGTACTTGGCTAGTGTTTCACCACTGCTTTAAGGAATGTATTGCCAAAATTGTCCGTTCCCTCTGCCAGAGAGGACTTGACTTGTTAAAGCAGATGAAGCTATGCCCTGAAGCTTGTGAGCAGTTTATCAGCCCAGCTGTAAAGTGGTTGAACCTGTGTTAAGTATGCAAGCAAACCACATGGCAAACTCAAGGTAGAGGGGGAGATTCACAAACAGGTTAACAAAAGCTGGGTTTAAGCCCAAGCAAAGGTGGCTCTGGGATCTCCACATCAGGCACCTGAGGACTTCTTCAAGGTCAGGAACTGGTGCAAGTCCTCTAACGTCAGAGGGAGAGCAGCAGGTATGCACTTAAATTTCTCCCTTCGGCCTGCAGAAAAATACTACTGTCAAAGTCTAGGCAAAACCCCTACAGAAATAGAGGCCTGCTCCAAGTTGTCCAAATTATAAAAGTCCAACTCAGTACAATTACATAAAACGTGGTTACAAAACACAGAAAAAGTTATAGATAGAGAAACCGGGTTTGTCTGGATAAGAAGACTTGCTATTCCACTCAAGGCCTGTGCTGAGATCATGTCTGGTAAACCAGAGAAGTGTGAGACCTTCAACAGCTAAAGCAAACAAGAAGCAAATTTGTCAAAATGAAACTCTTACCTAATACTTTATATTTCAAAGGCTTGATTCTTTTCCCTTCTCCCTCTGTTTTTTCTATCAAGTGCAGCTAACTGTCAGTTCAGATGGGAATGCTATAGTTGTATCAGTGCAATAGCAATGACAGCCACAAAAAATTCTCTTTAAACTTTTATTAAAGATACAGGAAAAAAAAAAAAAGAAAAGGAAAAGGTTGAATATTTGCTGCAGGATTTTATAAGCTAAAGGGCCTGGGCTCAAAAATTCAAGCTGTTTCACTGTTATAATATATAGTGAGGGACTTGAGCTATGGCCTTTTTTCTCTGGACTCATTTACTCCATTTAAGTTAACCTGTCAGGTCCCGCATATTTACATGGGAGCTTTCTCCACTGACCAGTGGATATTTCTTGCCATCTCAGACCACCGTGGCATGTTCTATAATCAGAATTTCCAACATTGATTAGCACAAGGCTGATTTTGAGAGCTCTTCTTCGCTTCCACAAGCTCATAGCCAGCAAGATCATAGATCCTTCTTGGTGAGAAATGAAGTTTACCCATCAAGTTTGATGAAAAAGAAAAAAAGAAAAAAAAAAAACACAAAAAAAAAAAAAAAAAAAAAACAAAAAAAAAAACCACACATTTTTACGATGAAGACACTAAGCTAAGAACAATCTCCCCTGGAGACTTCACTAAGCAGCAAAAGCAGTAAAACCAGAGATGACATACTGAGGCCATTTCATTCCTGTAACCCATACGTGTACCCTAATGGGCTCATCATCCATTATGGTACCTCTGTGGATTGAAGTCCTATTACCAGAAGTCTGCAGGACCCTTATCTGTGCTACTGGAAGTTTCACACAATGAATGAGGTCTGTAAAAGCTGCGAGGGACCTCCTTAAAAGAAGTGCTGGCAATTCCCACTGAGGTAACAGACTGGAAATCCCTCAGCCAAGCACATAAACAGGGTGCTGAATTTCCTGGGGTGCATGTACAGCTGCTGAGCATGCACTGTACTTGCCTGGCTCAATACAGATGAAAATGGATTGAGCCAGGAAGGACCACATTCTAACCAAGCAGAGAAACTGCAAGGTAGCTCTCCATGGAGCCTGGGGTAGAACCCAGAGCCACTGTATTGATGACGATGATAAAAATAAGTGATCTGGCAAAAAAACAATCATTACAACAGTAATTGGAGATATGACCTCTCTGATTGCCAAATCCACCCATTTCTACACAGCTCGTTCCACACTGGTTGAGGCGGTTGGGCTTTACGTTGAGGAGTAAAGGAGTGTGGATTCATATTTTAGATTTTAAAGCCCTGTCAGCAAAGTCAGGATTGCTTGTTAAAACAGCTCAGGCCAGAATCCAGCTCAAGGACACTGCATATAGCCAGTGCATCCATTGCAGTAAATAAAAGTCACTGTGAAAGCACATGATCATTCTATATTTAGCCACTGTAGCTGAGAGGCTGTGGTTAGCCAAGCTAACCTCTTCCCTGGGAGCACTTGGTACTGTCTAGTCAGACATCTTTAGATTCAGCCCCACCAGCACCTATCCTGCCCAGACCACAGTGCTGAACTCCTATTCAATATCGCCTCATTACTTGGCTGAACTATACGTGCCTGATGGTGGGAAATATGGAGCGTTGTCCAGGATCAAGCCCTTCTGGAAGTAGATGTAGATGCCTCAGTTCAACTTGGTTTGTAAAAGCTTTGCAAAGCAAGGGTGAGTAACTTCATACTGCAAGGAGCATTGTGTGGTCTACTGGTTTGCAAAACATGCAGGGCAGAGAGAAAATATGTAAATAGGTATTTATACGATAGGAGAGATGTAGCTGACAGGCATTTGTGGATGATGAATCCGGATCATTTCATCCACTCCCAAATCCCACTGAAGGACAAAACAACATACAGAGTTCATCCACTCAGCTCAGCCCACCCCCGCTTTGCAGCTATCATTTATCCCCTGCTGAACATGCTGCCATGCAGCTTCCACAATCAACTCCGTGTTTCTGAAGGCAATATGGTTCCTGCAGAGAACTGTGGGATGGCTGCCAAGTATTTCTGCTAATCCACAAACACACCATTAGTTCCAATACCCTCCTGAGGAGACTTTAGGAAATTATGAACATTTCCCTCTATGAAAAAAAAAAAAAAAAAAAAAAAAAAAAAGGACATTTTGGAGAAAAGGCCTCTCCATAGCTGAGGAACACAGAAGGACCTATATAAATTAAATGCTTCATAGAGTCCTCTCAGACAGAGCCAAGTGACAATGAGTACTACATCTTGGAAAGGTGTTCAGGTACTTAACTCCTATTTGAGGACAAAGGCATCAGTGAACTCAGTGGGAAGTTTAGATGACTAGGTATGGCTCTTCCAGAAAGATGTGACACTCAAAGTTCTTTGCTTGTACAGCTGAACTTGCTGTGCATGATGTCCCTGAAAACACACTTGTCAATCTAGTGCACCATCTTATTTTTGTGTTATAACAAGAAGAATGAAACCACCTGAGGGGTAGTTAACCCCTCAGTAATCAGGGAACAGGCAAGAAGAGCTAAGACTTTGAAAGTCATGAGAAGGGCTTCAAAATTTGGGCACCTTTCTAACACTCAGATAAGTCTCACCAGATCTCCATTCAGAAGCACCCTGTTTGAAGCAAACCCAGTGATATAAGCATTGTTTCAAGTCCTGCATCACTATGCCACTGTCTACTGGTGCAAAACTGAAGCTCTCAAAATACACAGAAACATCCAATATAGAATCTCTCCATGATTATTTCATTTTTCCAGTTGTAGAGTAGGGATAATAATTCTCACCTGCATCTTTGTGAGAGCTGGGAAGGCTTACTGAAGACATGAATCAAGGCTTATGTGCCCAAAAACGTGTTCTCTTTGCCTTCTCCAGCTAATTGCTGATACCTTAGCAGACCCCTGATGAAATGAGCATTTTGCATTTCTTCATTCACCAGTGAGAATATCAGTCATAAATAAAAAGTAATTCAAGCAATCCACATATAAAATGTCAGTGAAAAAAATATGCCTGCCCATGACAAGAAGAAATGGAAAGCTTACCTTTGGACCTGCTGGCCCAGGCAGTCCAAATGTTCCCGGCTGCCCTGGTTCACCCTGCAAGTAGCAGAAATATCAGTGGTAAATGCTAATCTTAAATACATGAGCTGGGATGGCTCAAAACAGTCATTACATACAGCTTTAGAAATGGAAGCTCTTTCTAATATCGACAGTCCTAAGTTCCATTATCCAGAGATCTGAAAGTTTGCCCTGTGCTTTCTCAGAAAAATAAAAGCAGAAAGAGACAAACCAAAAACTGAAGCAGTTATTCATCTGCTCTTCAAACACAACCACCTAAGTAGCAAGAAATGAGTTCCCTAAGTTGTGAACAGCTTGCACTGACTACAATCTACAGACATGGATTCCTTGGAGATAATGTAATGCATTTGTTCTTGAATAGTGACCTTTCAGTGCAATAAACACATCCTATAAGAAATTCTGCAAGTCCAAGTATGTCACTGTCCAATCCCAGACCATGCCATGTATGATGTGATGAAGTTGAATCGGTTCTGGAAGCTATATTGGAAAATTATCAGTTTTCCTGAAGTCAGACAAGTGTGGCACAAAGCAGAAATGGGATGTAAGTAACAGGAAAAAACAAGACCTTTTCTGCTGTGTATCACTACTTTTGTGAATGCCTGCCCTTCCGAAGGGTACTATCCCCAGGTTCCTCCAGTTGCCACCAAAGGACTGCCACAAAGCGACAGTGAATGAGATGATAAAGGTCCACCATTGGGATGCAGATAATTCAAAGGAGTGGTGATCAAGCAGGGGAAAGGAGGGAAAGCTCTAAAAGACACTTATATAAGATACTGGAAAAGGTGCTTGTCGTTTAATGCTTCAACTGTAGTCCTCTTAAAGACAATATTTGGTACGCTGCATTCTTCTTTGAGCTAACCCTGAACCTCTTCCTTTGTTTTGTGCTTTTAGCAGTGTACAAGAGGAGTTCAGGTCCTTGCCTCTGTGACCGAGACACCAATTTCTCTACTCCCTGTCCATTGTAGAAGCACAAGATTGTCCCCTGCCATCTCCACTAGCTGATGACTCTTTGCTAGACTTAAAACAAATGGCCAGGTTTTGCAGCTGCAGCTATTAACCAACGCAGCCGCAGCAGCAGGTCCCAAACCACAGGCTGCCATGACTGCATCTTTTCCCATCTTAATGAATGGTAATTGAGCTGTCCTGGGACCCTCTCAGCATGGCTAATCCATAGGACACCCGCCGTTGCTGCAAATGTAAGAGGGAGAGTGTTAGGGCTCTTAACCTCCTACCCTTTGTTTCTGCCGCTCCTAAAATGGTCATAAAAATCCCCAAGACATGTTCCAATCAATACAGATTGATTTCCACTGCCTGCCTTCCACTGAAAGGCAAGGATTACATGGGAGGAACAAAAAGGCTTACAGCTTCTCCTTTTGCTCCATCCTTCCCAGGAGGGCCAGGTGAGCCCAGAGACCCCTGTAACAACAACAGAATTATCATCAGCACAATATTAATACCCACTGGAAGTGCAGAAAGAACTTGAGTAACGCATCAAGACAAGAATAAGGAATGAGGAAGATCATTTCAAAGTAAACATTTATTATTTACAGTCTCAGGAGGAGCTGCTGCTGACATTAACACACTGTGGCCGATTGATGAGCTGTTAATGAGAAACTAGGCAATCTTGGCCATTTAACTCATTTAAGAATAAATTAATATAAAAGCTCTGCAGCTAATTAGACATATAACCATTGAGTCATCTTAACTTCATCTCCTCTCTGCCTCTTTGTCCACCATTCCATTGTCTCAAAAAGACTGCTGTTTTGTAACTAAATACTATTTTTTTTTTTAACTCCTTGCTTGTACAGCATCCATCCCAAAGCTCAGAAGCCTCTAGGCACAGCTATAATGCACATAAGTAATGAGCCTAAAAGCAAACAGAAAAGAAGCCTTGAAAAACTCAAGCAGTCCTCAGGAACTACCCTGGCCATCAGGAAGCAAGTCTCAGAGCTGTGAACATGTAAAGCCATAGAAAACAAAGAAAGAGAAAACCAGGCACCACTTTTTAAATCTTCCTACTCACCAGGGTGAATGGAACTAAATATATTGAGGCTGGCAGCACCACAGCTAATGGGGATAGCACCGAATGAAGGGAAAAGGCAAGTTTTGCTGCGTGCAGCTGGCAATTTAAAGAACAAATAGAGAATGGAAAGATAATAGACACACAAGAGGCAAGCCAATGTACACAGTGAGGAACCATCTTGGTGTTTTTACTTCTAGGCACTGCAGCACTTTCTGTTTAAGTGTATTGTAAAAAAAGTCTCAAATGAGAAACAGACATGAACACTGCAACCTGTCACTCTGGGCTTTGATTAAATTGAGCTGGTTTGCTGTGTATTACATGGAGGGGGATCTTGTCTTGCAACCCTGAATATTTGCTATTTTAAAAGAGGTAGGAAAAAGTTTAAACTCCTAAGATCCCTCCTGTAAATGTGCTTAAGGCATATCTGACAAATGTGTTCAAAGTAAATGTCAGTTAATAGAGCAAGCTTCGTGCAGGATAGATTTTTTTCTTTGTTTCTAAGATGATGACATAGTAAGCAACTAAAGGCTATTTCAGTCCAAAAGTTATTTATGCTCAGTGCAAGAAAATACATGATAATCTTTGGCCTTTTGTGTCTTATATTGAAGAAACAATGGTGTTTCTGCATGTGAAAGCATTAGCACTGAGCTCTATTCTGTTTCACTCTCTACTCTGTTTTGGAGTTTTACAAAGTTTAGACAAAGTTCATGCCCTTGAGATCTCCACACATTTGTCCAATGTGGATGACCATCATGACTAGGTTTAAAGATTTTAAAGTGCACCCTGCTGAAAAACTAGTACAGCATCAAAGTCTCCTTTACTTACTACCTTGTTAACACAAAACAAGAAAACACAGAGGTAAACCAAAACACTTAGAAGAGGATCTATTTTTATTAGCTTTCCACAATAGCTTTAACTTAACTTTGCACAACATAATTAATAAAAACTCAGACTTACTTTTTCTCCTTTATCCCCTTTCAGCCCAGGAAAGCCAGGAGGACCTTCTTCACCCTAAAACATAAATGGAAAATATACTTCATATGAAATGTCATACAGTTCTGTGGTGTATTTGTGTATTTTAGACAGGATAGTTATCACCTGTTGAGAGTTTATGCCAACTAGTCTGCCTCACTGTAACGATGCTGTTCTCAGTCACCTGTAACTTGCCCATATTTGAACAGGCTTACTTTCAATTTTCTATTCAAGTGTCTTCCTCTGGCTGATCCCTCCTTCCCCCCCTTTTTGTAAATACCATCCAAAACCAGTCTTTTTCAAAGAACAAGATTAGAGCCCTATCCTTGTTAAATAAATTTGAAGTAATTAAAAATTTCACTGAGAAATTCTCCTGTTTCCACATTTCCAAGCACAGGGACTCGAAATTTGGCATGGTCAACTTACTACCATGTCACATTTCCAATGGCATGGAAATTTTATGAAAAACAGAAATGTGGGAATATTTTTGCCTTTACCTGCTCATATTAGTCCAAAATGTAACCTTGGAAGCCACTCCATTCAGACATTATCAATAGGTACTTCTCATAGTTAACAGCTAACTTTACCAAAGATTCAGAGTAAGCTTCATCCAGAGCTCTGTGAATGGAGCAGGATTATGCCCACTGTCATGAGGCACTTGGCTGTGATCCAGCAGCCTGCCTAGGTCTGTCCTGCATGTTCATGCTCCAACTGATGGCATCCAGGTTCCAGCATTGCTGGATATTACAAGAGGTGTTGGGATGAGTCTTTCAATGGACTGTTACCAGTGTCTCTGATACCTGAAACAGTGGACATATCTACATGTGGGAAGTAAAGCCGCTAGCACTGTTGGCAAATGACATTATAAACAGGCAACTTAGAAATGCTCTCAGTCGCTTAGCTTTATCCCCACCTGCTTTTGTAAAAAACTAATAACATAGAAGAATCCCACTGAAAGAACATTAAAGTGGCTAAGCAGTTGATGCATATATTTCTAAGTTGCCTGTATATACATATGGACTACCTACATATTTAGAAAAACTCAGGCCAAAATTAGCCAGTGTCAGTTTTTGTGGTGTTAGTTTCCTGAGTAGTACAGCAGACTTAGATGGATGTATTCCTAGGGCAAGGTTCCAGTCAATGTCAGACAGTGTGACAAAATCCGGTCTTATTTACTTCTAGGTATATTTGGCACTTAAAGGTTATTAAAAGACAGTACCTGGAAAGTATTTGTACTGTATATGCAAATTAAAGTAATTAGATACTTTTATAATCACATTTCTTTCTAACTGAACCTTCATGAAGCACTCTGTCTAGAATTTGCAGTGTAGCTAGTGGTAAAAATCAGATCTGCTGTATTTGAATGGTTCCCTAATGAGATAGAAAACCCATCAAAAAGCAAATGTGATTTTTAAGGAAATAATTTGCTCTAAGAGGTCAATATAACTTGAAGGAGCTGCTGTTCCATGACAAACTGTACTGCATAGGTAGGAGAACAATTTGTGTCTTTTCTGCGCAAAGTAAAGGAATATGGCTAATTAGTTTCTTTCTCCCCTGCTCTCCCCTCCCCCCCCCCCCCCCCCCCCCCCCATGAAGTAGCAACTCCTTGCACAGTTTAACAAATTAATCATATCATCAGTCAATATGTTTGATGCACGGTGCTCTACAGAGACATTCATGCTGGACAGGACCTCGTGAGCTTTCAAGTCCAACCTCCCACTCAAAGCAACATCAACAGTGAATTCAGACCAAATTGTTCAGCATTTATCCAATTTGGTGCTGAAAACCGCCAACAATAAGGTTACTCCTTTCCCTGGATGCAAATGGAAACTTGCCTCCTAAAACAATAGCATCCCAGGAAGAGAAAAGACTTTTCCTTTTACTTTTTTTTTTGTTTGTTTGTTTTTGTTTTTGGTTTTTTTTTTAATTAACTTAAGCAGTGTGATTTTGTCCTTTTGAATTTTAACAGATCTCAAGCAGCTGCCTACAAAGATGTGAAGACCAGAGCAGACCAAGAAGCTGCATGGGCATTTGCAGGAAAGTGCTGTAAACTTTCTCCAACTTGGCGACCATACATACCAGAGATGGATGGTCAGCCTGAACTACCACTCACTGACCAGGGTCACCAAGCAGGGAAGGAGGACTTCAGGGATGCACCGTGCTCAGGGAATATGTGATCCAGCAATGACCAGTAGTACAAGTTACTCACTAAAGGTATTTTCTTCACCTGTTTCTACTGCCATCACCTCTCTCCTGCTGCATAAACTGAAGCACCGGACACCACAGATCAGACACCTGGCACAGAGCTGACCCTTTACTGGAAATAAAGCTACAGGGTTTTACTTGCTGGCAGTACAAATCTTCTAGTATCCACCAGATTTAGTAGTTCTTCCCCAAGGAGAGAACTTCACAGAAGCAACCTAGGCTCTAGAGACAGGTTTAATATCTCCTGAGGAACCACTACTGAACCCCACCAGGCTACAGAATGGAAAGGGCTCCTACTGCTGCTCCTTCCACTGACCCCCCCATGAACCCTGGCCAGCTGCTTTGTATCCCTCACTGAGCAGAAAAATCTGTAAAGCTAAGGGCAGGTTCAACAGAGGTTTGAACCTTAATAAAAACACAATAAGAGATTGTGTTGCCTATGTCAAAATGCTTATGTCCACGAAGTAAAGTGCATAACCTACAGGAGTGAGAGGCAGAAGAGAGCAGGAAGCACAAAAGCATCAGTGCTGCTGTGCTTGCATAGTGCCAAACTAGCTGTGACAGGCAGGGATTGGAAAGCAACCAATAGCTTGCACCCTTAACTCACAGTCAGTTGCCAAAACCCCCACGGAGGATGCAGCTGACTGGAACAGAGTCCTGTTCCCAGAGCAATTTATATCACTAAGCAACTCTTTCTTTTTTTTTTTTTTTTTTTTTTTAAAAAAAAAAAAAAAAAAAACCTACCTAACTTCATGAACTGCATCACAGAACAACCACCTTTTCTTTTCACTCGTCCACCAGATTTTTTTCATGAGGTAAAATCCTAAGCATTGTGCTCAGCATGCTGCTCAGACCTAGGGAAGTGTTAGTGTACCTAAAAGGTGTCTGTTGGCTCCCCATAACCCCTCCAATTAGGTCAACAATAGGGTTAGCAAAAGCGCTCACCTCTCTCTCCAGCACTTGTGGATTGAGGGGCTCTGCCAGTGCATCTATCCTGGAAACCACTTTCTAAATCCAGGGAAAGTTGCAATTAGAGAATGACAAAACTGGCTCAAGAAGAAATCACAGGGGCCTGAAATAACATTGTTCAAGATGAGTTCTTGCTGGGGAGGTTACAGCTCCAGCAATTAAGCTCACAAAAGAAGGCAGCAGATTTTCTTGAGTACTTTCCCCTCTCCAGACTCATGAGCATGCTGTTTTTTTGTTATCCACTGGAAAGCCAGACACTATGTTTAGTTTCATCCCCTGTGCTGCACAGCCAGCGGCCTTTAATCGAACATTTCCAACAAAGTTAGCAAGAGAATAAACGCCTTCATTAGCTCACCATTGACAAAATATTTGTCAAAAGAATCTAGATTTGGCAAGCTGCCATCTGATCTAAAGCAACCAGACTTTTCTTGCGATATGGCTGTGAACTGCATTTGGTCACATGCAAGCAGATACTGCCAAACAAGAGAGGACAGGCAGGTACTGCAAACACTGGAGTTATATATTGACACAGACTGTGAACATGCAGAGGTTATGTAGTGCACAGCTAGCTACTTATTTCTACAAACACCCTTTTCTGCTTTTCAGTAGTTCTTCTACAATTATTTACTTGAATTACAGCGATGCCTCATTTGTTCCCTGCTTGGGTCACTCTGCTGGACACTATGAATAAATATTAAATGACAGTCACTGTGCCCCAAAGCTCAGTTTAAATCTGCAAGCAATGTGTAAATGTAATACAGAAAAAACAGAGACAGAGAGGACAGGCTGGTGAAATAGCTGCCAAGCAGACACGTCTGCAAGTGTGCTGGGCTGAAGGATCCAGGCACCGCAGTGGGAAAACAGGCAGGCTTTGGCAGCTGGCATCAAGCCCTGGGGAAGAAAAACTTATGGCATTCCTTGCACCAAGGCCGAACCTGGTTGTGACACTTAGAAGGATAAAAATAATACTATATACCCACAGGCTGGCTGCATTCCCACCTTCAACACAATGACATTCTGGTGGTGACATGTAAACCACACCTATCTATTTATGCCACACATTTCTACTGTCACCCATCTACTTTGTGGATATCTGAACCTTGAAGGCATGTCCCTTACTGGAGAAACATTTGGACCAGAATAGGAAGGTAACAAGGACCAGGCCCTCCAGGGAACTGGGAAGAAGCAGCAAAGGCAGAAGAGACTATTGTTAAGGAAGGCAACAGAGTACAATTTCTAAGGCAGCTTCCTTTAGGCTTAGCCTACACATACTGGAGTAGTTTTATGCTGTAGGTAGGGTGACCTATTGCTTTCTTGGTCAATAGTTTTGTAGACAAAAACTTGAATGTGTAGGTAGTTGTACCCGTGAGGAAGTGCACTAACAAATGTGGCAGCTTGGTTTAGGAAGTTCCTAAAATACTGAATACTGCAAGCTCTGAGGATATAGCACTAGGCAAATCACTCGGAAAACTCCATCTTTCATTCCCCAAAGAACTGATATAAATTCTGCAAGAAAATTAGGAAGGTTTCCTGAGCCATACTAAAGCTAAAAGTTTAGGCAGAATTCAGTAACAAGGATAGAATTTTGAATTTGCTTGTATTTACATTTTAATTGTTCAGAGCCACACAAAGGATACAGAGCAAGACTGAAGCACTACTACTGTCCTTCCTGGGGGGGGGTCTCAAATCAGGGCTTACATGGGCACATAATGTGTCCAGATGCAATGGACAAAAGGAGATGCTACATCATGAGGAAATTCAGAGCACAGGCAAATCTCAGCTGCTGCAGAGTACCAGGCTGATGAAGAATAAAGATACTCCCATTGTCTTCAAGGGTATCTTCCATTAAAAATACAGACGTGAGC